ATTGCCGTTGATGATGAACGGTCCAAAAGTTTGACTGCAGGCAACTGATGAACCGATGAACCGAGAACGGTTGTGCATATGCTTCATTACATTTTAACTTTAACCGACTTCCAATCTCATGATCGGTCAAGTGCCCTTCTCAAAGATGGTTTAGTTGTTCTATAATCACATCCAGAAAGTCACACATGCCACTGACAGCCCAGGAGGCGTCACTTAAACACAACACTTGTGGCTGCAAAGGCACACGACCGAGCTCATAGAAATGTGAACTGACGATAGAATCACTACGAAAGCTAGAATTACCTACATGATTGCTACTCGAGATTAAGTTTAAATTATATAAAATCATCATGGGCTATGAATGAAGTCGAGATCTGTATTGCCTAAAGACAGCTGATTGCAGCTATCGACAGCACCTAGCAGTTCATACAGTGCGTCGCTTCAAGACGAAACATCCATAGCCCACCTCATCCATGGAATGAACCGTCACTGAAATCCTCAAAATAAACCAGTTTCCCCAGTATTTTCCCTCTGTCATACTGTTCCACAATCTAACATAATTTCTCAACCACGCGACGAGGTGAGACGAAGGGACCAGGAGCTTATTTCTCTCTGCCCAGAGGCCAGACTCAACCTTTTCTCCTTAGCTTCTTAGCATCTTTGAGGCTTCTTCGACCCTTCGAGATCGCCACCTCACGTTGCCCGATCCCCGAGACCGGTCTTCCTGCATACCATCCACGCGACAATCGACGGTGGGAAAAGGCCAAGATTTCTCGGCGCCCAGCGTCACAGCCTCTCTGTTTTACAGTATTACGACCACGACTCTAGACCCCCCGTGTCATTCTCGATTACTTTCGCCTGCACAATATTTCTCATCTCCGTGAGATTCAGAACTCCCGAGCTCCGCCTCCTTCCATTATCAGTCAAGGGCCCGCCGTAATCAATCACGCCCCCGACACTACTTGCCAGGAACTGGAGACCGGATCCAATCAATCCGCGTTTGAATCCTCCTGTTCCTTTCCCCACGATCTCTCCCCCAAATCGCGCCCCGAACACACTCTTTTTTCTTAATCGATAATCTCCAACAATTACCACGTCTCGTCGAATTCAGGTTTAGATTGATATATCCGAAATACACGAGCTGCTGCCGGTCGAAACTACCGCGTCGCTTACTCTTCGAAACGTGCCTCTCATGGCGACCGCTTAAGCGACCCCCCGATTCATAATCCTCGCCCCGACTGAACTTGCGAACCTCGTCGCTCGCGGCTGGCCATACTGTTGCGTGTTGCCTCATAGGATAGCCGGCCAGCCGCAATCATGGCTGCTGCCGCCGCCCTCGGCGTGGTCTCCACGACCATCACGGCGCTGCCTTCGTTGTGCACGACGACTCTCCTGCCCGACAGTGGCGTTATGACACTGGGATTCGACGGCGTCCCTGTACCATTGACCGAACCGGCTGTATATCAAGTCCCATGTCCGACCCCCGATCTCTTGCCTCGAGCCGAGTACTCTGTGACGGTTGCTGCTTCAGGCGACGAGAGCAGTCTCACTCGGCATGACCCAGCAGATAGCAGCCCCAAATTCTCCGACTTCCGCGATCCCTTTTACGCCTCTACTTTTCCGATATGCTACGCCCTTGCCGCGACTACCGTTACCGCTTACATGCTCGTTATTATGCTATTTGTCACACCGCGGTCGTTTCTTGATGGAGGAATCGTTTACCTGGGCCGACGATCCGCTTTCACTCACAGCTCATCCAGCAGTGTCACGATTGGTGGCCGGCCATGGCTACAGAAAGTTGCAGCTTTGACTGTTGCCATCTCGCTAACGATTGCTTCGGCTGACACCTTTCATGCTGCCAAAAGTCAGTACATGTGGGGGATCCAGAACGCGAATCAACTGCAGGACGAGGTGATGAATAGCGTGGAACTCAAAGTTATCCGGCTCGTCTCTGATACTTTTCTATGGTTGGCTCAGGCCCAGACTCTAATCCGACTCTTTCCCCGGCACCGAGAAAAGATCATTATCAAATGGGTCGCGTTCGCACTCATCACTCTCGATGTTGTCTTCAGTGCCATTACCAGTTTCAAATACTCGGAAAATGGCATCAACACCACCGCGCGACCCAAAAACTTTGTTCATCCCGTGCCCGCTCTCAGCTATCTGTTTCAACTCTCCCTCGGGCTCTTGTACGCAGCATGGGTTGTTTACTATGCGCTAATGAAGAAGCGCTATTCTTTCTACCACCCCTTCATGAAGAACATTAGCTTCGTCGCCATCATCTCGCTTATTTCAATCCTGATTCCCGTCGTATTTTTCATTCTCGATATCTCTCAGCCTGATTTCACTGGATGGGGAGACTACGTGCGATGGGTTGGTGCTGCAGCTGCCAGTGTCGTGGTCTGGGAGTGGGTGGAAAGGATCGAGGCTCTAGAACGAGAGGAGAAAAAGGACGGCATACTTGGACGTGAAGTCTTTGATGGAGACGATACACTCGAAATCAACGCATCCGAGTTCCCATGGCTCCGCAATCGCAAGAGCCGAAAAGGAGGCAGCTCAGGAAGTAGTGGCGACGGCGATCGACAACAAATGTCTTCGTCTGCTGTCAACGGTTGGCCGACTGTTTCCTCCATTGCTAACAGATACCGAGGGCAGAGCAATGGTGCTTTTGCCGAGACTACTGACCAATCCACACAAAGAGGCACAAGCAGAGGTTTGCGGCCCAACATCTGGCCAGCTCGCCCGGCGCCTGCTGTGACCCCTATTAGCCGAACAGATACCGCCAGCGCAGCCAGCACGGTTTATGCCGTGAGATATCAAGCACCCTCAGAAACCACATCGCGAACACCAGACCCTCTACCGCAACCGAGTGTGGTCGATCTGAGTCAACAGAGCAGCACTCCCCCAAGTCAGCACATGCATGATGAATCCAGTTCTTCAAATCAAGCTCCAGCTTCTGTACAAAATGGACATGTCGTGTCATCGCCATCACAACAATCTGCCGATCTAGAAGCAAACTCGACAAACTCGCCAGCTCAGGGCGGTTGGCGAAGTCTCGCATTTGCCGGCCCGAGGTCTGGTCACTCGGGTGAGGATGCGACAAGGGAGATGACCCAGCAATCAGATCACAATCCAGTCGCGGAGCGCGAAGGAAGGACAAATAGTTCGAGCCGATGGGATCTGAGAGCTCGCCTAGAAGATTTTGCGGCCAATCAAGCAGAGAAATTACGGGACCGCATGCGCACAGCTCCCAATACCGAGAGTCTTCCTGTAACGGTTATTCCGGCACCTCCGCGAAGAGGAGCAGCGCTGCAGCAGGTGCTCGAGGAAGAAGAGCTCAACACAGCAGAGCAGGGCTCGCCAGGTCGGGAACCTTTTACGTCCCAAAACAGGAGCACGAACAGTCCTAGCAACGGATTGCGAGACGCAACAGGAGAAATTACACAACTAGACAGGAGTCGAAGCGCGTTCTCAGGCAGCCAAGGCAATGGGCCGATCCCACCGAACAACCCACCACTATGGCGGGGTGTTCGGCCGAGAATGGCCCCCGACGAAGATTACTATGATGATTCTGACGATGGATCACTGTCGGGCAGGTCATCATTGGATCATCGGAGGCAAGATTCGGACTCATCGGGTCTCCACCGGACGAGTTGAGAACTTTTTGTGTTGATAGCTGTGCACTTAGCGAGGCGTTGTTTTCTGCTCTCTGTTTTGATGAGCATCTGGATGATTTATACGAATGATACCCCAGGAATGAGTGTAGTAGAGTTTCGCGTGTATATCTACAGGATGGGAGGGGACAGACATGGGCGCCATGCTTGGGATCGGATCCTACATATACTAGATGGGTCGACCTTGAAAGAAGGCAACGGCATTAATGGATTAGGCAGAATCAAGATGCTCTATTGGAAGTATACATGGATACTCATAGTCAGAATGGCCTTTTCGCCTGAAAAGGACATGCCCGAATATGGCGTGTGTTACTGTGGTAAATATACTATATAAGAACGATACGATGAAATCAACGGTTGTGCAACCATAGGGACATATTCTTTAGCAATGACCGGAAACATGAACTCTGGTGCCTCAACCATTTGATGCCTCTCGCAAGCGGAGGCTGTTGAGAAGAATGTTTGGAGGTTACGTTTGCTGACGGTTGAAATAGAAAATAACGTTCGGCATGACGTAGTGATGCATGTCAGCTGCAACGTCTGCAAATGAGAATGGACTTGAGACAATCCCGTGCCAAAGCGAAAAACATCAATTCTCGGCAAGCTCGGGAGAGGAGAGGACATGAATCATGGCAGATGGGATGATGATAGCGATAGGGGGGATAGGGGATGATTGCACTGTCGCACCACGTTCCTTCACATGTTTACACTGGATGTTATGCCTGGCACGGAGATTAAGAAAAACTTGGATTGAATTTTTAGAGTTTGTATGGCCCCACAATCATTATATGACGATGCATCAAGCAGAATATCAGACAAATTATTGTAAAATCGATATCACAAGATTATCCAGCGGGAGAGCTCATGGAGCGGTCAAGGAATGATAATTACCTACTCTGTATCTGTTCCCAGAACAACAATGGACTCCGCGGGTCACCGAACGCCACATTAAAGTCAGCTCTGCAGGTAATGAGATCCTCTGAGACCCTTGGATAATCTCAATTTTGGAGCCCGCGGAGCCAGGAGGCCTATCTGTTCTCCACATTGTGGGAAGTTGACTGCTTCTAGAGGGGCTGAGGGAGAATTCGAAGCCATGTGCGACAGGAAGAAATATACGTAAATCCGGGGGAAACAGGTCCGTTAAACTCTATCGCAATAAGCTTAAATGTGAGTTTCATGTTTGTTTATATAAAATCTACAAGTATTTCAGTGGCATCTGCATAACAGAACATTAAACAGCATGGTACTGGCTTCAGGCGTTGAGATGATGGACGGAATGGAGATGGAAGGCAAGCCAAGTAAGCCCCCCATATTTCCCAATCTGACCAATCATCAGATCCCTTCCCGTCTCGGCTTACCCACCTTAAAATCTCCCCCTCCATCTATCCACTAGCATCTCCCTCTAATACAACTTTCCAGCACGCGACGATCCCGCACAATCCGCGACTCTCCTTCATTGCTCTTCTTCTGCTTCCCATTTTCGTCTTTATCTCTTCGTTGCATTGAAATACGGGAGAAGAGCCGCACAGGTTGAGCAAGAAACACGTTCCTTTTTCTCTCTACAACGACTCGTCACCATTTGCGACTTCCGTCCTTCCTAGACCGGCCTTGACCTATACGCGGACTCTTTGCGACAGGAAAACTCCACTTCAAGGCGTCGAATGAAATAGGGGTGCAACGTCTGCTAGTCTACCACAGAAATTCTCGGCATCTATTTACAATTTCGAAACTGGACTATTCTTCTGAGGAACCTCACAGTACGACACGAAAGACGAGACATGTCAGGCTCAGAACCTTTTCCGCTGCTAAACACGGCAAACGATCAGCTGCATCAGCGTCGTCCCGCAGACCAAGCAAATTCCTACGTCAGCAACACCACAGCCACCCAAGACGCCATCAACAACGCCCGGAAGCGACGTAAGAGTAGTCTTTTGGGCGGCGAGATCAGAGGTGACACGGGTGCTCCGGCATTGGCTTCCAGCCGTGCCAGTCTCGAGGCCTCAGATAACCACTCCAATGGTCACGTACGTCACTTTTCCTGTTCTGCTCTGTTCTGTTGGACAGGAACCGCCTGTGCATGCTGCCGTGTACTAACATGTCGATGGAACAGTCCGACGGCCGCAAGCGCCTCTCGAAACGACGCCGTGCTCGTGGCCTCATCGGTCGAGCGAAGCAGACCATGATCAAGCATACTTTCGTCCTCCCTGCCGTCCTCCTCGTCTTCTTCCTCGTTGGATATGCCATCAACCCTACCGAGTCCAACCCTATCCACCACTTCATCTTCTTGTCGTACAAGCTTCCTCAAGATGACCCCAACGAGCCTGCGCAGTACGGAAAGGGACGCTGGGATATCGCCTTTGTTGGTTTCTACACGATTGTCCTCTCCTTCACTCGTGAATTCATCATGCAGGAGCTCCTGTCACCACTGGCCCGTTACTACAACCTCACCCGTGGTAAGAAGGCCCGTTTCATGGAGCAGGTCTACACTGCTCTCTACTTCGGCGTCCTTGGTCCCGCTGGTCTCTGGGTCATGAGCCACACTCCTGTGTGGTACTTCAATACCCATGGCATGTACGAGGGCTTCCCTCACCGAACTCATCTTGCACCAGTCAAGTTCTACTATCTGTTCGAGGCCGCATACTGGGCTCAGCAGGCCATTGTGCTTCTCCTGGGTATGGAGAAGCCTCGCAAGGACTTCAAGGAGCTTGTTGGTCACCATGTTGTCACCCTCGGACTCATTGGCCTGAGTTACCGATTCCACTTCACCTACATTGGTCTGGCAGTCTACGTCACCCACGATATCAGTGACTTCTTCCTCGCTACGTCCAAGACGCTCAACTACATTGATTCTCCCCTTGTCGGACCTTATTTCGGAGTCTTCATGGTTGCTTGGATCTATCTGCGTCACTTCCTCAACTTGAAGATCATTTGGTCTCTTCTCACCGAATTCGAGACCGTTGGCCCCTTTGAGCTCAACTGGGAGACTCAGCAATACAAGTGCCGTATCGCACAGGTCATCACTTTCGCACTCCTCTCGTCCCTCCAGGCCTTGAACTTGTTCTGGCTCTTCTGCATTGCTCGAATTGCTTGGCGATTCCTCAGCCAGAATGATCTCCAGGATGACCGATCTGAGGACGAAGACGATGATATCGAGGAAGAGGAAGAGATGCCTGCCTCTGCCCTCAAGACCAACGGCAAGGCAAATGGCTTCGTCAACGGACATACCAATGGTCATGCCATCAGCAAGATCCCTGAAGATGCGAAGAACTAGATGAATTCGCACCTCAGGTTGGTATCTGAAACTAATGGAAGGAAACTGCTAGAGGAAAGGAATACGACCTACTTTGTTTCCAGGAGAGTATCGGGAAAACGAAGAGAGGGTTGGTGAGACGAATTAATGGATCAACATCATCTAATGACCACATCGAGGGATGCCACGAAACGGGCGCATAGTTATATTTCCCACTTTTTCTTTTGAGATCACGGAGGCAGCAGGATGGGAGATGGATGGTAATGGAGTTCAACTGGGAGTGGTTGGACCTCACTGTCGCTTTTGTATCAAACATGCCGGCGTTCCGAGGGAGTCCGAACTATACGGACTAATATCTGCTGTGTTGCGGTGGTAGGTTGCCGAGTCGGGCAACATACAGCCATACAATCACATGCGTGTACGAATCGTGCACACATGCATATGTTGGCTTGTCGTGTCAGCATAGGGAGCCAAGAGAGCTTCATTCAAATGAGGCAGTCGAAATGTCTTTCGACGAACTCGTCAAGCCATTTTGGAAAAGGGGGGTTCCTCACTTATATGTGCAACACTCTCGCTGGCCTCAAATCAACCTACCGCATGCACCTCGGCAGTACACCATCTCCCTCGGGCCATGTATTCAAGCACCTATATCTTCTTGTACAATCACGCTTGCCACTATCTATACGAACACACTTAATAATACTACCACCTTGACGCTCGCTACCTCTACTCCCCGACCCGCGTGCTGTTCACACTCCTAGCCCCACTTAGCTATTTTCGTGTTCGTCGGTAGTGAGTAGCTTTGCGTTTTTCAGCTGGAAGCCTCAACACGCGTCAACTTGGCGCCTTTTCATAATCCGGAGGCCCGATTACTAACTCGCCTCTTGTGTTGGATGATATACAGATCTTACCTATTATGCACTCTATGAGGTGGGGATATAACCCCCAATTTTGCCTCTTATGGATACTCTCCCAGACCCTTAAAAACACCGCATCACGCTGGAGGCGCACGCGTAAGCCGATACGAGCGAGCTCCAATATCTCCTCCGTACGGTGAGAAAGGTCATGCATGGGAGATAAGTCAGAAATAAAACGTGAACCTATCATTCGCCTGTCTGAATCGTGGGTAACTCTACTATGTCGCAGTCAGTCCACTTGAATTTCTTAGCGTAGTAGCGAGACTCAAGATGCAGTCTGAAAGAGAATATCTGCACAATGCATGCATGCATGCATGCGTGCATGGGCATGCCCTCTTGTTCGGCGGGAAGAATGGCAGTTTAAAGTGTACACATCCACTCGGGACAGGGCTTGTATGCACTGCGACATTGATACAACTTTATATGTGAATAGGTACTCTACGCACGCCGTACGCTAAGAATCAAGTAATCAGGCGGCGCAGCACATCATCACAGGATGAAGAATGTGCGACATAGGGATGAGATCCGCGGAGGTTAGCCGCCGGGAGATAGCCATACGCCGCAGACATACAGAAGACAAGCAACGACTTACAGTAACCGAGTCTCGGATGCCCCATACCATTTCCTAATGGCGTCAAAATATATTCCCTTTCAGGGGTCGATGCTACTACGGTGAGGCGCTTGTTAGGCCCCCCTCGCCGTGGATCCCGGTATCCGGGGTGGCGGGTCCGGGTCAAGTGGGGTCAATTCTACCGAGCACAGCCTCAATGTAACGGAACGGAGGACGGTCCGTAAAACACGACAACAACGCATTTCCTCAAACGTTTGCACGCTCGAAACGAGTTGAAACACGTCGTGGTAACGGGCGATTAGTTCGTTACACATATTCCGGCATATAACGACACGTGGAAATACCAAAGCGAATCACTGACTAAGAGTTAGAACAGAAAGACTTCATTCGATTACTCGCCTGCTATGCTTGCTATGCCATGCTAGTCCATACTTCAATATGCTTGACTCAGGTAAACTACCTTGCATTACATACTTTGTTCGGCCCCGAAATGGACATGACTCGGCTTGTTGTCTTCTGTCGAACAGTGTCCCTGCCTCCTCTTCCAGAGCTTTTAGACCATCGACCGTAAGATAGCAAGAGGCCATTATTTTCTCCTCGTCCTAAGTAGCAACCATTCACCCGCCGCCCCCTTCTTGAAAGAGCCAGTCGATTCATAACCGTTTCCCCCCGCATGAGCGGTCTGTTTGTCTAAAAGACCTAGAAGTCTCCTGTATAAAGACCTCGCATCCCTCAACCACTCATTTGCATCCTCTTCTGAAGACGTCATGTGTGCAATGTCGTTTGCTGTGCCGAGAGCGTCGAGCCGGTCGTCGCAGATAAGAGAAATTCAGATCAATCCATATGCCCCTTATATTCAGCCTAAGCCATGTCCCACTTCAAAAGCAAATCGTGATATCCGTAAACGCCTGCATATGTACCCTGCCATGACAATTACTATGCTATATATAGCACATTGCAACGCAAACGTTTGACTGCATTACCCCTCCTTCCTATTGCCTTGATGATAAGGTTGAAAATATTCACTCGAGTGCCTTGATGCAGGCTGTTTCGAGATGATTAGTCGGATTCCGATGATCCGATGCATTAAACACTAGAAGCAAAACGCCTCAACACCGATCCGATGCAGTCTTGATGCCGAACCTATGGGTGAAACGTCGTAGGCGGAGATGGTGCTTCGTAAGCCAAGTAGATAAAATGATAACGTGGAAGAGTTGTGATGAGAATTAAGTTAGAGGGTAGCGTCAATACTCGATGGTGAAGATGTCACGACGTTTGACAGTGAGGTCGTGTATATTGGTGAAACACTAGAGTGCTGAAACGTGAAGCAACAGCTTACTTTCGCTCCATCGAGTGCTCCTCGCTGTGGCTCGACTCTGCGTCTGAGCATGACGAAGAGGATGTGTGTGTATCATCCTCATGGCCTTGTGAACCTGAGCCGGATATGCTTCCTGAGGATCCCAGACTGTTGTAGCTGTCAATAGCACCGTCTGAATTCCTTTTTGGTCCCATTTTAGCCTTACGAAGGGCCCTGGCAGCTTTCAGTTGCGCTTCACGAGCCACGTTGAGGGCTCGCTCGGCTCGGATTTGCTTCTCCCACATAGAGGCATATCGCCCCTTAGCGGCCAGGAGTTCTTCGTGAGTTCCCTTCTCAACAATTGTTCCAGAGTTAAGAACAATGATTTGATCGGCGTGTGTGATCGTAGATAGTCGGTGTCTGAATTCATGTTAGAAAGAAAGCTGTGCAGGGTATGGAGCGGTTACATACGCAATGATGAGCAAAGTTCGGCCCTGCCCAATGTTCCACACATTGTCTTGAATCTCCTGCTCAGTATGGGAGTCTAGTGCTGATGTGGCCTCGTCCAGCATGATGATACGAGGGTCCTTGAGAATTGTTCGCGCGATGGCGACTCGCTGCTTTTCGCCACCGCTCAAACGGAGACCTCGCTCGCCGACTTGCGTGCTGTATTGATCTGGAAATGATAGGATGCGGTCATGGATGCTGGCGGCACGGCATGCTTCGTAAACTTCTTCGTCTGTCGCGGAGGGTCTTGCATACTTAAGGTTGTACATCAAGGTCTCATTGAAAAGCGTTGTGTCCTGGGGAACGACACCAATCTTCTCTCTGACTGAGTTGATGGTCAGATCCTTGACATTCTTCCCGTCCAACTCAATCGATCCCTCGTCGCAGTCGTAGTAACGGAACATGTGGCGAAACAAAGTAGACTTGCCTCCACCTGACTCGCCCACAAACGCTGTTGTGGTGCCAGGCAGACATTCGAAGGAAATGTTGCGTAGCGCGGGTTTTCGTCGGTCATAGGAGAAGCTAACGTTGTTCCAACGCACATGACCTTGGAAGTCCTTGCCCAAAGGGACAGCATGGGGCGTATCCACTACAGTTGGCTGGATCTTGAAAAGCTCGAGTAATCTCTCGCCTGAGATCATCGCCTGCTGTACAGTCCGGTAAAAAGTGCCAAAAAAGTTCAGGGGACCCTGTAGTTGTGTCAAGTATGAGACTACCATGAACCAGTCACCAGTGGTGCGACGATCCATACCCATGGCGACTTGCCAGCCACAGACCAAGGCAGCGATGATCCTACCGAGGTTGAAAACAACGGTTTGGCAAATGTTCATCATCATCATGCCCATCTGAACCTTTGCCTCGGCATTTTGGAACACTGCAACCTTGCCTTGGTACCGTCTGGACTCGAAATCTTCGGCGTTGAAGTATTTGACTGTTTCGTAACTAGAGATTGAGTCGTTCTTTACTGCTTCCTCTTCGCGGTCGGCGTTGGTCATTTCACGACGCTGATCCGCTCGAGTGGAAGCCATCTTGATAGTCATGTAGAGATACCAACAAGTATCAACCAGGTTGATCTCAGCATACAGTGGGCCGTAATAATAGTAGAAAACCGAGATTGCGAGGAAAAGATCGAAAAGCATGGGGAAAACCTGGAAGGTCACTTGCTCAAGAAATTGGTTAATAGAAGAACCTTTGTTGAGTGCTGACAGGACCTCTCCAGTGCGCTTAGAGAGGTGGAAATCGAGACTCAGAGAGTGGACGTGGTTGAAAGCCGCTGTCGTTAGTCCCCGATACGAATATTGCGAGACGGGAATCCAAAGAATTGATCTCAACGATCCCAGAAGTCCCGATTGGCCTTGAAGGATCCACAAGATTCCCAGAATCAAAAAATCTTTCAGTGGGAAGTTGTCCATTGAAAGGCGTTCGCCATCTTGAACATCTTTGATCACCTCCTCGAGATCATTTACCACTTGTTTGACTGCCATCGGAACAGCTACGTTGACCAAACGCTGTAGCATGACCAAGATGAAGCAGATGAGAACATTTATCTGAAGTCTGACAGAGTCCTTAGGCCAAAGGTAAGGGAAGAAAAGTGAGTACCCCTTAAGATACTCCCACCACGTCTTGTGTGGTAGCTTCTCGGGTCGATAAAAGGCCGCAGGTTCTTCCTTTTTAGGGAAACTTGGCGTCTTGTGTGCGTTCGAGATCGTTCTACCGCGCCCACGGCGACCATTGGTATCACGACCATTAGGAATCTGGCCATTGACCGCTTGACCATTAGTCTCATACGACCGGCGGTTTCCGTTCAGTAGTGGTGTTGACTCGGCTGGGTTGGCTTCCTCGGCTTTCTTCTCGTCAGTGTCGCGAGCTTTCCGAATCCATGCCAAGCTAAAGACTCCGACCAAGGCAAGTAGATGGAGTATTCGAACGAAATAGAGGACGAGGTCGATCTTGGTCCAGTAATCTACACAGTTTCCTTCCTTGTCTGAGCCGCTGTTTTTAACAGAGCGGAAGAAGTGGCAATCAACAGCCGCAACTGCCGTTGTAGAGAACATGATAATCTCGCCAATGAAGCCCAAGATCCAGATAATGAAGTGAACAATATTAGGGCCCTTGCGCCAATCGAAAAGCGAGATGAGGATATAAAGGTAGAAGAAAAGGGACCCGGTAACATGGACCTATGCGAAAAAGTGTCAGTTGCAGTTACGATGACTCTCGAGATCTCGAGACAGTTAAGAGGGAGTAGGTATTTCACATACAACACTCCATTCACCAGCCCATGGCAACCCCTCGTTGGACCATTGGTAAGGGTCTTCGTACCAGAAAGCATGATAAAACATGAATCCAGCGCTGCCCACATAGGTCATGAAGACAACGAAGGCGAGGTAACGAAAAACATTTTTTGCGGTACGGCCAAAACCTGGGCCGATCTTGCGGTCACCATCGCCTCGGGCTCGCTTCCTCTTGGTTATGGGTAATGGCTTGCCTCCAGGTCCTTTAACTGTAGGCTGGACCAGGTCTTCTTGTTTCTTGGAGTTCACGACGCTGTACCAAGCGGCGCAAGATATGAATGCTGTAAGTAGGATGAGGGCGTAGAGGTATTGCGTTTTGCGCAAGATATAATCGGCTAGAGGTAGATCATCACGGCCTGCACCGCGGAGGGAAATGGTCGCGGTGTCGTCGGTGGTAGCCATGATGGCGGACTAAAATAGTTGTGAGCGTCGTTCGGTGTCAAAGAGCGGCAAGCCCATATGTGAACTATTGAATCCGAGAAATAGGACGACGTCGATAGAGGAAGGGAAAGGCGTTCACCGCGGACAAAGCATCGCCCTGCCCGTGGCAATTGACGGGACAGAGGGGCCGAAAAACGAGTGAGTGGCGGGGAGACTGTGGAAGAGGCACGAGTTGAAGATGTTGAAGGGTTAAAAGAAAGACTCGAGGCTCGAAAGACGAGTGCGGTCTAAGTCTTGTCCTTGTCCTGCTTGCTTTGCTTTGAGCCGAACCTACGACTCAAGCAGGTGCCACTACCAGTGCAGGTGCAAGTGCAAGTGCAAGCGCAAATGCAAGTGCAGGGTGCAGGGGGGGAAGGTGCAAGGTGCCGGGGGCAGGATGCCGGACGCCAGGTGCCAGGTGCAGCAGGGCAGGTGCCCACCTATCCAGATTTTGGGCAAGCGCAACTCCGACGAGCATCCATTCGCTCGCAGCGCCAGTCCAGGACAAGCAACCGGTGATGGATGGCAATGGGTGTCGGAGTGCCACGGTTTCCGCAGGGTGTGCACTCTACTACAGCACAACTAACAGCACCTCAAATCTGAAGCAAGCAATGCTTTGAACAGTATTGGATGATGGAATGGTTGGCAGGTACGAGTGAGTGAGTGCGTGAATGTAGTGAGCACAGGGCGACACCATCACATCAGCTCAGCTCAGTAGGGATGGATGATAGATGCCCTAGGGATTCAGCACACCTAAGCCCTTTCCCTCCAGCTAACTACGACATCGGTCGCCAATTGCCCCTCTATCAGGTCCCAGCACCAGCTCAGCTTTTAGCAACATGGAAAAGCAGCCAGTGGAAGGCAGTGAAGACCAGGTGCCAGCAGCAATGCGTATTCAGGCCTTTTGCTTCAGTGTTTGGAGCCCTTTGGTGGGGCAGCTGACTTGGGTAAGTGGCGAAAGCCTCGCCGAAGATTGCCCTCCCGTTGGGATGCTCTCTTCTTGGCCCATCGAATGAATGATTGAGATTGAGAGGTGCCGTAGGTACGGAAAGAGAATAGAGAATAACAGGTACGTACATATTGGGTCAAACACTTGCACTGCACGGTGAACCAGCCTGAATTTGAATTCGCTGTCGTTATTCAAAGGGTCCAAGGGTCTCTACTCTAATCAGAGTTGGGAACTAATAGCGAGAGTCCGTATATTCTTGTTTTATATGATAGATAGTGTCAAAACTGGGAGGTTCCCTGTTGAGTTGTATTTACCCAAACAACTGCACGATAACAATTTGGTTTAAAATACTCGTTACTGTGACAGTTTCTGTATTGTATGGCCAGTTTAATATTGTTTTCGAGATTGGATTGCGCGGGCGCCGCCGGTGGGCGTTGCTGGATCGTTGCTAGATCGTTTGTGGCTCGATCGATAACTCGCTTGTTGCTGCTGGCTTCCACTAATTCTCGACCTTGGGAATGGAAACGGAGAGCGGGTTTTGCTATAGAAGAAGCAGCTGGCATCATATTCTGTGACTACAACATCGCCTCAGTAGGCCTCCTGGTCCATCTTGCTCCTCTTATTCCTGTTCTCGTGCTTCCCTTTCACTATCAACTTTTGCTCAACCACAAGCAACGCCTCTCTTCTAGGCCCTCTGAGCCTCCCGGCGTTCTCCTAGAGGTGGGTACACGCCTCAGGCCTGGGACACCCTGTGGTCCGGCGACACGCCTCTAGCCTCTAGCACACGCCTCTCTCGACTTGGCACGCTCCCACACACACACACGTCTTCAACTACCCAGAAGCAGCTAGGGTAGGGTGGGGCGTCCCTTTTGGTGGAGAGAGTCTTGGGAAGAGGGTCCTCTTTGAGTCCTTTCTGGGGGGGCCGGCGGTTCTTGGCTTGGGTTCCATGCTTTTATCCTCACGTCGTTCTTACCTTTGGGTCCGTTGTCTACCAGGAATTTGATGGGTCTTTACCGGGTTTATCTGAGCAACGGAACCTCGAGTTCAATGCTTGTCTCTTTGACCTGACAGGGTCTGTGTATTGTTCTATGCCAAGAGCGTGAATCACGATGAAAGAATGGTAAAGACGATAGATAGATGATCCGCAGACTCGGCGCTTTGAGCATTGACAGACCTGACCTGATAGCTTATAACGCTGGTGCCGCGGGAGCAGTAGGGGTTCAAACGAATGACAAACTCAACATTATGGAGAGACGGCGTTATTAGGACGCGACTCGGGCGTTTAACAATCGATACCTGTCTATTATTATACATCACACTGCAAAACACATGCACCGACTGGCTAAGTTGTTGTTTTGCGTGGGTCAATCAGCTCGGCTTCGAATGACACGACATGTGCCTGTTGATGATTGCGTGTAAAGCACAACTAACAGCAAATAAAGCTTGTTGTCCATTGACGGGTGCCGTACAACTGCAAGGGATGGATGTCATTCTCTGTTCTTTTTTAGGGAAACGGGTCCAATACAACATTCACTTCACCTACACCTTGTCTAGTATGGTTCCGCTTCAGGTGAGATCGGGGATTGTTTGACCAACGGCCAGGTTCCCCCAGATGGCAGGTCAAGGTTAATCAATAAGAATAGAAGTCAAGCAATGACAGGGAAATTGGAATTCATCATCATCAAGATCCATTGCTGGGTATTTTGTTAGTACGGCTGTTCTGCGAACAACGAACTGAAAGGCCAAGCAAAGTGATCAGATATCCAAAAAAAAAAAAAAAAAAAAAATAGTCATGATGTTCAGCCAAAACACTATATTTCAATTTGACTTCCCCTATTGGTTTAAGGGGTATCGTGATAGCGCACCACCTCAGCCTTGAAGATGTCCCAATTTAGACCGTGTGTAAACAAAGTCACCAGTCCTTTTCAATCCAGTCCAGCCAATCCATCCCGTCTCAACCCTCCCTGTCCCCTTGTAAAGTTTCGATAATCCGTTGCACTGACCGGACAGAACGCCGCCCAGCGGCTGATGGTGTTGGTTTGTGCGCTTCGGTAGACTACAGTAGTCATCCGCTTTACGCTGTTGTATCATGGACTCAATTGTTGTTTTTTGGCGCACAACAAAATGGTTATGGAGTCCAATGACAAACCAAGGAAACGAATCCGCATGGGACGGGCTATGTTGATTTGTGAAAGCAAGCCAGGAATTCAGAGGACTTGCATAGCTAGTCGTCTAATCGGTTTGATTAAGCGGTGTGTATGTCTCTGTCTTTGTGTCAATAATCATGAATTTCTCTTCCCAGTGACCTGATGCCTGCTTCTGATTGATTCATGAAATTCATACATGACTCCTCAGCGATCGTATCTGGAACATTTGGTGTGAACTGTAAGGCCGTGTAAGTGGTCACGGTGGCTAAGATGATGGCGATAGTGATGATGTAAGTGAGGGCCATGACTTTCCATGTTCCGTGCCTTAGCTCAGTGTAATGGTTGCACAGGAACATGTACCCCGTATTGTACCTCCAACACAACCTGCGATTTCGCTTGCTGCCGTTCCAAAGAAGAAGCGGTTGGAGACCTCTCCACGCAGGTCGAATAAAGATCACGTATTGTGCCTGGCAGGGCTTGTAGGCTGCGGGTACGGTATCAAGAGGCTTGCCTTGGCGTCATGACTATGACCCTGGCATTTGCTTCATTGAGTTCAGTTCATTGAAGTTTCTACTCCAATATGATCTATCGAGTACAATCTTTATGTGTCTCAGTTGTCTATACTGGAAAGTGACTGGCCAAGTCTTTACTTCATCCCGTGCCCAGCAGTCCTCCACCATCTTCGATCCCGACCGCCAGATCCCAGCCTTCACCTTGTCTAGGTATAGATGTGTGTACCTAGATCTGAGCTCCTGACGTAGTTTACTCTGCCCTGCCTAACCCCCTTTCCACTTCCACAGCACCACCTCTACTCCGCCGTCGTCATCCGAGTCAAGTCATATGGGAGGCCGAGTCAGGAGGACGTTTCTCGGCCAGCAACGGAGGAAAGGATCGGAGAGATCTGGCCGGGCAGATCATCGCTGTTGAGTCTTGGCTTTAGAAGTCATGATGGTGTTCTTATTCCCGAGACAAGAATCGCTGAAAAGCCAGGGTCGAAGAGGAGGGGTGGGCTGCTCTCCCGCCATAAAAAGAAAAGTGACAGCCCTCCTTCACCGGCGGGCAGGTTGTGCTGTGTTGTCGTGTCGTGTCACAAACTTTAGGCTGCAGATGATGGTCTTTGATCTTTTCCTTATTGCGCCAGCTACAGTAGTTTCCTGCATGTAGGTATGCGAATTGACGCAGGTCCCTGAGGAGAGGAAAGAGAAAACTGAGCTGCAATTGACGAATGAGCTTTGGCTGCGCCATCTGCCATTGACTATTCGTTCCATTGTACAGAGAAGTCCTAGAATACATCAGGGATCTGTTGGTTAGTGTCAAGGCGCGGGGCGGCGCTGAGCAGCGATGCGATACGATATCAAGCGGCGAGTGATGCACGGTGAAACAGGTTCTCAGGTATTTGCGATGTAATAAGTACAGTAAGTGTACAAGCTTACACAGAACGAGCATATGCGCAAAAGCCCCATTGTTGGCTCTGTACTGCACCAAACGCTGGTATTAACATTACCTAGCTGTTAATCCCCTCTCTGCTCTCCAGATCGATCGTTGTTGCGTTGGTGGGAAAGCTTTGGCTGCAGACTGCAGTGGGACTGTCGGATTCCGTGCTGCTGTCAGATGTCGGATTCGCAAGGTGAGTGATAAGGTGAGATTCAGGTCAAGGAAGAGTGCAGTCCCTGGTGTGCAAGCTAAGATTGGCGATGCACCGTCCGATTCTGGAAAACTGACAAAGATGAGCGGGCGGCTAAAATGGTCAATTAACTGATCAATTAATTTTTGCTGACATCCAATAGCAGATGTACTGTTCACTGAAGGTTTTGCTTTTGTTTACAAGGGTCATCCGTGTCTCCATACCTTCTCGATGGCGTCTCAAGTCTTTCTGTTTTCTCTCCCCACCATTTATGCCCAGGTGTCACCACGAAGGACTCATAATGCTTGACTCTCCTCCACCTTGAATATGTGCTGACTCCACAGAGGCTGCTTTTGTTGTCCTGAGGCCTGTTAGCTTGACCCTCTTTCATACAACTGCCGGTGAGCTGTAGCTGTCGTAATGCGTCACAACTTACAAGTCAGTCCATGGTTGTTTTTATTGTACAAGCGTTGCTTCTATTGTCTCTGCCAGACTTGGATAACATTGTCTGTATCAACTTTTCATGTGTTTATACTACCTCGGCAACTGAAAAGCGACAACCCCAACATCTACTAATACCGAAGAAAAGGTCCGAGCTAATTAGCAGCATTGTATACCTTACTAGCGAATATTTGGCTACAAAGAAAAGGATTCCATTGATCAATCTATTTTATCCACCATGAGGGCTTAATGTTCGGTATCCAACATGACTACCTTGGATCGCGGTCCGCGCTAGGATGGTACTGTGATTTGATCTTCATCAGTCCCAAATGAGATCTGCAAGTGCCTTTTGACTGGAACACTCTCGGTGAAGAAGCAGAAAATTTCGGACGTGTTTTTTTTTACCGTCCATAGCTACAACGCTACCTCTACTTCATCATGAGATGATGAGCATCTTTTCTCTTTCACCGCTTGCTCTGCTGCATAAGTATCTGCAGGCAATTGGGCCCGTTGTTCAAATCAAAGTGTTGTCGTGCACAGCTCATGCCAGTCATCAAGACACGCCTGTGGTCTCTACAACATTTGCTTGAATAGCTTCGCGTCAAGTTATCCGATTGATGCAAAACCCCGGCGTCTGGCCGCCAGCCAAGCATGGGTGTCTAAGCCGTTGACAGGTCAGTTCATCTTGACTGAGCATGGGAGCCACGAGAACAGTCAGCTTGTGAGACCTGGGCTGCAATACAATCCCAGTCTTGGTCACCAAAATTCCAGACCCTCTGTCTTGGACAGGATAGTGTCCTTGATGAGGTGGAAGAGTTGAGTAAAGACACCTGTCTGTGCCTCTTGTCCAACAGCCATCTGTAATCTGTACTGCACCTATTCCGCCAATCCTCTCAAGGGTCCAGTCCCCCTAGCATTCATTTTATGGATCACCACCATCACCGGCGCCGCCGTCAAAGCGGGACCTTTACTGGTTACGGTACGGAAGCTCAATTCAACTCAGGTAACTTATGGGTAGCAACTCGTAAAGGTGCAGAAATGAGCTGATGGATAAAAAGAAAGCAAAGCAGAAAACAAAGACAGGCCAGGCAAGAAGATAGCGGAATGTAAATTGTGGAATGCTAAGTCCGCATCACCTGTTGTACTTGCTGTTGCGGTATCCCAGGTCACGGTCCCGCGAGCCATAACATGAAGTGGGAATGACTGGTTGAAGACCCGGTCAGACTAAGAGGACAAGCGGATGGTCGCCCCTCCGTCCTTACTGATTACGACTGGTAGCCCAGCACCAGGGCTCAAAGAGCCGCTCCGTCACGATCCTAGTGTTGGTTTTAGTGAGCCATGGCAATGGCATGGCAGCCTGCACTTGAGCCCAGCTTGGAATAAATTCAAAGCCAAGCCAAATTGACACAACCCTCCATTGCCAACTGATCAGTAATGTTCGGTGTTCTAAACATGGAAAATGGTATGGATTGACATCCGATTCTGTATTAGCCAGAGCCAAAGATCATGAAAATGTCTAAGTAAGTGTGATAATGACCCCACCTCCACAATTGATGCCGTTCTTCTCGGTGTAAGTGAGGACACCTCCTAAGGGACAAACACTCCAATACAGCTGCTGAATGTGAGAATCAACCTTCTAAAAGAGTCAAACGTGCATTCGTCTCACTCCGACCAATTCAAGCCTCACCCTTTTCTTCGGGTCCTGTGCCTTAATCAAAGTGGTGTTGGTGGTAGGTATGTCGTTGTCGTTGTGGCTGTAGTGGGCAGTGGGTGGTGTCATATCTGCAGACGACTGCATCTAGTCGAAGGGGCTTGGACCGGGTCGAGATCTGGCGAAACCAGGCCCTCTTCTTTTCCATCTTGTAACAGATTCACCCCGAGAATACACTGCTTGGCATCCGCACCCAGGTACGTGTTACCCCATGGGCTTTCTGAAGGAAGCGAGAAGTGAGGCCATTCAGGCCAAGTCAGACTTGCTGATGTGATGTGATGTGATCAAGGTAATACGAGGTGATACCGAGTGATGTGAGATATGAGCTACGGGATGCCATACATAATGTATGTATTATGTATGTATAGGTAGGTAGGTGAGTATGCGCATGTATGTATGCCCCGAAGTGAAACTTGAAGGTTGCTGGGATAGAGCTCTTGCATAGGTTGTATACATACTACCTAGGAATGAATATCTTACGCAGTAAAATACTGGGGTATCTTGTTCATTTAGGCAGCCTGCATCAGTCTGCACAACTCAAAACAAGGCGAGCATAGTCAGCGAGTGCCTAATTGACTCAGATGCATATATTGATTTCAAGGATATCCTTTCTTACGGCGCCTTCTTAACTCACCACCTCCCACCAGAAAGATATCGAGACTCGATACGATTCGATATGAGCGTCCCCTTCGCTTACCTAACTTCCCTTCACCTACATTATGAGATGTTGCCAGCCGCCGGCTGCAACTCTCAGAGTCTTTGAGGCCAACTGTTGCTGTTTCTATTTCTGTTGTGCCTTCCTTCCTTCCTTCCTTTATTGTACTGCACCGCACTACACTCCCGTTTTCTGCGCTGCACTGTACCTTCCTTGTCAACATTTCAAAACCTGATAGCATCAGCAAGGAAAGAGTCAGCAAATATGGAAGGACGGGGCCGGTGGGGATTGCCTGCCGAATACCTGAGATTCAATCAGTGCCTTACCTTACAGTCCGGCAGATTGAACGGGATACCTATCTTGGTACCTCCTTAGACATCCACTCCGGACAGCCTCCTTCAGCTTCCCTCCACAACTTCATACCTTGCCGGCTTCATGAAGAATTGCTTGTCTGACAGCTCACCTCTCACAACTTCCGCTGCTGGTTCAACATGCCTGATCCATGATCTTTTGCGCCTTATCACTAGCTGCACACTTGTCTAGTGTATTGTATCTCGCGAGCAAGGGACCTAGGTAAGAAGAGCCGTTCATACTCGTCAAGACATACCTATCATACCGACCTTTATTCAGTTCCCAAATGGTGATGCATCATTCGTTCAGCTCTGGCCTTGAGTCCTACACAAACTCCACTGTCCGGCATGAGTAGCTTCGAAGGGTCTTATCTTCTCTCGTCTATCTTGTTTCCTCTATATTGTTTACGCGTGACATGCCTTTCTTTGCTTATTGCTTTAAGAGCGCAGATTCACTCCTCGTATTGGTCGCTGACCTACCTTACTCACCTTACAGTCATCATGTCAGGTTAGGTTAACCACAAGCCTACACACAGATAACCCTGCCCCCGAAGACCCCTGCCAGTGTCTTGTCCATAGACACTCTCTCCAAGCTTATACTGCCTTATTGCTTTTTCGAAACTCAAAACCGCCAGCAACTCTGTGCATTTTCACCTCGGCAGGAGAAATGATCTGTCATTAAGAAGTGCCAGGCAGTATTCGGCAGGCATTACGTTTGCGATTGGGTCATGGCATGCCCACCTCGAGACTCGTTTAGATGCACAGTGCTGCTCAACAGCCTTGGACAGGTTATGGTCTGGCCGGTAGTCCTTTGATCATTATGTCGATTCGCCTCCACGGCCCGTGGTATCGGACTTAACTTTCCTGTTCTGACACTCGTAAATTTCACATGAATACAGGCCTCAATACTCTGTTCAATGAGATCAGTTCCAGAGACATTATTCATGCAAACTCCGTTCTATTGGGTCTCGGCCTCGCCAAGCAATACATCCGCCCATATGCGGCTCGCCATCGGTTTGCGTTTCATAGGCCCACAAGGAGCTACGCATACGGGACGATACATACGACTGAAAATGACCGCCATTCGATGTTGCGTCTTGAGTGCTTTTGGCGAGTCATTCATTCTTCTTCAAACTACCAGGATACAACCCCTACTCTCTATGGTTATCTCATGTCGAGGAAATACATGAATAGCATGCAATCAGTGTCACTCGCCGTTCGATCAAGTGCTGTCCCTCATGGCTTGCAATGCTTCTGACTAAGCCCTCGTGGCTCCCCAACGTCACTGCACGTATAATATGCAGCTGAATACGCTTCAGCTGCCTGTTCTAGTTTTCTGGGGAAACATGTGCGTGGCTGCAAAGCAATATGATAGGTGGATGCGCGGTGTGGGACGGTGACTTTGCGCGGTACTTCACTTGACCGGTCAACCACGAGGAGATCCTGGAGATGGCCCACTACTCTTTGGCTCCGGCTCATTCTTCGCCTCAAGCCTCGATGATCATCCCCCACATCAAACGACAAGATCTCCAATCCGATACTTCAGCCTCAATCGCAAGGGAGACTTAGCCCAGCTAATCACCACCCTGTCAGCGAGTTTAGGCACCTCGGGTCGACGACGTGCATCCTTGTGCATACATACCTCATGCTATCACCTCAGGTAGATAGCTACTTCAAGACATGGCTCACCGACAAGTCTGTCGACTAACGGGAAGTTTATTCCAGCAAATGGGGTTCATCCCGAGTTTCGATAACGGTTGCATTGTGATACAAACAAGCTTGCAGGTTTCCGCTCCAATGGGTCCAACCAGCTTCACCGCGAGCCGAAATCATACTCAAACCCTTGCAACAGGAAGTAATACTGATGGCATTACGGGACTTGTCGGGGCTTTCATCGGCTGAATGAAGCCGATTATACCTCACAGAAGTGGTCCAAGACAAGTTGTGAACGGTGTCTGAATGTCTGAGATTTGTGGGAGATAAGAAACGGTAACACTATTAGAGAATATGAAAACCGGCATGCTACTTGGGCTTGTCAAGTGCTATGCTTGACTGGTCAAGTGGACTGTTTCTCTCTTTCCTCGCCTTGGAAAGCAAGGAGATCTCTAGTCGACGTCCTGCAACCACTTGGGCAAAGACCGAAATATGCAGCTCGGAATCTCAACTCTGAACATGCAGGACGGTTGGGTTACTTTGCTTGCGATGAGTGCCTTCGTTTCAGATGTGACAGTCTGTCCTATCAGAACACTTGTTTCATGCACTGAAAACAACAGACAACTTCGTTTCACTTAGCCAAATGGTCATCAAATATGGTGGAGATGGACAACGTTTGCGATCCTGCTCGCCTGCTGCTTTCGCGAGTCAATGATTCACATCAAGCGTATGTTGAACATCTCCATTACACTTTTGGCCTCATTCCGCAAATTACGATCAGGGAAAGATACTCATGACTTCGCAGATTATATGCAAGTCCTTGGAAACCTCCAGATAGCTAGCAGGCTTCACATGGATTTCTTATCTTAAAATCGCTGACAGAAGGAACAAACCCTTGAACAGCTGTAAGTTGGGTCCCGTCTGACGTGGAATAACAAGAGTCCAAGAGCCCAAGAGCTCTCCCTGCTCTCAGCTGCAACTGTGATGGGTCGATGCGATAAGGTTCGCCGTGAGGGCCTTTTTGTTGCTTCTTGGGTGCTGTTCACCGCCTATACAACTATGACCGCAATGTTGGGGTGGCTACCGGGGTTGGCGAGCTACCGAACAAACAAGCAACTGGCCCCCCTCAGCCAAGAACATTCGGTTGACTTCCCCAAGTTATCTCATCTCGCGGCAGCAAGGGCTCATGTGATGGCTTGGGACGGAGCCGTGCAGCGCGGGGGAGCGAAGCTTCCGGAGAATTATACTAGACAGCTACAGGAAGCTCAATTCCTTTGATTGTGGCGTGGCAAGCTAACAAACAAGACGAGACGGTGATGTGTCGGTGTGAAGAGTGAGCACAATGCCTACAGGCTCCGACACTGGGAAACTGTCATTACCGGGTATACCAACGGGTCGGGCCGTAAGTCAGTCCAAGTCCAGTTGAAAGTGGGATTTCCGGTGAGATAGTTGACATGGATGGATGATTCGGGTACCGCCAGTCTGTGTAGTGGATGCCTGGGGTAAAGTACCCGTCGGAACGCATTGCATAACCCAAGGTAAATCACTAGCGACGACAGGGCTCAACACCATCGGCATCGACCATGGCATAACTATGTATGTCTGTTTGTCGTCATGGGCACAAATGTCAGCCCGATAGCCACATCGTGCTACCTATGGGCCATGGTACGCCCCGAATCTCTCAACTCAATAGTGGATGTTCCCGGATGACATCCGCATTGTCCTTGTTGGTTAAGGATGAGGGTGGTTGCATCCTCTTAAGGCACAAAGTTATGCCTAGTACACGGAACGGGGAACTCTTCCCCCCCGTCAGGTGAGCATCTGTTTTCTGTCTTCCAACGACTTACAAGTGAAACAACATTTGAGGATGCAGGGTAAGTAGACCGTCTCACATCCATGTTGATGACATTCTTAAGGATGGTCAATATGTCCGGTGCCGTCGGCATCCCAGATTAGCCACGGCGAATAACTTTTCTTTGCCAATTTATCGAAGCGAGCGGTCAGACCATTGGCTTGGTCGTGAGGCACCCTAGAATTGCAAGACGAGCCCAATGGCGGGGATCTTGCCATGATGATACGAATTGTACGTCTCGGGTCTGACTCAACTCTACAAACATCATTGACGTGGAAGAAATGGCGTCAGGGGTCATAGTGAGAACAACTCGGACACATCCTACTGGCCATTCTATGTATTGGGGAATGATGTACGACTGTCGGCCGTCTCTTTTCGCATTATACCCAAGAGATACAGTGTTGTCATATCTCGCGATATATCCCCCCAAATCACCTCAACCAAATTCCAAAACAAGCCCGTGTTCATTCATTGCATACTTTTCTGTCTGTTGTTAGAGATGGTATATTGTCCTTTGGCCTGGTATGTGAGAGCGAATCACCAAATTTAAACCCATCGAGCTCCTTGGAATAGTCAATAGTAAATAGTTGATGGTGGGCTACGGGGGGGATTTTGAGACAACGGTTAATTCTGTCTGGCTTAATTAATTTACAGAATCTCCGACATGCAGTGTAATGTAAGTCGGAGAATTATTCTCTTTATCACTTACAAAACTGCCGTATACCAGCCTCCAGAAACTGATTAAGTGCTCACATCTGAATAATGCAATTCTCCCATAGAGTCATGATTCACCTGGCCTAGAATGTTGTAATCCATACCTTCTTCATGCTCTTTTCGTTGACCTTAAATTTTTATGGTTTAATAACTCTGGTTGTTGCATGAAGTTATCATAAGACTTAAGTTTCGCTTAACCATCCCTTGCTGCAATGCTATTCGAGATGGCGAACAAACATGATAGAACCTATATCTTAAGCCCGTTGTCTTATCTTCGGCAGGAATAGTACTTTCAATGGTCATTGACAATAGCATTCAGATATGACTGAATGTGTTGAGTTGATGGAAATTTCAAGTCCACAATGAGATATCACCAAATCTCGTGTATTAAGGAGTACCATAAGATCTCAATCTCTTTTAGACCGGACGCAGCCCACAAGATGAGTCTGATAAGATTGACGAAATTCCCTTCGCGATATCTAGTGCGTGGTGTAAATCAATGAACTAGGGGTCAAACTCGTAAACAAGCCACACAGCAAGCGAAGTGATCTTGACCAGGGATAGAAAAAGCAATACTCTCTGAAACGTACAGCAAGAAGTGACAATGGAGCTAGAGAATCAAGTGCCATTGTGCTCTGCTGAAGCTTCTATTCAACTGAATGAGATAACTTACTGAATGTTTATCTCATTGTCGTCCAGAGCGTGTAAGTGCTTGCTCTATATGATATTGTGTTGTTTATTCTTATTCGGATTGGTCGATAGGATAACAATAAAGTTTCTCTGTGGAGCACCGCCACAACCAGAGTGGAGTCTTGCGCCCAATCAAACACAAATGCACTTCAGCCTTGTGCGCCCTGAAGCTTTTATCCCCAGCCTCAGCCTTGCTACTACTTTCTGACGATCAACCTCTATCTTCTGTATCATTGAGTTGACCTCTATCGATACATTGTGGGTGGGTAAGAGCTCCATTTTTGGCCTTTGCTCAAGTCGGAGAACGCCGCTAATCATATTGTTATAGTTCAATTGTTATCTTAGAAATAAACGAAGTGATACTCCTGACCTAGCGTACAACATTCGAGCTTCGGAGCGACCGATCGAGAGCCCTCGCTGTGTCTTGTACACGATATTTGGCTCAGCATCGAAGGAAAAACTATTGCGATTGGTCAAGAGTCCCCTCAGACCAACACTTTCCGTCTCCCGCCGACGCTCTCCCTCAGCGGGACCAAAATTGATCATCCTCCACCTGCATCGCCATCATGTCCAACAACGCACCCTCTACCCCCGTCAAGGTGCCCTCCAGCGCCGCAAACCACACACAGGCGACTCTGGATCCAGATTTACGCTCACAAATCAACACAGTGCTTCTGCGCGACGGTCACGTCTCAAAGTACTCTCCCCCTCCCTCGCCAGTTTCTATCATGACAACCTACTAACACACTATCCAAGAATACAAGATGCTCTTCTCCACGCGCTAAACTCTCATTCTACAAACTGGCCCACGGCCATCCAATCGCATGCACTTGCTCTGCTGCGCTCCGGCGAAGTGACAACTTTTCCCGCCCTACTGAGTCGCGTGCTCGAAGATGTCCGGCACGATTCTGCCCTCAACCCCATATCATCGAGCTCGAACGGAACGAGCGCTAAGCCTGCAACAAACGGCGATGCCCCGAAGACTAATGGTGCGGCTGACGCTAAGCCTAGTCTTGCTGTGCCGGAGTCGGTAATCGAGGAGGCTCTTCGCGTCACCAGGGAGAGCCTAGAAGCTGTTTGCGACATCGAGGACGAAGGAACCGCTTAAGATGCGGCTATCCCTTGAAACATTTGAACCAAGTCAAGAGGTGATAGAATAATTCTCGTCGCATCAGAAAATATGCCCGGCATTCTGAATTACAACAAAACCGAAGACAATATCCAAACAATGCGAGAAGCCCAACAAGGGTTCGATAACTTGGGTGCTTACTACCATACACCAGCAAGCCCTACATACGCAAAACCGGACAAGTCAGGATACGCCCAAAGAATAGCTTAACGAGGGCCTTTATTGAATAGCAAACTAACTTATATTATAATGCACAACAAACATACTCGCACGGGGTGTTGGAAGGGAGACAGGACCCCGAACGCATGGACACGAGACGATAACTACGTATGACACAAATGAATAGACATTACCTTGATGACTATCTCTGACGATTTTGCTACGGTGAAAAATTAATGTCTGCCCTTCTTGGCGCCACAAGGCTGATGTACTTTATGAATATCTCCTACGTGAAGGCGAGAAATGTTCATTTCCAGCTGCAGACTGATGGAGCTCTCAGCTTCATTGTATTAAGACGACTGTTTACAAGCCTTGTATCAAATGAAATAAACAGTATAGGGGCCAAGCAGGAAGCGCCCATCTTACCACAGATTTATGACACCTGCTAATATAATCAATTTAGCACACACAGGAAACAATCACTTTTAGACTTGATATAAAGCTAAGGGAATCAATTTCATCATCTATCAAAACGCAAATCCGTCTCGAGTCACACCGTGACTACTTTCATATCCTTCTGGCTAATCAGAAAAGCCAGGATCAGGTTGCCGTTCTTCTTTCCTCTACCATTCTACCAACTCCCATTCGAATATCAGCTGCATAGAATGCGTGAGTAGATTGCCCACTAGCAGCCTACGAGCCAATGTAGAGATGTGCGAGTGAAATTATTAGAATACAAAGGACTCATGTCCATACAGTCGTTGCCGTCCTTAGTCGTAGAGATCATCATCGTTGCCAGCATCGCCAAATGAGTTACCGCCGTCAGCACCAGCAGCCTCGGCACCGGCCTCGGGAAACTTGAAGAAGGCACCAGGACCAGCGTTCTTCATCTGTTGGGCAAAAGCCTCGTACCGGCGGATCTCGACGTCAGATACTGATCGGCGAGCCATCTGCATAGCCTCCTCAAAGTGGGCCTTGGTCAGCTCGGGCACGGGGTCCTCAGCATCCTCATCTGTGTCCATCTCGTCACCAGCAGCCTCGCGAGCCTTCTGGCGCTCGATATCGGCAGCGATAGACTCCTTGATAGCGATCTTGACAGCACGCTGTGTGATGAAGCCGATATCAGCACCAGAGAAACCGTGGGTCTTGGAGGCAATGTAGCCGAAGTCGATATCGGAGGCGATGGGGGTCTTGCGGAGCTGGGCCTTGATAATGCTGAGACGACCGGGCTCATCGGGCAGAGGTACGTAGATGAGCGAGTCGAGACGACCAGGTCGGCACAGAGCAGGGTCGAGCTGCTCGGGTCGGTTGGTGGCGCCAATAACGAAGACATTCTTCTTGGAAGTCATACCATCCATCTCAGTCAGGAGCTGGTTGACGACACGGTCAGAAGCACCGCCAGCATCACCCATGGATCCACCACGAGCCTTGGCAATGGAGTCAAGTTCGTCAAGGAAGACAACACAAGGAGCGGCAGCACGAGCCTTGTCGAAGATGTCTCGGATGTTGCTCTCAGACTCACCAAACCACATGCTGAGAAGCTCAGGTCCCTTGACGGAGATGAAGTTGGCGGCACACTCGTTGGCAACGGCCTTGGCCAACATAGTTTTACCAGTACCAGGAGGACCAAAGAACAGCACACCTCGAGAAGGAGACATACCGAACTTGAGGTACTTCTCGGGGTGGTCGACAGGGTACTGAACGTTCTCCTTGAGATCCTGCTTGACCTCCTCGAGACCACCAATGTCCTCCCAGCGAACGTTGGGAACCTCGACGACGGCGACCTCGCGGAGAGCGGAGGGGTTGGACACACCAAGGGCGAAACGGAAGTTCTCCATGGTGACACCGAGAGAGTCAAGAACCTCGGCATCGATTGTGTCCTCGTCGAGGTCGATGAGATCCATCTTCTCACGAATCTGCTGCATAGCGGCCTCAGAGCAGAGGGCAGCAACATCGGAACCGACGTAGCCGTGTGTCTCGGAGGCAATCTGCTCCAGGTCGACATCATCGCCGAGCTTCATATTCTTGGTGTGAATCTGAAGAATCTCAAGACGGCCAGTAGGGTCAGGGATACCAATGTCGACCTCACGATCGAAACGGCCGAATCGTCGAAGGGCGGGATCGATAGAGTTGGGACGGTTGGTAGCAGCCATCACGACGACGTTGGAGCGGGCCTTCATACCGTCCATGAGGGTAAGGAGCTGAGAGACGACTCGTCGCTCGACCTCACCGTTGGTCTTCTCACGCTTGGGGGCGATAGAGTCAATTTCATCGATGAAGATGATGGCAGGGGAGTTCTTCTCAGCCTCCTCGAAAGCCTTTCGGAGGTTTGACTCGGATTCACCAGCCATCTTGGACATGATCTCAGGACCGTTGATGAGGAAGAAGAAAGCACCAGTCTCGTTGGCAACAGCTCGAGCCATTAGAGTCTTACCGGTACCGGGGGGACCGTAGAGCAGAACACCTCGGGGAGGCTTGATACCAATAGACTTGAAAAGCTGGGGATGTCGGAGAGGAAGCTCAACCATCTCTCGGATCTGGGCCATTTGCTTTCGGCATCCACCAATATCATCATAACCAACCTCGTTGAGGTTGTTCTCTTCCTCGTCTCGCTGGATAGGCTCACCCTCGCAGTGAATAACAGTATCTTGTGCGACGATACCATACTCGGGAGGATCGACCTCGACAACCTTGAATTCTACTTGTCTCATACCACCGCGGACGATAAACAAGTCTCCTTGGCGAACAGGTCGGTAAGCTTCTCGGAAGTAGGGAGCGAGGAAAACGTCGAACAGGGAACCGGTGATACCCTCGACGGTATCAGCAATGGGGAGAACAGCAATTCGCTTGGCCTGCAGAAATGTTAGAAGCCAGTTCATGTTTATATTCAGTGGTTACTGACGTATTTGATATCCGGGCAAGGGTGGATGGTGATCATATCACCGTGCTTGACTCTCAAATTGTGACGAACGACTCGGTTGATGCGAGCGCTGCCATCATCGAGTTCCTCGTCGGCAAGAACGATGAGGACGGTGTCCTTTCTCTTCTTGCCTCGAACCAGAACGGTATCACCTCGGAAAAGCTGGAGCTGGTCCATAGTGGCCTCGGAGAGGGCGATAATGCTGTTGTCATCGTTGACGGCATCGGTGACCCTTGGTGTTGTCAGTAATTGTATGCGAACTGAACAGCGCAAAGCACCTACATCAACTGGTTAGGCTTCTTCTTCTTCTTGAGAATCGCGGTCGCGACATCATCCTCCTGCACAGCGGTTAGCGACATGTTGGGGCATCTCATCAAATGGTATGTCACGAACGTTCTTGACCTCGGCGCCGGAAGGGTCGCTGTAATCTTGTCAGTTATTCCGCTTGCCGAAAGAACAGTGATCGGGATAGATCCAGAGGTGGTTTTTCACATACGTCAAGTTGACCTTCTTGTGGGGGTGGTGCTCGTCAGGCTGGGGAGCCATGATGGTTATCTGGATGCTTCAGGCGAAGCTGATGCTGGCTCGGTGATGACGAAAGGAGGGGGAGCTGTGAGTGTTGCAAGATAAAAAAAAGCCAAGTGCTGGCTCTTGCGTGTGTGATGTGTGTTTAAATAGAAATTGCGGAATAGGAGAATTCGTGGGGGGGATGTAGAGAGAAAGTTTGTGTTGAAGTTTGAGAGATGCAAGAGTTAAAGCAGAGGTGAGGTCGGAGGTAAGGTAATGAAGGTTCGAGCTGTTCTCAAAGGCCACAGGGCACCTTCCCTCTCATCGGAACTGTTTGACAGTGATTCACTGGCCGACCGCCACAGCTGTGGGCCAATGATATCACCGGATTCCCTGAAACGGGGCGGAACAATGATGTTGCAAGGATGGAAGTAGCTTAGCTCAGCCGTGCTTGATGGTGGGGCTCTAGGCTGGCACTAGTATGATGAACAGAGGCGGGCGCAAGGCGGTAGCAACAGGCAAACAGAGAGTGACGACTACTACAAAGGCAAAACAGGTGGAAGCCAGCAGAAGCTTCCATTGTACTGTAACAAGGTAGGTTTTGGTTGCAAATGAACATATAGTTTGCTCTATAATGATTTTAAACACACTGCGTAAATTACCTTACACATATTTGCTCATGATCCCGCCACCTTGTTGAGTGCCACGCAGGAACCGTGGACAGTACTTAGCTCTTGCATTGGTAGCTCGGTCTACACTGTCTCAAGTGTTACAGCGGCATATGGCGGTCATGGTGGATCAAAGGCTTCCATTTGTTGCGCGGCCCCAGCTGCCTACCTCGACAATCAGCGTCTCAGATGACAATACTGACGATACTTATGGATCAAGTTTTGACTCACTCGCCATTTTCCAACACTGATGCTGTTTTGCCCATTATAATTTCTTGAAGTATCTTATAAATCCTCTCGCCTCTTCGCCATCTTGAATCTCGAATCGTCCAGTAACCCACTGCACCCTGCTGACAAACATGATGGAACGATCTATGTCATTGAACTTGTCGGCAAGGTGGAGGAAATGGTGTCAACCTGGGCCGTGCTATGACTCGGGGCATCTAGGGCGTATTCAAAACACTTCCTCTCGACCGTGAGGTACTAGCCGCAGTTATTCTTCGTCCGAGCTTCAGGCTTCTCATGTTTATCTATCATCCAGACTACACTGTCTGATGTTACTCTCAAGGAGCAAGGAAACTTCTGACATTCGATAAGGGTGCCAGAAATAATCAGTCTAAAGACCTACGAAGTGCATACTAAGCTTGTTAAGTCTGTCCTAAACTTATTCGAGTTTTTTTGTTGCTTTGGATGTATATCCTAAGTTTTCTTACCTCTCCTAGGCTACCTATAATGTGTGCATATCCAGGGAAATATATTGGCATACTTATAAGTTGAAATGAGAAAAAGAAGAAGAAAACAAGGAACGTCTTCTTCTTCATCTTATGCCATCTGCGATGCAGGTCATTGTTGTCCATGGCATTTGATCTAAAGGCTACCCTGGAGCTATAGAACCCACAACCAATCATAAGCTCTGCTGGCATGTTCAGCTCATGATTAGACACCATGGGCGAGCACATTGGTATGAGTGTACTACACTGATTTCATTTGCTCATCGCAGGTACATCCCGCCCGGTGATTTATCTCAATGAACAATTCTGAACTTCCTGGGCATGTGAGAAAACTCATTGTGTGATCATGTAAGCAGGTGTCAAGACTCTATAGTCACATCAAGGCCATCACACTGAGCCGCACTAAGAGCTTTTACAATGAGGTCACAACCTTCATAGAGAAAAACTACTATTCATCCTTCTCAAACGAATCATTGAGATACGTCACAAAGGTGTCTCTCAGCCGTGAAGACTTCATATCGCCCACAGCCTCCAATCCAATACCACCTCTATTCAACCCCATGAACGCCCTCCTTAACCTTTGTAATTGTGGGAGGCCAACCTTATTGCCCGCGGGTAAATGTATCGTCAGTTCTACAGAGCCAGACGGTATCCGTACCTCGTCAACGTCGTCACCCTCTCGCTGTGCTTCGACTATGCGCTTCACAACATCCGATGTCTCGCGATCCAGGAGATACAAGTAGTCACCACTTTCCTCGCGGCCGCGCTGTATTGTTGCTTGATTCGGGCGCACAACCTTGCGGGCTTCGCCGGCGATTGCGTCCCAGAGGTCGGAGAAGACCTTGTTGGTTTGGGCCTCATCATCCTCCCAGATAAGCGTGAAGAGAGGACTGTCCCACCTGGTCATGGGATTGGGTTCTTCGTATCGAAAGACTAAGTTGTCCCAATTGCCGGGCTCGTATGGCTCTGTAGAGTCCACGATCGTATCGCCGGAAGTTGTAGCTGAAGGCGTTGCCTCTTCTTTATCCGCTGTCTTGGATGCCTCGGCCTCTCTCTTCTTTAATCTGGCCTCATTAACCTCACGTGCCTTATCCACTGAACATCCAATCTGCAGTATACAGCTCGGTGTGCGCACAGCCTTAGATTCGCAGTGTAGTTGGTATCGCCAACCCTTGATGTAATTTAAGCCATCAAGAATCACAATGTCCTTGTCGCTAAGTACGCGCTTCACGGCGCCATAGATTGTAGCGCGAGCATCCTTCTCTGAGGCGTTCGCAGACCTGGTATGTGCGGGGAGACTCGAAAGATCGTAAACGGAACGGGAGATAGAAAGGGATTCGTCAGAGATGAGGTGTAGGCGATATTTTGAATCGGCGATACGCTTGGAGAGGTAATCGTAAAGTTGTTGTGATCGTGTCGACTTGCCTGAGGTAGGTAGTCCAGAGACAATGATGAGCTGGGCGATGACTTAGCTGAGGGGTCGTGTAACTTGTCACAAAGTGGGGGACATACAGGCATCGTCTGGTGAGAGGAAGTGATTCAAACTTCCTAGATCGACAACTACACTTGAGAATAGTAGTGTGTGAACATCAGGCCTCTTTGGCGCTGTCGAAGTTGGTATGGAGGTCTCGTCAGTGGAGGAAGTTGTCGATTGGAGAATTTTCGAAAGGCTCGACGTCATTTGGAGGGTTCACTTTGTGTGGGGTTACCTTAGCTTAGTGCCTGTAAGACCCTTGATTGATCAACAGAACAAAGCTTGAGTGAGTCAAACCACGGCCTCGTATAATGTAATTCGTTATCAGCTAAACACCAGTACTTCAAAAAACTTCTGTTTCATGTTGCTCTCTTCAGCAGGAGAGTAATTCGAGGCGGCAAAGCCGAAGTAACTAAGGTACCTTAGGCAGATGTCGATACTTGCAGTTTCAAGAACTTCCCGAAAAGGGAACTCAAAATTCCCTTCAACAAAGAACTCTCCCTTACAGGCGCAAGCCACGATCTTACATGCAGAAGAAGTGTCACTGACTAACATATTCGCTCTCGCTTTGGTCGTTCACACGGATCACGGCACTCGAATAGACAGCCCTACAAGGTAAGGTTCGTTACAGCCACAAACCAGAACCCTGCAATCCCATTTGAGCGGATCGCGAGCTAAACCAAATTGGGCATACGATTCGATGAATGAACTCAGCCTTGGTGGGATATCGCATTCTCATTTTGCATGCGACCCTGTATCTCGGGAATGACGCCGGGCCATAGCTCCTGATGCCACACGGCGGCAAGGTTTATGGTTAAGTCTCTGTTTCTCATGCATATCTGGTAAAGGACGTTGTCTCGTTTGGGCAAGTGTCTCGAGCTGTCAATATTCAGTGGGGATAAACTGAGGCTGTGATGTTGCCGTTGTGCCGACTATACAGCATCTCCTATATTCAAGTTTGGGCATGCGAGTCGACGGTGACATGTATAAGTATGCCTGTATCTCTCGAGTTGGGAGAAATATTCAATAGATCACAACAGAAATACAATCATCACTTCTTCACTTCATACTCTTCGCCTACCATCAATTCATTTACAAGTCAACTATTCTCCAAGGACCATCTTGAAACTCAACTGACTTTTTGTTCACATACTAACCACAACAAACTCAACTACAATGGCTCGACCTATGGACGCTCACGATGACATTGCCATCGCTGAGATTGTCATCTATACCTTCATCCTCATCGGAGCCCTCTTTCTCTGCAAGACTCATGGCTTTGGACGCACTGCTGGCTGGCTCTACATCTGCATTCTATCACTTGCCCGTCTAATCGGCTCTTCTATGCTCCTCGCAACTATCAATGACCCAAGTAACACAAGCCTTTACGTTGGCTGGCTTACACTGAACGGTCTCGGTCTCGGCCCCTTGATCCTTATCCTTCTCGGCCTGCTTAGTCGTTGCTTCGATTCTATCAAGCGACAGGGCGGCCGCGGCGTTCTACCGATCTATCAGCGTGCGATCCAACTTCTGATGCTTGCTGCCATTATCCTTATCTCAGTTGGCGGTGCCAACTCGGACTACGAACTCAACGGCTCCTCTCCCAGCGTCAAGTACAACTCCGAGTGCAAGATTGGTGTCATCCTCATGATTCTTGTACTTGTCTTGGTTTTGGGCCAGTTCTTCCTTGCTCTCCGTAGCCAGTCCTACATTGCTGATGGCGAGCATCGACTTCTTATCGCCGTTGGTGCTTCTCTGCCCTTTGTCGTTGTCCGACTTGCCTACACCTGCGCCCTCATCCTCGGCGGCCACAAGCAGGATGTTTGGATGTATCTCGGTGCTGGTATAATTATGGAGATGATGGTCGCGATCATCTGCGAGGCCGTTGGATTCACTCTCTGTAAGGCTCCTAAGCCCACAGAGAGCCAGGAGATGATTAACATCAAGGATTCGACCGAAGCATAAGCAAGGGATGTCTAAGAAAAGTGGTGGAGAAGACTTTTGAATATATTGTAACAAAATGTTAAAGCGTTCGATTTCACAGATACATTTGGGTATAGAGGAGCCTTGATCTACATACAATACAGCTTTCCTATGTCTAGCGAGCAAATAAAGACTTGATACATATCTCCATCAATTCAATTCTTAACGTGAACGTTCCGCATGTCTTTCATCTAAATCACCTAGCCTTTCCAGAATGCTTGACAAGATAAAGTAATCACAAACAAGGATTTCAGAAGGCCACAATCTCTCCAACCCCACACGATCAGGGTATAAATGCGTTGAAGAAGCAGTCCAAAGAAGCTTTCCACGAATGGCAACTCAGAAGAGTATATCCAAGGTTTACATGACCACACAACAGGCCTTCTCCAACTTCTTCAGAATCCAAGGCAGCACCTGCCCGACGTCGTCGTTCTGCTGTTCCTGCTGGTGGTGCTGAGGCTGATGATGCTGAGGTTGGTGATGCTGCTGCCCACCATGGTGACCACCGTAACCACCAGAGTGCGAGGGAGGGACAGGATCTCCGCCCTGGAGGTTGATGATAATTCGCCCAGTGTTGTCCTCATCGGTCTCGTACCGGAGACCAAGTTCTTGGCACAGCTCCTCGACCTTGGGCTTGAGCTTCTGGACACCACCAGCTGAGTGGTGTCCCTTGCCGACGATGGCATAGAGATGTGTCTGTCCATTGCGCTGGTCTGCACGAATGCGCTCCTCAAGAATTCTCTCAGCCTCCTCGACGTATAGACCATGAAGATCGATCGAGTCCGCCTCTACGCGACCAGAGGCGTTGTTCTCACGGAAGATGAAATCGGCTGCTTGCTGGTTGTAATCATCCATACGGGCAGCATGTGCCTTGCCCTGATTGGAGAGCTCCTTTGCTCCAGCACCATCGCCATCTTCATATGCCTGACGCGACTGCAAGCAAAGTCAGCTACCTTGTATTGCCCTTCGGCCGACATGAGTTGTATTCAACGTACACGCGCGAAGCAATCGTTGCGCTTCTCCGCCTCGGCTCGCGCCAAGTCTCTCAATCGGTCGTACTCTTGTTCGATATCGTCATCGTCGTGAGCAAAGGCTAACCAGATCGAACTGTCAGTGTTTGACGTCTCATATCAAAGCGCCGCACTTCGAATTCTCGCGTTGCCGATTCCGGCGCAAACAACAACTTCCATCTTCTTTGTGATGACGTACCGCGACCGCCCAGTCGATGCATAGGAATAGACATTTTTTAAGTCTGAATAGTCCAATTCCAACCGTTGCCGTTCTTTCTACCCAAGGCAAGGACTTTTTTCGCCGTCCCCGTTGTTCTGGGCTCTGTCGGTGAGAAGTTGAAGCTTGGGCTCTGGTGTTGAGCTGGCGATCTGCAAGTGTTGTCAATTAGTGGCGCCGCCAAGCTACAGTGATATGGTGCCAAGACGGGTATAGCTATTCGTCCATATACGGCACCTATCAACGATTTTCCTGCCACTTCCTTATACTTTGCCATCTTCATAGACGCGAGGCCTCTTCAGAGCACTCCCGGGCCGAGAGGAGCTTGTTTAATGGCGATGGAGATCTAGACCTTGGGGCTACTACTATCGCATGAATCTATTGATCCAGCCACCCGAGGTTTCAGAACAGCTTTGCCACCGCAACGTTGAACAACTGCACGGAGTAAGGAGAGATGATTTTAGCTCCGAATTTCTGAAGGGTGAATAATTCATACTTGTCTTTCAAACAGACTTCAATCACCACCTGAATATGAGCCTTGATGTAATGGCCGGGCAATTGCTTCCAGTACTAAGTTTTCAAACCATCAGCCAATCATATGGGCTCTAGACTCCTCATACACCAGAGGGATAGAATACTCTCTACTATGATATCTTCTCTTCTTCACCACAAGCGTCTATTATTTATACGGATCTCAACAGCGATTATAGCAATATCTACACCAAGCGGGTACCCCATAGTAATGAACGAATATTCGTTGCAAAGTATGCAAAGGCTCAACTCTGCCGACAAATTTCTATACAAAGTTTCAGCCACTAGACGTCAAGTCGAGGCAACGGAACAAAACAATTGGAAGGTGTTTTTGACAAGACCAAACTTTAAAAACAACTTGCAGAGGGTTTTGGGGAGCCTATAAGTGATAGCGGCAGCCCGCTAATAATTGATTTCCTGTTACGGGGTTTGGTTTTACGCCTCCATTCTCAATCAGTGTCTCTGGTTAGGCTGAGAAGCTTTGGCCTGGAAACAGACTTTTCGATCTTGAAGATTGCCATTCCCGATGGCTGTACGAATATTCAAGCCAAGTTCAATGTCTGACAGAGTTACATTGGCTCGGCACTGCCCTCTATCAGGGTATCTGGTTGAGAGTTGTATCGCTGAACTGACCTCAACCTCGGACAGAATCATGTTGACTCACATGCCATCGATCATCAAATGGCCCAAAAACCGACCCAAGGGTAACATCAGCGCATCGTGGAAGTACCTGGAGAGAGAGAGAGAGAGAGAGAGAGAGCCGTTTTCCTGTTGCGATTGCATACTGAAGACCGTAATTCATCGTCTGCGTGAGAAATCGTCAGAGGCTGACCCAGGCCGTTCCATCCGCACACCAGATTGCTGAATCTCCGTTTCAGATTTGACCAAGAATCTGACCGGCTTTAACCGTCACTTGAGTCGTTTAATTCGAGTTGATCAGAATATGGCCAAGTTTGTCACTTAACAAACCAGCGCTTTCGCTATGTATCCTCGAGTGGATTGTCTGTTCCGGGGACTTGTCCTGGCCATGCCTGGTCTCGTCCTACCAAAGTTTCCAGAACAGAGTCTGATGCAAATCTCTCAACAATCAACCGGTAGTAAGTGAGGATTGAGAAACAATGAGCAAGTGGGTTGTTGCAGAGCTTCGCAACTCTTGTTGTGAGAGTGTCTGTGTTGAGTAGGTAGCCACTGCCTTTGTGTGAATGTGCTGAGCGTGCAACACTGAAAATCAGTCCAAGATACTAAAGCTAGCAACCAAAGATCATATGTTACATCGAATCGAAAAGAGAAGCATCTGTAATTTTGTTCCCAGCCTCGGTTGGTTACCAGGTGATGATGCCATTCAGAGGTTGATACTGGAGATGATTTGCATATCATGAGCATCAGTAGTAGATCAAAAGCGGAACAAGCCTGCCATGTGGCCACCCTGTTTGAGAAAATGGTCCCGTCTAGAAACTTGATAAACTCCACTTCGCTAAATGAATATCGTGCTGGAGCTTGAAGGTTTGAGTGGTCCCGGTGCTGTTTAAATTGCTTTATTTCATCAAGAGCCCACGCGAAATTTGGGGTCCGAGAGCTTCTTCAGCTAGCAAGGATGTGTGGTCTTCAGTTCGATACACAGTATTTCCAGCCAGCGATTTCCGCATGGCCGTGGAAAGTTATGACAACATCGATCAGAACGGACGCAGTCGAGCGCCCGTGTATCGTAGATGATGATCATCATATCGTTCGTGTGCTGTGCTCCCAGCACCAAGTTCCTGGAACTCGGAAGCTCAGAGCAAGGATAACCAATCATTCAATGTGAGGTTAAAGATCTGAGACTTGGATCTTAGCGAATAGATCTAATGGACCGATCACTCCCCAAGAACGAACAATCTTGAAACAATTCCAAAAAAGCAAGTGGGCAGACATTAAACTTTAGCCGGTGAAATCCGGATGACGCTTTCTACCAAATATTGACAAACATCTTGATTCTGGAGCGCAGGTGATCAGAAATCCTAGGGACTTGAAGAGGTCTGATCACCAACATGGAGACATCGGCAGCCAACCACCAAAGAAACGTGTGGGCCAACACGGAATCGCCTTTGGGCACGACGTCCACTAAACCAAACTGCCAATTACTGAAAGGGGCCAATTACCGTTGAGGGTGTGGCCGAGGCTCTTGAGGATCCTCAGCTCGCGGCGTCCATTCCCCTGGGAAGTTGATTGGATTACGGCTCCTTCTACTCCATAAAGACTAGTAGTTCTCTCACCAAGTCCGCTACACTTGAGTCAGTCGCGACGATATTACTTACAAGCCTCTTCACAGGGGGCTTGGGGGACAGTGTAATACGGGAATGCTTAACCGGGCAGGAGACAACAGAAGCGGACTTTGTAACTATTCCCAGATTGTTTGCTCGGACTTTGTCGATCATGATAGCCAAACTGTCAGTGTCAGTCAAGGAAGAAGCGAACAACAAAAGGTCTGCGTGTCTTTGGTCGTTTGATACTATCGATACCGGACGGACCGTCATGCCAAACTCCCCTGCCTCACGCGGCTCCTTGATGATCGACGGAATGTCGCAGCGACACCCAGAAGCTGGCACTTCCTCTCACTAGCTGTAGATCTGATGACAGAACCATGATTTTGAGTGTTTAATAGACACGATGCGCTTCGACCGTTGAGAGGATAAAGATTGTTAACTCCGATGAGACACGAGGACGCAAGATGCAAGCTGTGTCACAAATAAAGTGCGTAGTACGGTGCTAGTGTAGCATGTTCCTGCTGCCAGCCGCACAAGCTGTTCCCGAGTTATACTGTTACAGTATGGATATTACAAAGGTTCATAATAGCAGTATGCTAGAGGCCATGGTTCATACTAAATGAGCTTGCACAGATCGAATACGTAGCTCGATAGCCCAGACCGGAGAGTCTTGATCAAGACTGCAGTTCGTGATCGAAAGCGCTCCGATGTGGAAAAAAAGAAAGAAAAAAAAAAAGCAATGAAACAGGGATGACAGCACGGGCATCACAGAAGAGAATTATGGAGGTTCCTCTTCTAGATGGCTTCTGTGCCGAAAAGCGCTGCTAGTGATTGAAGGACCCTGGCGCTTCTCGGGCGATCCCCCTTTGGTAGCGTGTGCAACGACCCATCAACTAGGAAGACCCTGGTCAGGAGACAAGGAGCTTGGCAGACTAGCAGTATCATTTGACATTCAGTGGCCTATGTGGAGCGATAGTGACAATGCTCAGTAAAGATGCTTCAAACGGCTGAAACGTTGAGTGGCCGGAGTTGAGGGCACAAAAGGAGCAACAATGCGGAGAAGATGGATACAGTAGGACACGGCACTATTGAAGGTGGACGATAATACCAAGATAATGCCGACTGACTGCGGGAGGCGGGACATACGCGCCTCGATGCAATGAGCCGATATTGTCTCGTGCTGAGGAGCGGAAAGATAAGTTGGTGTTGTTGATAATGGTGATGATGATGGCATGTGGAGTATTGTTTAATAGATACCATAACAGTACATAAGTGAGAAGTGATAGCCAAGCCTGAAACTTCCACTGTAATTAACTTTGAGAGTGTTTGTTGACGATACCTGCAGATGCTCTGAAAACGAAAACAAATGGATCATGATGCAAGGTACCATCGTGACATGGAGCCACAGCACTTTAACTCTTGCGTCAACTCGTAAGCTGTAACGGCAACTGTTGGCCAATCGCAACATCACATCACACAAGATACTGAAGTAACTCCTGAACACGGCCACAGACGAATATTCGCCGTTTTAACGTCGCATTAAGCTCAGGGCACTTATAGCACACCTCAAAGGATTTGAGAACCTGACCTGACCTGACGTTTCGGATCAAGTTCCCTGGCCTGTGATGGGCACTGCAGGTTGAATGAAACTCGGATCCGAGCCGAAATGATCAAGACTGCAACTCTACGGCTCTACGGCTTTATCAAGCTCAAACAACAAACATCGAGACTGGGTCCCAGTTCTGTATGAAGGGTGTTTCAACTACAGAACAGAGCTTCATCAGTATCATGCAGTTAGTCATCTCTCTCAAGCCTACCAGCCAGCCTTATTAGCTGTCGTGCCGTGCATCGAAGAGCTGTAACAACTCCACAGTTCAGAAGGATGGCCCCTATTTGTACATGTTTCGTTGCCCGCAGATCGGTTGATTCTCCGTACAGTACGGAGTATGTATGGCTGCTGAAGTTAACTCCTCATGCCAGAAACAGCCATGTTCGCTTGCGGTACCGTTCTTTCAACACTTCAATTGCGATATATGACCGATAACTGACTATTGATATCTTCTGGAAACGAACCGCCAAAAAGTGATTTCTCGGGCGTGTCCGATTGGCTTTTCGAACCATAAAAACATTGGCATCGTCATCAGTGTCGCACCAAGCTTCTGCCACTATTCATAGTCTCCCACTGATACCCTTCCTGATTCATTTGATCGTCTGCACTTTGGCTTTCATGATCATCCCGCCGCCGGGCAAGGCGCTATACCCCAGTAGGCCAGGTCTTGTCTGAATCGATTGGGACGAACGACAAAGCTCCACTGGCTTCCAAAGCTAATCAAGTTGTTCTGCAACCGGCCATAGAGCATGGCGATGTAACGAACGACTGGAATAAGAGCAGGTATCTTTAATTTAGATAGTGGCTAGCGGGCGCTTTTCCTTTTGCGAGAGTCAAGACGTCGCTTCATTAGCTGATGAGACGGGCTTGTCAATGCCTGCCCGTTCGCTCCAACTTAGAAACCATGCCATGCCATGCCCATCTCCCATGGATACCCACAGCCAAGTAGATGGCACCATTACTCCACCTCACCGTGGTCCTGGTCTGGCTCTGAATTGGTTCCGGGAAAAGGTTCGCTCGTTTGAGGACGGGTTTTAGCATATTGTTCGATTGAGGAACCGGCTCTTTGCAGGTGCTGATAAATTTCTTCCTGTCGCCCGCCATGCAGCACTGTCACAGCGGATGCGATGATCATCACTATGCATTTAAGTGCATGGCTTTGGTCCCCGCCACGAGCCAGAACCAGTGGGAGCTTTGCTGGGCAACCAATGGATCGACCACTTATGACATGGGGATGTCCAGTAGAAGCTGGATCTCTCAAGCGATACTGAAGTGGGGGAGGCTCCGAGCTCAAGGCTGCGCTGAGGAATTTACACACTGTATACTTGGATGGATGCAAGCAGTGATTTGTGTATCTTTCTAAGGTGACCCCAGGAATTGGAGACCGCAGGACTTTCACTCTGGTGAGAATACCGAGGCAGGCGATCGTGTCAAGTAGCCAGCCAGGCCTGGCCTTGTCAGCGACCTGGCGTGCTTTTGATGCTCTCCAATCTCCCTGAAAGTGCACTGATGGTGATGAAATGGAGTGCATACAGAGAGGGTCTGTCCCCTGGAGTCCGCTTTGATAACCTCCAGGATGTTGCTGTAAGTATTGGATGGCTACCAGGGTCCATAGTTCCCTGACCCTTAGTTCAGGTACAATTTGAGTACCGTACGATTTGCTTCAACAGCAATTACTATCCAACTTTGAGTGAGTGAAAAGATATTTACTGAGGTACAGTGTTGTATGAGGAATTCTAGTTTTCCTGCAAAGTATCTGTTGATTCAGCCGCTCGTGATAACGGGCAGACTTGGAAGCCATCTTCCACTCACCAAATCTGTACGACCCCCGGGTAATAAACGAGATCCATGGGTCCTAATGCAAATGAAAGTGTCCGGGGCTAAAGCGGTAGCAGAGGACCCTGCTAACCAACTCTAGTAGGTAAGGTTTACCAGAAAGGTACCGGGCAAACATTGGGGTTTTCTGCAAAACAAGCGGTACCTGGCTGGGATGGCTCATCTCATCTCATTTTCTTTTTCTCTTATTTGGCTTCCAGTGCCAGACCAGTTCCCATCTGGCTGGCTCCAAGAGCTCAAGGCACGCCTCTTTCTATCTTCTGTCCAATCAGCAGCCGGTACACTTTCATTGACGGTGTCCCCGGCCGCATCCTTTTTTCCCTCTCCCAATTGCGTCCATCCTCCACCGTCTTTAATTCTGCTTCTGCTTCTGCTATCTGTTAACTCATTCTCTCTCCTTTCTAAAACCACAATCCCCCCCTTCTGTGATTACTGCTTTGTGCCCCTTCCGGCTTCCAGTCCGTTTATTTAGGGTTTCCTCTACTGTATTTACTCTACTGGGGGTGTTCGATCCATTCTCATCTTCATTCCCACCCGCTTATCCTGTCCTGTCACGTCCCATTTCATCCGCATACCCGCCAGCCGCTTTTGCCTCTCCAGCTTCTTTGCCTTTCGCCCTCTAGCATTGACGTATCATCACCAGTAAAGAAGAGGACATTTCGCCGCCGTACCGGGTCATCACAATCGAAGTTTGTTACTGACTGTCTCAACGATATTTGTGAGGTCAATTCAGAAGGTTAGTTACCACATCCCAGTTCTCCACGCGATTGCGCCTGTTCATTTCTTTCTGTTCCTCACTTCATCACCTCAATCCCAGAACAGCATATGAGGTACCACGATACACCCCCTGTTCTCCACCCCCCGGGCTACCTAAAAAGCTCCAACCTTTAGGGGCCCCTCACCCCCTGGCCCAGGGGAGGAGGCGCGAGAGATTCCGCCCTGGGCTGGGCCTTTTTGACCTTTGCTGGCACGACTCGTGTGTCGTGCCCCAAATTGCTGCCTCTCTTCTCCCCCAGTCGTAGCGCACCTTAGTCCCAGTCAGTCCCGGTCCCGGTCCCCAGTTACTGCGCTACGCCAAAAGCTGCTTCTGCATCTCCTTTTCTCTTCCTTCACTCCACCTTTTTACCTTACCTCAACCTTACATCGCCTTCGCCTTCGCTTTCGTCTGCTTTTTCCATCTCATCTCTTTTCTCTTCTCTATACCTTGACAAGTCGGGATCCTTCTACCCTCGACCAGATTGTCTTTCGTTAGAGCCACGACTTCGAGCGTTGTTAATCACTAACGTCGACGGCTCTAGACTGTACCCATTCACCCACCTATCTCGCGACCACGACGACACACGTAAACACCGCGTCGTCGACGTTGTTTAATCAATCCCAGCATTTCCTATAAACCTTGCGAAAAACAGGAGTAAACAGCACCACCGTCACAATGGGCTGCGGAATGAGCACAGAGGAGAAGGAGGGCAAGGCCCGGAATGAGGAGATTGAGAACCAGCTCAAGCGCGACAAGATGATGCAGCGAAACGAGATCAAGATGCTTCTGCTCGGTATGTTTACCAATTACTTCGGCCACGCGCGATTCTCAAGCAATGAGTCGCGAAGACTGTCGATCTGGCCGCTTTCTAACACGCTCACAGGTGCTGGTGAATCTGGAAAGTCCACCATCCTCAAGCAGATGAAGCTCATTCACGAGGGAGGCTACTCACGCGACGAGCGGGAATCCTTCAAGGAAATCATCTTCAGCAACACCGTTCAGTCAATGCGTGTTATCCTCGAGGCTATGGAGTCTCTCGAGCTTCCGCTTGAGGACCAGCGCATGGAGTACCACGTTCAGACCATCTTCATGCAACCCGCTCAGATCGAAGGCGATGTCCTCCCCCCCGAGGTTGGCAGCGCCATCGAGGCTTTGTGGAAGGATCGTGGTGTGCAAGAATGTTTCAAGCGATCTCGCGAGTACCAGCTTAACGACTCAGCCCGATAGTATGTACATCTGAGGGAAACAACTACTTTCGTTTACTAACATTCAATAGCTACTTCGACAACATTGCTCGCATTGCTGCTCCTGATTACATGCCTAACGACCAGGATGTCCTCCGATCTCGTGTCAAGACCACCGGTATTACTGAGACCACATTCATCATCGGCGACCTCACATACAGAATGTTTGACGTCGGTGGTCAAAGATCCGAGCGAAAGAAGTGGATTCACTGCTTCGAGAACGTCACCACCATTCTTTTCTTGGTTGCCATCTCCGAGTACGATCAGCTCCTCTTTGAGGATGAGACTGTCAACCGAATGCAGGAGGCTCTCACTCTCTTTGATTCCATCTGCAACTCAAGGTGGTTCATCAAGACATCGATCATTCTGTTCCTCAACAAGATCGATCGTTTCAAGGAGAAGCTGCCTGTCAGCCCCATGAAGAACTACTTCCCTGACTACGAGGGCGGTGACGACTATGCCGCGGCTTGCGATTACATCCTCAACCGTTTCGTCAGCTTGAACCAACACGAGACCAAGCAGATCTATACCCACTTCACCTGCGCAACCGATACCACTCAGATCCGCTTCGTCATGGCGGCTGTCAACGGTAAGTTACCCCGACTCGAGTGTTGCCCAAATTCCAGTATTCTAACAAGTCGCAGACATCATCATCCAAGAGAACCTGCGTCTCTGTGGTCTTATCTAAATGATTTTTTTTTCTTGCTGTCACAAAACACGAATACCCTCGAACTTAATAACGACACTGCTTAGATGGGCCACGGGGATATGGCTCACGATTTTTTCTTGTACTCGTCATACCGGAGGAGCGAAGGCGCAAGTCAACAACTGCGTGACTCCTAGGGTCGACGACGGTTACTGACGGTCCGGCTCACCCATTACGCCAGATATACTACTAGCTTTGGCTGTGCCCAGGTCGACCTTGGTTCCGTTTCTTTGTAAGGATTTTCCGGTTGATGGATGGGAGTTGCCTTGTATCACAAAAACGTCTTTTTAAAGGGAGAAGGATTTTAAGAACGGTGGACCACGGATGATGAAGCCGCGAAGGCCAGTGGTCATGGCCGCCCATGACGTCGGGAAGATATGATTTGCCCGTTCAAGAGCGTGACGGACGAGGCTGGAAGAAGGGGTCATTATTTGCATCTAAACAGTACGGGCGACGGAAGATGGTGGTCATCTACTTTGTTTAATTACGAAACTCTTTCCTACCACTACCGTCCATGCCTTTTTACCCACCACACGTTAGCATTGTATTGTTTACTCACTCGTCACTCGGATGCGGTGTTTTCTCGTTTAATTTCAACTATCAAGTATACTGTAAAATAATGATTTGGCACGTCTTTTGTCTGAAACAAACACACCGCCTGTCGCAAAATTCCGCACTTGTCTTGTTTGCTCTTTTCGCTTGCATTTTGACTCACATTTCTTTTGGCGTATGTCTTGAAGTCAAGCCCAGTGCCCGTTTTTGCGCAGAGCAGAGGATGTTAACGCGCGCTACCCACGCACGTTTCTCAACGGGGACACATCCGGGTCCATCACCCTACAGAACTATGGAGGTTTTGTCTCTAAGATATGAGACATGCGTGGGAGCAGTTGGATGTTGCTTGTGATGATGTCCTCGAGACCGACATAAACAAGATCATGTGACTTGACTCAACTTTGTTCTCCCTCCTGGGAGGAAGAATATATATGAGATAGCAAGAAAGGGAATGTTTCACGAAAACCGTACAAGTGGCGCCGATCCAGCTTCTACCGCTCATATAAAAAATGCATGTGCAGCAAATAGTCGTGTCCTATCGCGACTTACGTGTTTAATGATCTTGTTTGTTTCGGCTATCTCAATTCTGTCAGGACTACTATACTCTAGGCTACTCGTTATAGACTATATCCGACAATCTCGGCATAAAGGTATCCCAGAGCCTTTGAGTTGTTCTTGCTCGAGATCGATACTGGTACAGATAGTAGTCGATATCCCTCTAGCGCCAACCTAGACTGCCTAGCCTCCAAGACTACTTGAAAGTTGCCATACACTTGCTAACCTTGCTAGCCAAACTCTGCCCTTGCTATCGGTTTGTCCTGAATACATGATCATACAATTGTTGGTAAAGAAAATAGTTCGGCTGAACTGCACGAACATCGAAGAGTGGCGACATGTGTCTTGAGTCGAGCCAGCCCGCGGTACTGAAAAAAGAAAGATTCGCAAAATGAAATGGCGGATGATTATTGCTCGAATATGGCGTACACGCTCATAACTACGAGCATGTTGATTTGGTGCACAGTCTTCTCATCCAGTGGTGACACAATGTGTATTCCAATAGTAGTCTCAAGACAGAGAGTAGCCCGAAACAAGCGGCAAACTCACTTGAGATTACACAATAAGCGAGGGGTTCCAAATTCTGGGTTAAGGGAGATCAAGGAGCACTGCGACTTGGTTAGTGGGTTGCAGTGAACCGTGTGAGTGGACTTACATCACTCGACTTTTCTATAGGTTTGTTGACTGGTCTTTTTATTCTTTTGTGTTCTGCGTCTTAGATGCATTGCTGAGGGTCGTCATAGCATTAGGCCTTGCTCAATGGAAGTTTTATGCGTCGGTGGTCTCACTGAGCATGGAACCACTCAGTTCTCATATGGCGGAGTGTTTACGAGAGCGAATGCCATAAGATGTGCTTCGATGTTTCCCTGAGAAAAGCCTTCCTGTGACGAGGTTTGCTGAGCAGACTGCTCCTGAGAGGAAGGTTCATGGGAAGAAGTATCTTGGGAACCGTGCTCCTGGTGGGCATTGTTCTGTGAAGAAGGCTCTTGGGAAAGTGGCTCCTTGGATTGATCGTCCCCAGAAGAGATTTGCTGGGGAGCAGCCATCCCAGAAAGCTGGGTCACGAACGCATTACCCTCGGGGGTGGCAAGGAACTCGTGGAGTTCCGCAAGGCGAATACCAAGCTCCTCGGCAGCCCTTTCTACTTGTGCAAACTTTCGTTCTCCTTGGCTCATAGCAGCGACATTTGAGACAACATTGCCGATCATGTTGTTGGCGGGACCTGGCAAATTCTATTCGCCGGAACCGATTCCCAAGGACTGGAAAATGCTCAGAGCGAACTGGTTACGCATTTGAGGTGCCACGTAGAGGGACGCGGTAGCTTCTCGGTTCATAGGGAGGATGCCCTGAGGAAGCGCCTGGGGATTGAGCTGGGCGTATTGAAAAGGCTGAGTTGGCATCCCCGCGGATTGAGGATGATACAATGGTGCCGGGGCATAGATGGAGTTTTGGTTATTCTCTGGAAAGTTTGTCAGTGTCGATTCATAATATCGGTGTGGCATGAGGGTCAACTTACCGTGAAAAGTGCATCGAGAACCACTGGCATTGAACCAGCAATTTGTGCAGCTACCACACATCTGGCCATCATAGATGATACATTCAGACCAAGGACCGTGTCCTTTGGAGCAATTCTTGCAAGAACGGCTGACCTGGACTCCAGTGAGATGAGCCAAGAAGGCTTCGACATTGCTGCGGCGCTCCATATTGAGAACCATGTCAGAGCGACGTTGCCGGATAGGTCGTAGTGATGCTTCGCCGGCTAGCTTTTTACCGAGAGTGCTGTCGATCAGTATTCTGCTGCCGTAGATTTCTAGAGCGACGTCGCCAGCTGTCAGCTGGGGTGTGTCTGATCCAGCTGTGTTGTTGGAAGGATTTGAGGATGTAACACCGGTTCCATGGACCTGAGGATTACGGTGAGCGAGGGTTAGAGTTCCCTCGGCCTGCTCAGCTGAGTGGCTGCTAGTGGTATTGAGTAAGTGTGTGGACGCAAGTGAGGGAAGCTCAACATACTCATTAGTGTTATAGCTGCTGAAGCTACTGAAGTTGTTTGGGTTGGATGAATCAGTCGAGTTCTTTAGAGTTTCCTGAGAAGAAGCAGGCTCATGAGGAGCAGATGGAATTTTCTCCTGGCTCGACCCAGCTTGCTTCGTTCCCTTGGTCTGTTTCTTCGCAGCAATGCGGTTTGAAGAACGTGTTGAAGTATTGGGGAGGGGCGTGTGTCGGCGCGTGCTGCGCCCAGCCTTCATTTTGCCCATTCTGAAGGCGAAGGGCGAGATACAAATCTCGAGGGTTGCCAAAGAATCGCAAGGTAAACTTATACAGAGTCCTTGGGAGACTAACAGCCGGTGTATGGTAAAAGAAGAATATCTAATCAACAATAGTAGGTAATTTGATATGAGTGCGAATATATTCTTGACAAGGATAAAAAGAATGGGTGACAAAAAGAAGGGAGGGAAGAAGAAAAGGGAGAAGCAGGCTGGGGGCAAAAGTAGCTGTGAGCTGTTGGCGAAGTGACCCCACTGTTTTACGCGTTTTCTACGCGCCGTGCGTCTCGCGCCCCAGCACAGTACGTGAGCAGGCGAGGTCACTTACTATGGGCAGGCAGATGCATTTCTCTGACGTAAATGTAAACATAGAGGCGTACAGTTATTTCATTGGCTCTATTAATCATTCACTTGCAAGAACAGCACAAGCTTTGGTGAACATGCGGCTCTATGCAGGAGTGTCTCTGGTCAAGTTCACCAAATTATGGTGTTCAACCCCTATGAAATTGGTGAACTCAACTCATTGAACTGGAGAACATCCAAAATATCATATAATAACTCTCTTTCCTAAATCTCTGGTATCCTGAATATCTTACCTGCCCCTGCGTCACCATTGATTGGGCATATCGATGCTCTAAGCTCAGTTCTCTTCAATGTTGCCCAATGGCTTATTCAACGAACGGACGAGTAGATAACCAATTCACTCTTCAATAGGTTGTTCATTTTATCTAGTTCTGAGATTCTATTGCCTAGCACCAGAAGCCTGTTCCCAAATTCCATCTCCTCGTCCCTCGGTGATCTCCTTCCACTGCATCGCAAACTCCATCAACCCTCCCTGGCCACCCATGCTTGCATCGACTACCTCTTTTGGTAGCTTGTGCGCTGAGTATTGGGGGCTACTAAAGTTGTATGCAGCTGGGTCATCCTTTTCTATTATCCTGAATTCAGGGCTCATTTCAGGTCGATACTCGATATCGTCATCCTCCTCCTCACCCTCTGTGACTGTGTCATCACCGCTGACATCCGCGCCGGCCTCATTACTTGATGTTCCATAGAGGGGGTTCTTAACATCCATCTCAAGAAGCTCTTGCCAGCCAAAAAGGAGACTGTCTGTTCGAGGAGCCCATGGGTTGATATCCATTAACCTGACTTTTCCAAGTCCATCTTTCTCAAAGGAGTTCTCTGGAATATAAACATCAAAGACGAAGCTGGCGTCAGGAAATGTGAACCTCAGTTTCTCTCGGAAGAATGTCTTGATCTTGCGCCACAGCTGAGGTCGAATCTGCTCTAAGAAAGCATAATGATTGAGATCTCGCTGTGTGATACCAATGAGACTTCTGTGCTTGACGAAACATCGAAATTCGAGGGCCACATGAGGGGTGAAGAATGGTCTTAGAACAAGAATGGGTGCGTATGGCTTGGTCGGAGGTCTTGGAGTGCAGTCATCAAAGGCGTGATCGAGGTCGTGAGAAACAAAAGAAGATGACTTAAGGAGTAGGTAGATGTCGTTTGGGGTCGTGCACTTGAGTGTGTTCTGATGAGGCGAAATCCACTTGGCATCCTTTGGTGAAGACCAGTTCAACTTGGGCGCAACTGAGCCACCTAATTCTGCAATCTTCTCTTTGATGAGATTGTGTGTCTCCGGGAATCTCTGGTTAGGAGGGAGCCTTTCTGGTTCGTCTTCCTCATCATCTGACGAATCGGGATCCTGAACTTGAGGCCTTGCAGATGTATTGGATGATGCATGCCATTCTTCTTCAGGCTCGTCTTGATTCTCATCATCATCTGCAAGAACTATACCGTCTTCATGGAGATACTCGACGAAAGAAGGGGGCAGCGGTATGATGCGGGATTTGAGACATGAACTTCGGTATTTGGGAAACCAGGAGTCGTAGGAGCAGTTTTGGATGTGATCTTTAGTGACTGGTGGGAAAACGAGCTCAGGCGCATCGCCTTGGCTGTCAGCTTCAGCTGAAGCGGGAACGTGAGGCATCTTGGGTGTTATCGAAGGTCTTGAACCAAAAGCTTAGAGTATGAGAAGTCCTCAGTATCCAATTATTATGTTACTTGTATGAAAAGAATAAAAAGTAATGGGCTGTGCTGTCAACATTCAAATGTTGACTCACTTACAAATTATCCAAATATTCCATGCCCCTCCATGATGGAGGGGCGATAATTGCTTATCTTATCTTCCGAGAGAGGTAGGCGGTAAGGATTTATCTGGAGCGACAGCGGCAGAGAAGGGTCCTACATCACCAATATCCACCTTGCCTGTTGCTGTCGCATCGATCACAGATCTCGATTGTCCATAACATTATCTGCGCGCCAGCTTATACCAATAGTCCTTTCAACACTCAAAACACAACACTCTGCCTACTCTATAATGTCTGATAACGTTGGTCTCAACACTCCCCGTGGCAGTGGCACCTCGGGCTACGTCCAACGCAACCTTGCTCAGATCAAGCCTCGCGACTACGGCGCTCCTTATCCCAAAGACCTCGATAGCTTGCGACACAAGCAACGGCAGCCAGATAAGGGGATCCTGGAGCATGACCGCAAGCGCGAGGTCGAAGTTAAGGTCTTTGACTTGAGGGACAAGCTTGAAGAAGAAGAGTACAACTTTGAATACATCCAATTGCATAGCTGAGTGTGCTAACACGATCAAGGGTCGACGAGGACGAGATCGATAGGCGATGCGACGAGCTCCGACAAAAACTCTTCGCCGAGATGAATTCTGGGAGGAGAGGCGGCCAAAGAAAGACATTCAAGCAACACCAGGTTCACGAGATGGCTGATGCCAAGATTAAGGAGAGCGAACGACTACGGAAAGCATTGAAGATCAGCGCAGACTATGAAGAGGGAGGTCATTGGAAGCGCCAAGAGAGGCTGCGCAATGCTTTGGAGAAAGAAGAAGAAGAAAAGGATGGAGGTGACGATAGGAAAAGTGAACCAAGAGACTAGGTCGACCACCAAACTCAAAAGAACATCAACCACTATGTTATCGGAACTTGTGTTTTGAGGGGGAACGCAGAGCTTTCGGTATTTGGGCAATTGTCAAGCATCTGGCGGCCTCTCATGCTTCGCCTGAATCGGCCATTCCTCTCGAAGTTCTCCATCCGTTGAGAACATCAACAGAGCGGATAACTATAGCATCGGTTCCTGGATAGTTTTACTGTCGTGTTCCTGTTCATTTTAAAGCGGCGCATGGCGTTTAGGTATTGGGACTGATCGAACCAATTTACATTGTATAGGGTAGGATATTTAACACTGAACACGGGGGTTTGTTCCTTCAAACAACGAGTCATAAATTATTATTGTTGGGTTCTGTATTCCATTGTGTACCTATTGCAGTGGTTCTGGAGTTTCTTATTATGGTCACTTCGCTTTGTCTTGGCCATGACTCTGCGAATGATAATGGGTACACGAATATAAGCTGGTTGATCTACTCACTTAGGTACTTACCTAGTAGTACAGTCCTTGATCCGACACAGGTCAAATGATGTTCAAAGTCCTCAAACCTATTAAGTTACGAAATGTATATGAACCCAATTATATCTTTGTATAGCTTTTATATAGAGACTGTTCGTTTTCATCAAGAGTCCGGTTGGTCGTTACGGTCTTGTAAGTTGCGACGTGACTTGGCTGGCACATGCTCAAGTTACAAAGACCCGCTATAGCTTGAGCTTCCTTGAACTTCACACGTCACTAAAATCACCAACGACAGCACCAGAGACGGGGAAGATTCAGGAGATCGACAACCAAACAAAAATACAACCATGGCGCGACTCTCGCATTGTACCGTATCTTCAATCAATAGAAGCGCAATCGATATTGCATCGGCAGAGCTGGGAAACCTGCTGCTGCGACTACAAAAGACCGTTCTTCATACAGATAGCGACCGCGAACGACGACTACGATCGAGCGAATTCGAAAGAGCACGAGTAGCATCTGTAAGAGTGCCTGTGCCCGATTAGACATCCGTATACACTGACTCTGAATTATAGAACCTCGAATACGCACGAAACTCTTTGACGAAACTAGAACACGATGCGCTGGGGATTAAAGCGCCAGGTCGGAGGGCTGAAGTACAAAGCGACTTGAATGCGAAAAGAGAGCTTCTAGGACTGCTACTGGATCGATTAGAAGACTTGAGACAAGTAAGAAATGGTTTACAGGACAAGGCAAAGGATTGAAGCTGACATTACGACAGGTGGCAATTGAAGAGGACGAAGATGATGGGAGTACCGACGGAGAAGATATCCTCTCAGAAATAATACCGACGCCGAGCGATAGCATAGTCGATTCCATATCAACAGGCCAACCCACTGAAAGCTCAGGACAAGATGATGATGCCGAGTCAGAACCCCCCGAGGCAACAACGATACCAGTGACAACAGCCACAGTACCAGCACCAGCATCAACAACACCCCCTGACACGTCAACAACATCGCAAGAGCACAAACAACAACCCACACAAACAACGCAGAACCTAAGATCAAGAGGCGCACCTTCATCTTCATCAACGCCTGCCCATTCAACAGCACGCGCGGCGCTTTTCGCCAACCGGAGTAAACCCACTACTCCCCAAACATCAACAGCAACAGCCGAAGCCTTACTTGACCATCAACGAGCCGAACAGGAAGCCCTTTCCGAATCGATTCTTCAGATGGCGAGTGCCCTAAAGTCAAGCTCACAACGGTTCTCAACTACTCTTGAGGCAGACAAGGACGTAGTGGCGCGTGCAGGTGAGGGAATGGATAAGACGGAACAGAGCATGGAGGCGGCGAAGGGGCGAATGGGTATGCTCAAGAGGATGACAGAAGGAAAGGGATATTTTGGGAGGCTACTCCTGTATGCATATATCGCTTTGCTTGCTGTGGCATGCACACTCGTGGTCTTTGTTTTACCGAAGTTGAGGTTCTGAAGCTCGGAAACAACAAGGAGACTGGCAATAACACATCGGTTTGTGTATAAATGAATAAATTATAAGCCATTACGAGCATTGCTGTGTAACTAGCTATCGTTCCATATACGCCAAGCTTACTGAGCAACTGTCCCCAAGTTTCCCAAGATATGCACGTCCCAATCATATGCTGCCCCAGCCGATAGTAACCCATTCTCAAGCTCCCTAGCAATTGGGGTTGAGATTCAAAATTGATAACCCGAGACCTGGCGCACTCGTTTCTGTCATGCCCAGCAAGATAGCAAGCCTGTAATACCCATAACCATCAGATGAACTCCAACTAAAGAGACTCTCGTGTCTCGAATTCAAAGGAGATTCCAATCTCGCCTACATCACCAGGAACCACGGCGGCGCCCTCGTCTACTGCATGTGAGAGGTCTTTCTTATCAATAGAAGAGGCTGGGGTAGCAAGAGCACTCTTGGTCTCTGCGTCCATAGAGGCATCAGGCGGTTTGTCTGCTTCCTGAACTTCTTCAGACTCAGGAGGTGATTCGGCCTTCTTTTCGCCCTCAAGGGTCTCTGAATTAGCGATAGCTGCTTTTTCGTCTTGAGAATGCTCAAACTCAGAAGGGGGAATATCTTCCCTTTCTTCTCGAGGGATTTTAAAGCTGGAGCAGGAATCGTTTTCATCGGTAAGCTTCTCAGGATCAGGAGGAGAAGCCATTTCAATGTCGTCTCCAGACTCCTTTGGATCCGTGCCAGACTCGTCCTTTGGAGCGCGAGGGGAATCGGGAGGTGAAACCATCACTTCGTCTTCGCCTTCTTCTTCAAGGGCTCTTGGGCCATCATCAGACTCATCTTCAACCGAGTCAGTCTTACGCTCTTCTTCCTCGAGGGGAGGCCACGGCAATCCACGAATCCCAGCATTGATCTCTCGACAATACTCAATGTCGTGCTTCAGACGTCTCCCGATGGGTTTCCCTCTGGACTACATATTATTAATACATTATTTTCATGAAGAATAATTGACTTCAGACATACCGGAGGCTCGTACTGAAAATACGAACTGGGCATTGTTTGGGCTAGTGATACGCGATCTTGCCAATCGATCCCGGTCTTCTTCTTGAAGAAGTCCACGAACAGCTCCATCTGCGCCCTCCATTTTCCCTCGTGAGGACTAGGGCGGTGATACACGGGCTGAGCGCTGCCCTTATGCTTGAGGAATTTGGCCGTGAACCAGTACAAGTGAGGTTTGGCGTTGGACTCCCATAACTGTTTACTGTTAGTACCAAGACACACGAGAGGGAGAGATCTTACTTACACAAAGAGAATACTTCTGTCCGAACTCGCCTGTGAACTCATTATCTCGAGTGATGTCGACCTGGTAGACAAAGTTAAGACGGTCTCGATAGAGGTGGAAGAGGTCTAGTAGAGCTTTAGTTTTCATAAATCAGCAAAACTTTGAAGAACATACTTGTGTTAACAAATTTCTCCGCGTTCCTTTTACCCTTCTCGATCCGAGCCTTTTCTCTCTTCTTTGCGTTTTCCTTTGCGACGAGACTTCTCATGGAATAGTCCGCTTCAGGCAATTTCTTGTTCTTGACTGTCGAGTACTCGAACCAGTCACAATGAACAATGTGAATGCCCTTTCCAAGTTTCAATGCCTTTCTGACTATAAAGTTATAAGTAGTTACCACAGAAAGAGAACAAGAAACAAAAATTAGTACCTTTGGGAAGTTTCTTGTCGAACTGTTCCTTGGTGCAGAGGAGATGAGTGACAGTCTCGTCAAAGTCCTCGATAAAGACGCCTTTGCGAAGTGAGGTCCATCGCCTCAGGTTTTCCACTGTCAACTGACCAGGGAGAGGCCCTGCGGCTGCAATTATACGGCTCTTGAAGATCTGAGCAACCATGTCTGCTGCAATTCGTGTAATGTTGATAAATTGTCGAAAAGCTGAAGGACGAGGACCGATCAATGTTGTACTTGGGTCTAGGAGGTAGAAGTCGAATGAGGAGAAGAATAGAGACTGAAGAAGGAAGAACAGAATAAGTATTGGTAGGCGAAGGTAAAGATGTCTTGTGGCAAGGGATGAAGAGGTTGTTGCTGGTCAGGACCAAAAGTGAAAGATGATGACTTTAGAAGAGAGAAAGTAGTATCAGCCTTGAGATCCTCTACTAAAGACCGAGGGCCTCGTTATAAGATAGAATAAAGAGTGAGAGTATAGGAAGAGGTTTAAAAAAGAAGAGAAGTTAATGTAAAAGCTCAAGATCAGGATTTGTTGTGATAAGAGATGAATATGCGAGACTGTGAGCCTAAGTGCATGTTTGATAGCGCCTTAGGCCATGGGAAAGAGAGTGTATAGAACGGGATGATAATATTTGTGCCTCGTAAAAGGGTCCCCACGAAAGAAATATTATAAGGACCACTTGAAAGAGGGGGACACTTTGAAATGGATTACAACCTCACAGCTTCAATCAAAACTGAGTGCTTATGGGAGTTTTCTGCAATTGTATAACCTGTATTTTATTCTACCTTTTATCGAATTTCCTTGGCAGCCTTTACAAAAGCTGCGATCTTGTCTAGACATTGTTTTCCATCCTCCTCCACACCACTACTTACATCAACACCAATCACTCGATCAGCGAGGGGACCCAAAGCCTTGACAGACTCAGCCACATTGTCAGGGTTGAGACCACCAGCAAGGAAGACTCGAAGCTCAGGATCGCTCTCCAGAACAGCCTGGACATTGGTGACATTGAGAAGCTTGCCGGATCCAGAGCCGGAGTCAAGAAGAGGAACAGTATGATATCCTCGACGCGCAATTCCAACTTGGCCAGGCTTGAAGCATCGGACGACAGGCACGGGGATGAGGCTTGCCCACTCGATAGGCTCGTCACCATGAAGCTGGACTAGGTCAAGGTCGTATTGCTTCTGCTTCTCCAAAACCTCGCTCAGAGGCTGGTTTTGGAAAATACCAACGAGCTGAGGTCGAGGGCTACGAAGTCTTTGGGCAGCAGCTTCGAAGTAGTCCTTGGCTTTGTTGTCTACTGCTGCTACTTGGGTTTCGTATTTTCGGGTGCTAGGATATGTGTGCACTGCTTCTGAGATTGCAAGGGCAGTCTCATGTGAGATACATCGCTTGGCACCAGGAACAAGACAGATGCCAACGAAGTCTGCCCCTGACTCGGCAGCTTTCAGGGCAGCCTCAGGACTTCGAGTACCGCAAATCTTGACGTACAATGATGACGCGACATCAGATTTAGCAGGGGGCTCGGTTCCAGAGCATAGTTGGCTGATGAAAACACTGGCGTCAGGGGCTCTCATGATGGCCTCACCAACTAGAACAGCATTGACACCATCCCTCTTGTTCATCAAAACGTCATCATGGGTGTTGATACCACTGAGCGCGCAAATGATTGTGCTTTCAGGCACCATGCTGCGTAGCCGGCCTGTGGTGTTGAGATCAACTTCAAAGCTCTCGAGGTTACGGTTGTTGACACCGATGACCTTGGAGCCCAACTTGACTGCAGTCGTCATCTCCTCAGCATTCTGAACCTCAACAAGAGGCTCCATACCCAATTGGAGAGAATAGTTATATAGTCTTTGTAGAAGCTCAGAATCAAGCATCTTGACAATGAGCAGAACAGTATCCGCACCAGCCAATCGTGCCTCGAGGATCTGATACTCGTCAAAGATGAACTCCTTACGAAGGATTGCGGGCCTGTTGGGCATGCCATCCAAGACTTGTCGAACGGCTCTCAAGTCCTCAATACTGCCTTTGAACCACTCAGGCTCAGTAAGCACGGAAATGACACTTGCGCCTGCCAAAGCGTACTTTCGAGCTTGTGCAGGGGCGGAAATATCCAGCGCAAAGATGCCCTTAGAAGGAGAACCGCGCTTGATCTCAGCCATCAAAGCAACGTCAAAAGGAGACTGTCGTAGTCGGTTGACAAAAGGAATCTGGGGAGGGGCAGCGTTAAGATCGTATGCAACTTGTAGATCCTCAAATCTTTGAGAAGGAATTTGCTTCTGAGCATCCACAGCAGCCTTTCGGTTGGCGTAAATTCGCTGCAGAATGTTGTTCTTCTTGGACTTGGGTGCAGCCGAATCGTCACTGTTGGCAGAACCAGACTTTTGGAACTGAGTGTTCTCCTCCCAAGTACCTCCTTGCATGCGGAGGAAGTTTGTGATCATAGCTCGTCCACCTTCAGTTAGGATACTCTCAGGGTGGAATTGGACACCTTCAATGGTGTACTTCTTGTGACGAACACCTTGAATGACACCAGGGGAACCATCAGGCTTAGCCACCCAAGAGGAAACCTCCAGGTCCTCAGGCAAAGTGACGTGGGTACCTGCAAGAGAATGGTACCGAGTAACTGGAACACCCTGCTTGAGACCAGAGAACACACCCTTGGAGTCATGTGTCAACGGTGAAGTCTTGCCATGGAGCCATTCACCAGCTGAACTGACTTCTCCGCCATAGACATTAAAGATGCACTGACTGGAAGGAGGTTAGAGGAATTGATATACAAGTGAAAGACCAACACTTACAGGCCCATACAGACACCAAAGATAGGAACCTTGCCAGCAAAATGTCTAATGACATCGCGGCTCACACCAGAATCAGTCTCGGGGTGACCGGGACCGGGGCTGATGATAATCTGGGTGGGTTTCTTGGCAATGATTTCATCCACAGTGACCTTGTCATTTCGATAGACAGTAACCGTAGCTCCTGCAAGAACGAGATACTGGTAAATGTTCCAGGTGAAAGAGTCGTAGTTGTCAATAAGAATAAGGTTAGAGGCCGTTGGAATTGGAGGCGAGGGATCAGCCTGGTGAGGCGAGTGATCGATAATATCTGAGGAACCCATTTTCTCTCTCTTTTTTTCCTCGGAAAAAACAACAACGAGAAGGGAGAGTGCTTGAAACCGTGTCTTCGTAAAAATGAGTTATTTTACGAGACTGAGAGCGGTGACGTTGCAAAAGGTGAGTCACTTTAAGTTCGAATAGAGTTGAACAAAGAAGCTGTGAATGCGACTTTTGGCCAGTGCGATACTGACTAGCGCACTGTCGTCTCTGGCTGAGACACAATCGTTCGTACAGTGCTAACTCTATATGGTGAATGGAGGCATAAGGTCCGATATAACTGCCGTCCACTGAAGCACCGGGTAAACTTGGGCTAAACTGGAGCTCTCTAGCTCAGGTCCAAAAAGTTGACCAGCCAAAGCTCGATCCATTCATTCGCGACCAGGCGCGTCAACAAGCATCAAAATCAAACTTTCTTCGCATCCACCCTAATCGCAAGGTGATGCATCGCATGCCACTGTCGCCTTTTTGACGCTCTTTGCAATGGCGCCGGTGGCCGATCGCATTTACTTCCCCTCCCTAGAACAATGCCTGACTGGGGAGCGGGTACTGCTGTAAGTTGACTGACTGCCTCTGCAGCTCTCGTCTCTTGCGCTGCCTATCCATCTATGTACACAAACTCACTGCTAACTCACCCCTCAGCTCTTGGAAGCTCATCGCAACTGCGCTGTCTGATAGTTCTGGCCAGAGAACTACGAGTTCTGCCGTTATCGAATTTTTGAGCGACGACTATGTTCACCGTCTTCTCGAGGACCCTGCCAGCACCTTCGCACCCGCAGATGAAGCTACGAAAAAAGTCTTTGAAACAAAAACGGCCCCAATAAATGTTCCCGCAAGCTCAGATGGACGACCTGATATCGAGTCGATCAAGAAAGATGCCGAATGGCTCAGCAAGAATGCCAAAGTCAACCTAGTCGCAGCTTTGCGTGTGGTCGTCATAGAACACCAGTCTCGTCCTGCGCGCCATCTCAGTGGCCCGTTATCGTCTCAAGATGCGAAGAATTTGCAGGAAGCTGCCGGCCTTAACAATGGCCAGGGGTCAGGACTTCTTTTGGACCTAGGATCGGCGGCTGCGCTGGATGCTGAGGAGATCTGGACTGAATTCGAGAAGCCCGAGACGAGACAGCGACGCCTGTTCGATACCTATCTTACCGAGCGCCGTTTTTTTATGATGTCTGCGGACTATGCAAACTCGATCAAGCTATACGAGAGGCTGCCGACCTTCGCCAGTGTTGATCTCGACCTAGCCAAGACCTACCGACTGAAGCTTCCCTCACGAGACGATGCCGAACCCCTACTCCCGACCTACCTTCAAGTTCTCACAGACTCTATGTCTCGCATCGAATCAGGTCTAAAAGCTGTAACGGACGAGAAGTGGGTGACAGAGGAAGTCGAACTAGATTGGCTGCGAACGCTTCTAACCGAAGCTATCCATGCTTTGTCTGTTGTATTCCAGATTGTTGACAGTTTTGGCGACGATTTTGCACCTTCAACTGCCGTCAACCAGTGGTTTTCTTTGATGGAAGTCTACAGATTCTTTGACGCTGTTCAGCCGGTACGTATTGTACCACTTGTTGATGGCAGACTTGTACTAATAATGCCTCCAGATCCACGAGAGCATTGCGCCTCTGGTTTTGCCCCTGAAGACACTTTCAGCCGCCGTGTCCCTGATACTACTCAAGCCAGCTCGCTCATTAACCTATCTTTCCGAGAGAGAAGAGGATGCTACTCAAGCAGATACTTCCTACGATACATACCTGCTCTCATCCGACGTCCTTGAACAGGTCCACAAGAGCATACTAAACGCTGCCGAAGCCGATTGCGAAAGTGCTTCACCCGTCATTTTCGCCTGGACGCTTCTTCTTCATCGCATGAATGTTTCCTACCAAAGTCGAACAGAGAAGCGTGATAATTTGCTACAGCAAAATGCCCGAGAAACCTTTGAGGCAGGAGGTGTGGTTCGACCGGTTGCAAGACGAAACTCGGCGGGCAGCATCTTCTCCATCGAATCTTCGAAATTTGATGGCTTCCTCGAGAATGCGACGTCATCCAAGGACCTTGTCGTGGTGGAACAGCTTGCATCGCAAGTCACGGCTCAAGGCCGTGTCTTTGATGTTGTTTCTAATATGGCAACAGCATTGGGTCCCTCAGATGAGGGTAGCATGACCCCTTTACTCAGTGCTCGTCTTCGCAATGTCTTCCTCGAGCTTCTTAAGGTGTCATACCCCATCGTTGGTTATCAGTCCGAACCAGTAAGCTCCCTTCTTTCGATTCTAAGCGCCGGCCGAAATTACTGGGACATTTCAAACAAGGAGAACCTCTCGGAGAAGCAAGATATTCTCGCATCCATGGTCAATGATGATCTTGCACTAGAGTTCTTCTTTCGGCAAGCCCTTGACAGATACCCCTATGAATTTCTGCCGTTCATCACTCTCTGCCGAACTCTCGCCAGTGCTACTAGCCTCCGTGAGAGCGATCGGTCTCAGATGATCCTTAACCTTTTACGTGCAACACCCACACTCACATTCGTCCTTCCTGATTACTTCCAAGAGTACGAGCTCGCACAAGAAGACGAGAACACCAATACTTTCTGTTTGCTGCAAGATATTCCCATCATCTCGTTATCCCCTTCGTGGCGAGGAAGACGTGTCGAGGACGATGCGTACCGGATACCAGCAGGCACATATGGACGATTTGTTACGGATACAGGTAGAGTTGTCTCAATGGAGTATCCTCACTCAACTATTTCGCTCCTGGGTCGACGACTGGAAATCAACCTGATGAAGGAAGGCTATCAATCTGAACTTGGAATGCTCCAGCCAGAAGAAACTGCCGAAGTCATCTCTTTGTTTGCGACACTCATTCGCATGGATCATCTGAACGCCGCCGGGGGGGAGTCCACCGGCGCCTTGGTGTTTTCTGACAATGATATTCTTCATGAGGCAAAGAAACATATTGATGCGGGTAGTGGCAGAGATCTCCTAACAGTCGTCTGCGAGACAATGGACTACTACATGCAGGTTGATCTTGCGGAGAGCGAGGACGTTGTCGTCACTATCCTGAACTCTTGTGTCCAATTCCTCGATGCCATCCTGCCTATATACCCTAGCAGAGTGTGGTCATATCTTTCTCGATGCGAGCTCTTGAGTTCCGAGTCCAGAGCTGGTAAGCTCACCAAGGTCGTGGGAAGCCTCGACCTGGTTCAGGAGAGGCTCGAATTTTTACTATCTTGTCTCAGACTATTCTCAAACCTCATTGACACTGCAATGACTTCCGCTGTTCAGCGACGAGCTGGTATTCATACCACAAGCAGAAACAAGTCAGATCTGAACCCATGGCTGGGCACAGCAGATAAAGTTTTGGCAAAGGTCAGCTACGCCATTGCCCAAGCAGGCGTAGACATCTTTGAGAATACTTCAACCTGGAGATTTGCGTCTGACACATGCCGCTCGTCAGTGCTCCGAGAGGTTGTACCAATCCTGCAAAAGGTGATTATGTATAGCTACAGTCTTGGCGATCCTTCGACCTCTGAGAATCTGACTTCATGCCTACGACCTGCCGCCTCTTATGTTATCGACTGTTTTGTCTCGCCCTCAACTGGATCTCTGCGATTCCAACCCCTTTTATCATCCCTTATCACAGCATTTACAACCGCCGACAGTACTCTCTATCCAAGACGCGTAGAGATGGTACAGGCACAGTTAAATTCAGTACTTGAATTTTCCGCAACACTACTACGCGTCGCCAATTATCTAGAGCAATCCTCTAGCATGATTGAAACTTACCTGTTCAAAAGCTCCACCCTGCTTGCACGGCTATGCGCAGTATCTGACCATTTCCGCAAACCCACCATGTGGCTGCTTGAGTCTTTGGTTGTAAATGCTGGCAAATCCTCAAGTGAGCCCCCGTCACTGCTCGGTTACTTGGGGCCTCAGATTTCCAAGTCTTTTCTCCAACTCCTATCAATCCTGGGTAAGCCCTTTGAACTCAGGGGCGAGGTTAAGGCCACATGGAAGTTCTTTTCGGCTATTCTGAGGAACCGACAACAGTGGATGTCTAATTGCCTGCTTACCGGGCAGACCCCCAGGGAGGCAATGAAGAAAGACAAAAAGAAGACGGATGTTTCTTCCAGCTCGGTATTTGCCACTGGGCTTGCCAAGCTTGGCAAGTTGAAAGATCTAGAAATAAGCGAGGCCCTGGTTATTTTGGACTTTGTCGCCTCTGCCCAGAACTTCTGGCCCTGGACAGTCTTCACACTCCAGAAAGACACCGCTTATCTTGATGGGCTTAGAGAATATGTCCGAGACCTCAAGTCATCCAGTATCACCGTAAAGTCTGACCCTGTCCGTGCTGCTTTTGACGCAAGACTGGCCGCGTATATTGCGGAGACATTTGCCATGCAGCTTTACCACTCGCGGCATCTGGGCAACTCTGGCACATTGGCAAAGAGCCTTGTCAGCGATCTCGACTACTACTTGCGTGATGGAGTTGAGGTTGGAGGTTACAACAAGTCTCTTCACAACAATTTCGCCCGAAACTTTTCCAACAAGTATTCAGACTGCCCTGTGGATTGCTTCAAGCGGACCATCCTGGAGCCGCGGGAACTCGGCAAGAGTTACTACTATGACTTGGAACGCGCCGATCAGATGCTACGATTCGATCCAGGCTGGAAAGGTCGCAAGGACGATGGTTTCAAGACAGAGATGGAGCGCGCAAACACTAACTTGTCTTTAGTTGACGCTCAGCTCGTAAGTGAATGTGTCTTGCGTACCATGGACATAGCTAATGATGTTATTTCTAGGCCCTTTTCCATGCCTGGGAGTTTCTACTTGTAGAGCTTTCAACATGCATGCCCAAGAACGACACCGTGGAGAAGCAAATGCTGCAGGTTGCCCAACAATGTCTCAATGCCAACCAAGGAGTTCCAGGACCTGAACACATCTTCCTAAAGCTCGTCGGGTCCAGGGCGAGCCTTGCGCTTGTGTTGATCCAGCGCCTTGTCAAGTCATCGGTGCCAGTCAAGGACATCAATCAGCTTCTCTCGACCCTTGTTGGTACCATGAACGGAGTCGAGGAGCCTTGGGGCACTGAATCTATCTCGTACTACCGCACCCTTCTAAAGGCTCTTTTCGTTACTCTGCGTGCCTACCAAATCAGTGGCAAGAAAGCAACCGAATCTCAGGATGCCTTTGAGGGCACTACCGTGACAGTTACACAAACTGTGCTGAATATCCTTGACCGAGTTGTGGGCAGAGGTTTCCGCGCACTCGTTAGCCTTATTCACGACAACGAAAATAGTGTATCGCCTGAAGATCTAGGATTGTTAACAGCCATCCTTCAAGCCTGCATAAGTCTGCCCAACATGGATCAATCTCAGACCCAAGTCCTTAACATCATGGCCGAGCATCAAGTCCTCCATGCTGCCTCGTCTCTCTACTCATGGGCAGATAGACTGGCGGATCAAGGCGACCCTATCTATGGCGAATTGAGCATGCTATTTTTGCTTGAACTCTCAACTCTCCCCATGGTTGCTGAACAGATGGCATGCGATGGAATCTTGAGCAACATCCTATCTGCGAATCTGACTAAGTTCATGCTGAAGTCCAACATTTCTCCCTATTCAGATTCCCCTGTGGTGCAACGTTGCTACGGTATCTGGGCCAAAGGACTGTTGCCGCTAATGCTGAACTTGCTCACAGCTTTGGGTGCAACTGTTGCTCCAGAGGTTGCGTACGTTCTTAATCAGTTCCCTCACCTACTGGAAGCAAGTGTGGACCGGTTTGAAGCACCTGGAGCCAGTCGTACTCAGTCTCGGGCGTCACCGCACTACCTGACCCTTGTCGCGATATCCGAGGTTCACTCTCTTGCCCTCCTCACACGAGTGCTTGCTGCTCTTCGTGTGAACAACAACCGGGACATTCCTGACGTGGAATGGGACTCGGCAAACCTGCTAGAGAACGTCGACTTTTGGTTGAGCACAAAGAAGTTGCTAAAGGAGCGACTCATGCCCTTAGGTCAGCGTGAAATGGACTGGCGTGGCATGAAGCCTGCTACAGGGGCATATGATAGTCTTTTGGAGGAGAAAGCTGTGGCTCAATTAGATGCCATCAGGGATGTGCTAAGTGAAGAAGCAGATAATTGAATATGAACATGGGAGCTTAGAAGAAACGAGTGATAATCATCAAGGTGTATATTATAAGTATCTTAGGTCAAGGGCGTTGGAATAGGATGTGCGCATTGCGGAATGGCATAAGAGAGACTTGATTTGATTTCGTTGACACAAACCGACCTATCCTGTGAACCGACCTATCCTGTGAACCGGCTCGCCGGTCTGTAATAAGATTTGCGATCAGAAATGCTTGCTGCCTTGTCAAGTTGAGTTGCAAGGGCGAGAAGGGACATCAGAAATGAGTAAGAATGGGTTATAAATTCATTCCTTGGTGACAGCTTAAGCCCAAGCACCTCATGCCTGTAGCCCGTAATAATATACAAGTGCATCTGGTGCCATGAGACCTAGCCACACGGCGTATCATGGTCATAAACAGCGTTCCGTCTTTTCGATCTCATATATAATCCGGAGCACATCTGATATCAACAGAACAGATTTTGTGTGTATTTCCCCTTGTCGCCCTCCTTGCTAATCGTACATGTCTCGTCTCTCGAGTATTTCGCGTTTATTTGTTCATCTGAGCTGTGAGCTGGGCGTTGTGCTCTTGGAAGCGGTCGCTGATGCGCTGTTGAGAAGCCATCCACTTCTGAACGCATCGGTTGATGCAGCCACTTTCTCGGGTTGAGATGGCCTTTGAGGTGAAGTCATCGACACAGGACATGAAGCAGTGCTCAACAAGACCACCAAATGCCTAAGACATGTTCGTCAGCAACAATTCGATCGCAATACTCGTTTGGGGTACATACACCCATAAACTCCTTGACCTGGCGCTTCTGCATGCGCTGCTCAAGAGTGCGCTGCTCAGCTGCGGAAAGCCTATGATTGGAACATGTTGATTAGAATTGTGACTTGGTGACGTAAATCGAGCATGACGAGACTTACATATCCATTTTGACGGCTTAAAGGGGGCTGATGTGGTTGATGAAATCGAGGTTATGAGGCTTGTCGAGGTGGATTGACGTTGTCGGTTTGATATGGAGACTGAAATTTTGAGATAAGCAGGCTAGAGAGCTCGGGACTCGGCCGGGTTGGGCTTATCGGCGGGATCGCATTATCGTTTTACCCCGGATTGGCTGAGCTTTAAATGCACCACAACTGTTATTCCCGTTTATTATAGTGACGCTATTCAGACTCGTGTGATACATCAGTATGCTGGTTTCAATCTTTCTTCTACAGTTCTGGAGCAATTTCATTGTTGAATGCTTATTCTGATTTTGCAGCGTTTGCTCTGGTGGGAGCTTCTGACGTAGCCAGGTAGGTACCCATGATAGTGGAGTTGAGCTTCTTTGACCAGCTGAAGACCTACGTACACTTGATAACCTGTTTAACAGCCATTACTATTCTTGTCAGTTACGGTAACTGAGAGGACTTAGACAACCATCTACTGAGAGCCTGCCATGTGAGCACCTCCCCGCTTAGCTACCCCTCCCCCCCTCCAATGCTCTGCAGATCCACACATCTACAGCTCACCACGTAACTCAGCTGACCAAAACGAGACAAACGTTGGAGGTAAGCATGGCAATTGCTATTCTTATGTTTTCACTTGATGGCAAAAAACATGAAACACTGATCGGCGCGGCACCTCGTCTGACAAGTGCAGTCGGGATTGGATGAGGCGCAGTCCATGTATGGTGCCTAGTGTTTGATGTGCAATAAGATAGACGTCAATGACCAAGATATATGCCTTTGCTCAAAGAAGGACGTACAAATTGGAGGTACATGAACTATAACCTGACGTGAAAGAAACTAAGGTATAGCATGGGCTGTATACAAGGGGGATTATGCTTTCAGAACTTCTGTTACTCGCCGATATCTACAAAACTGAAGCATGAGATAGGCGACGAATCAGAACACAGAGAGGATTCAAGAGAGGCGAAAGACTGACGTGTGATGGTTGCAATCTTTCAACGTCCTTGGAGATGCACATGCCAAATATGGAAACATCCATCAGCCGCCAGTCCCTTGTGTCAATGCCAACCATGCATGCCTAAATCAAAAGAGAAGTACGTACTGTACATCAACTAAGAGGTTCAGCTGTCTAGTCTAAAAGGTAAACATCGAGCTGATCCGTTTTATTACCCAAATTCCATTCTCTAAACAAGATATAGTCTCACTTGTTGGTGTTGGTGCACCAAGTGAGACTAGGGTCTTAGCTTCAGAGTCGAAATGAAAAGAGTCTCGATTTGGACAGTCAACATAAACAGCCCTGTAGATCGAGACGGTGACAGAGACTCCAGAGCATCCTCAACAGTGGAGGCATCCAACCAAGATTAACAGTTCTTTTTTGGGAGTGCAGACTGCAGACCACGGATAAGCCAAGTTCTGATGCTTAGTGCCGGGATATCATCCATGGTTTATGGTTCGTTGGTGTTGTCGAGTTGCAGTAGTGGTTTCAGCTGAGAGTCCAGGGCCTTTTTCTTCGAGTGACTCAGAGTCTCTCTCAACAGTGACTGATAAGAGCTGCTTCAACAAGTTATCGACGGATGTATCCCCCTAGAGTTGTGATCGACAATACCTCGTCACTGTGGAGAGATCTATTACCGTTGTAGCTTGTAGGGCAGAACAGGGCAGATTGAGCCAGTGATGTGATCAATTTAACTGATCGTGTTCCAAGCTTGAATCCTGGTAAATCTCCATGCCCACAACGCAATTGCTTGCGCCAAAAGTATCCACCAACAGCAACCGCTTGCGGCGTTGGGTGGTTGACTCTGTGAATTGATCAATTAATATCTGACTATTCTATACATGACAGTTCTTTTATTAGAGATTCGATACTGCAGAAAGGTTGGATTGGCTGAAGATGGGTAGTAGCAGATCCAACGTAGGCGGGCATCCAAGATGCATTGTATATAACTGTACGGATGGATATTCACTGATATTGACAACGATGTCAGGTCTTCATAACGTCCGCCGTTGACAATTAAGTCTAGAGGGAGATTCAGAGTTTACCAACACCGGACGATGTACCTGAAAAAAATGAGTGACCTGAGATGGGTCCCATTGCATCGTCTAACTATTGAAAGTTTATGTACGAACGGATAACTAAACTCGACCTGCATTCCCATTCTCGTATTTCTCCTCCCCTCTCGCAATCTTGTCTCTATCATCATCCTTGTCCTTGCCCATCTTCCCACTTCCCGCTCTCGCTTGTTCACATTCACGCTCGTTCGTTCGTTTGGTCATTCGCTTTCGTCCCAATTTGGTTGCCCTAATTACACACGTTAACAGAGCTTGTTATTGTCCATTGGGTACTCTGTACACTCTGTTTCAGCGCAAATAAGCCCACCCACCAAGCACAGTAATTATCGCGTGTCTAGGTTCTTCCCCTGCCTGCTCCCACTTACAGCAGACCTTTTTCCACTTGTTTCGATACTGGCCTGACATTCGCCGTCAAGCATTTGAGAGGCAAAGACGCAGAGGTACCTACCAGAGCTGGTTTGTTTTGCTACCTGCATATGAATACATAATTAGAAGCTATGCAGTGCTGCATCTGCATTCTCTTGCAATTCCTATTGCAGAATTAACCTCAACTCCACACAAACATATCGAAGCGATACCCTTATAATCACCGAGTCAGTCGAGTCTTACTTAAAGGCTGATAAGATACTCAGTTTTCTCTTGGCCTTTGTATCTTGCCTACCAAAGGTAGTCTTACAACGCAATCCTTTGTCTCTGTCTATCATTTCCCTGCGGACCGGTACCCCCAACTCCCTGTATGTACTGTACCTGGACACAATTGTCCTCCCCCCAGACCCAGCACTACTACGCTACGCTACGGGTACCTACAATAGTGGCTTTCGGTCCCAAGTCCCCCGCCTCACATCAATTGGATTGGATTTCTTTAATCTTACTCCCTCCCGTTCACTCGCTCGCTGGCTCTTGATGCCACCAACTGCTCTGCTCTGCTCTGCTCTGCTCTGCTCCTCTATTGCTACGACGTGACAATCATTGACTTGAGCGATAATTTACAGCCTTGACCCGCTCGAAGCGTCTCTTGCCGTTCCTTTCTTTATCGACTCACCTCGTCACCATCACATCGCACTCACTCACTCACTATTTTTGCCTTCACGATTCTTGCTTACGCCCGAACCCGTGCCTGAGAGCCAAGGATTTGGATTTGGATTACCAGACACAAGTGAACTGAACCAAGCCAGCGCCTAACGCCTTGACGCCCTACACTACTACTGTTGTACCGCTCTAACGCCCTTGACGCTACCAATCATCGACCGATCTGTCTCATCATAGACTGGCGCGCACACTGTTGCCATCGACTCCCTCGCTCGCTTGCTCGCTTGAGCTTCCCCAGCTCAAGGCTTTGATTTCTAGCTCCTGATCTCTAGCCTCGCATCGCATCGCCATCTCCATCCTGCTGTCGCCTATCGGCATCGGTCGAGTCGAGACCTTTTCCTCACCCTCCCGCCCGCCTCTCTGAACCGGGCCTCTGTATTATAGCACGGCTCCGGGTCACCGCTTCAGCGCACCTTGTCGCCGCATCCTCGCTCGACCTCTATTGAGGTTGAGGCCCAGCCATCGTGACTCTGGCAACTGGGCCGGCCCAGCTGTAGTGTCCCTCGTCACGTCAACCTCATATTCTTCTACGCTTTCACTTTCGCAGTCGTCGCTCTCGCTCTCGGCACGCGCAGCCTTTCGCCATGACGTCCGCCGCCTCGAACCCTAACCAGGCCAACCAGCCGGCTCTTCAAATCAACAATGCAGCATCCCCGCCCAGCAAGCGCGATCTCAAATCATGGTGGAAGGGTTTCAAGCTGCCTTCGAAGCACCAGGAACCCCAGGGTAAGATATCTCCCTCCTCCACTCTTCACTGCGCAACCATGCCGAGCTTCGAGTCAGAACGTCATAAAGCAACATGGTTTCGTTGCTATCACCTGTCGCGATACGCTTTTCGACGGTTTTGAATACTTCGGGCCACAGCGCCTACGGCTGATCACAACTGAATCTGTTGCACATACAATGCTCACAGTCACGAAGTCAATATGCACATAGCTTTGCTCCCCCACTTCTTATGTCTGATCTCTAACTTGCGTATTTTCAGAAACCCGTCCCCAAGGCATCTTCGGAGTGCCTTTGCGGCAAAGTATAACATATGCCAACGTCGCCATCTCGCTCATCGATGAAAATGGACAGAGTTACATCTACGGCTATGTTCCCATTGTCGTCGCAAAATGTGGCGTCTTCCTCAAAGAAAAAGGTTGGTTCTCTTGGCCTGACTGACAGGGAAATTGTGCTGACGCTTCCTTTCAGCTACCCATGTCGAAGGAATATTCCGGCTTAGCGGATCGGAAAAGAGAATAAAGGAGCTTAAGACCATATTCGACTCACCTGATAGATACGGGAAGGGTCTCGTCTGGGATGGATACACTGTACACGATGCTGCCAACGTTCTGCGACGATATCTCAACGACCTCCCCGAACCCGTCGTTCCCCTCGATCTATACGAGAAGTTCCGCGACCCCCTCCGAGGCGCAACCAAGCAAGCTGTAGGTGACGCAGAGGGGCCTCAGTTCGTCGAAAATTTCAACGAGAAAGCAGCCATCTTGCAGTACCAGCGACTCATCACGGAGCTACCGCCCTTGAACCGACAGCTACTTCTCTACATTCTCGACCTTCTCGCGGTTTTCGCTGCCAAGGCGGACGAGAATCGCATGAACTCACAAAATCTGGCTGCCATCTTCCAGCCAGGCATGCTCTCTCACCCAGCACATGCCATGGCTCCCGAGGAATACCGACTGAACCAATGTGTTATCATTTTCTTGATCGAGAACCAGGATCACTTCCTTATTGGTATGCAGGGCACCGCTGCTGATGAAAAGACCAAGAAAGAGGTGGAGTCTGGCACACCTAGTGGTCCTCTCACCCCTCAGCCTACTCGAAAGACAAGTCTGGGCCGATCGGCGTCCAATGCGAGTGCAGGCGCCAACAGTGTGCGGCGAGATGGCAAGCTTCGAAGAAACCGATCCGTGTCGTCACGGAACTCCAGGAATGACGGAAGCTCAACGCCCAATAGTCCAGCCTTGACAGCTACGCCAACGACAGGTGGATTGGCCAGAAGCAACACCGTGCCATCCAAGAAATCTCCTGCCATTGGTGCTGGCCGCTTCCAGAGGTCTGATGGGCCAGGGCCTCGTTCTCCCGCCCATCTAGAACCTTTGACACAAGTCAACCCCACAGAGAGCATAGAACAATCTCCCCAATCGACAAGGTCATCTGACTTCATATCTGGCGGTTACCTCACACCAACGAAGGCTCCTGTAACAGGCCGTAGTCACGAGAGACTACTAGAAGTGCCGCAGGAGTCCTCCACACCATCCAAGGAGCGCAATCTTCCCAACATCTTCCGTAGCACACCCAACACCGATACCGGTGACAAGAGGCAGCCTAACAAACTGAAGAAGAAGAGGATACCAGGAAGCTTAAACCCAAGTGCCCAGAGTTCTGCTGCCTCTTTGACATACACACATCCGAATGCTGCGTCATCTCCTGGGGCAGAACTGGCCAACCCGATGGAACATGCTCAGCAGTATGAATCTGGAACTCAGGCATTGCCGCAACAACCAGCCCCGATTCTCGAAGAACAACACCGAGAAGCATTGGAGCAGCAGCAAGAACTACATGATCGACCGTCACATGGGCAAAATCCTCAAGAAACTTCACTCGCACATCCTGCTTCTCTGACGCAGCAAAAGAGTGATGTTTCATCTGAGCACACTCCTAGGGCATCTCAAGCGTCATCAAACCAGAGCCTGCACCCAGATAATACACTGAAGTCGAAAAAGTCACCACCAACGTCTCTGCACTCATCTTTTAACGAAGGCTCGGACTTGGATCAAATTCTTGACGAGCAGTCTGTCAGCACTGTTGATCAAGCAGAAAAAGAACGAAAGAAGCGTTGGCGGTTGTCGAGGAGTAAGAATGCTGACAACGGCTCCTCTGCCGGTCTCACCTCACCACGCCTTGCCCTTGGGCAGAACGACAATGGCGATGTCAGCAACCTATCAATATCAAGTTCCAGTCATAGGCCTCGAAAGAGCGAGAGCTCTGACCGACCTTACATGGTGAGCGAGGGACAGGGTAGCTTCGATCCGGGCAGAGAAAGTGATTCCAAGGGTCCCATAGGATGGATCAGGAACAAATACCGTGAAGCAAAAGAGAGTGCAGAACAAAGAAGGAATAAGTCTCCTCCTCCGGCAGACCGTCCCGGCCTGGGCGCCTCGAGCTTCCAACCCCGAGGAAAGAGTTTGGAAATTAGAAGAGATGAGCCAACGCAACATGCTTCACTTGCAGCAATAGCTGGTGCTCCAGCTGTTGCCTCTAACCCTGCTGCAGCTCCCGGTCCAGCACTGGGTCCGGCTCCCACAACGGCACAAATTCCTCAGACAGCCACAGTTTCAATGGTTCAACCTGAGCCCACATCACCTGTTCAGCCAACCCATCCTCAAGCGCAAGCTCCTCCACCGGCTCAGGTCCAGGCTCAACCTCAACCTCAGCCGACAACTCCAGCCCAGCCTCCAGTTCAGGAACTGACTCAATCTCCAGTTGAACCTAAACTTCAGACAGAATCTCAAAAGCCGCAAAGCCCCCGGACACCTCAGAAAATCATTTCTATGCTCGATGTTGACACGCCACCGGCCGCTGCAACAACATCAACTCCTGTCCCGACCGTTGCTTCTGTAACCACGCAACCGCAGGCGGAGGAACCGAAACACGCTCAGGAGCAGCCACAGCCCCTGCTGTCACAGGAGCCAAAAGCAGAAGAAAAGCCAGCCCAGGCCACTGAACAGCCGGCAGTGATATCGCCTGTACAGCCCGAGCAAGTACAGCCTGAGCAACAGCAAGTAAAGTCAGAGTCAGAGACACCAAAGCAGGAGCAATAGGAGGAGAAAAGCGTTCTAGTTTAAATGGGAAGAGTATTTTGGAATGGTTGAAGTAGTATCACGGCAGGATAGCCTTTTCTTTTTAGTTTATTTTTAGGGAGAATGAGATGGACATCATGATGGATATGCGGGAGACGGGTTTATCGACTGAACCCTACTTAGACCCTCTACCACCCTTATAAGTCGATTACATGTATGTAATGTAGCCTGGTGTGATGGTGAGCTTTATTTCATTTGAGCGGGTGGAGGAGTATAGTCAAGGAGTACAGGTTACTACAACAAAGATATGAAATCCAAGCAGTTTTCATAGTTTGATGCATACGCTGGTTGCTCAAGGGCTTACATTCTTAGTATACACTCAATACTCATCCAAAATTTGCACGGCCAATCTACGACTCCTTCGCTGGAGGTGCGTTATCGTAAATAACAGTGTCCCACACAATCATCTTTCCCGAGCGTCGCCAATCTTCGTTAAACAAACCATTGAAGCCCTTCCAAACAGGGCGCACCTGTGTGAGACCGAGAGCCTGCGCCTCAGGGGTCTTGACGAAGTCCTGTAGCCATGGCTCGATACCGTCGAAACCGACGATGTAGCGAGGGACAGCAAGTGGCTTTTCTGGTCCAAATAGCTCCGAAGTAAGAAAGGGAATAGGGTTGTCGTAAAAGCGATCGGCCTCATCACGATAGTTCTCCCGCTCAGGAGTGTTTGGCTCAGTGTGAAGAGGTGGTTCACAAGTGAGGGCGTAAGCTCGTAGACCAGGGTATACTAGATGGGATCGCCAAGGGGTAGAATGGCAAGGCATGAGGAAAAGGGCGAATAACTCTTCGTCTTTCCCAGGGCCAACAGAGAAGCGAGAAGTCTGGGCGAGTTGAACTGAGTCTGGGTGGATGCGTTCGTACTCATGGCGGAGGTATGTAAGAACATTGAGGGGGGCTGTTTGGTGGAAGAAAGACAGATATCCTGCGAGAAAGACGTTGACGCCCAGGGCAGCCAAGAGATAGTGCTTATTGCGGATTTGAGGCCGAGGACGGGGGTTGTTGGTTGTAGCATCTGGCTGGAAAGTGAAGAATGAGGCAGCAACGGGAGCGGAGAGGATGCTGAGTGCTGGAAGAAGAGGATAGATGAAGCGAACCTCCTTATGAGAGATGAGTGAAAGCGCGCCGATAGTTGTGAAGACGGTATATGCGAGTGTCTTCAGTGTATTAGACTGGCTCGTTGATGAGGCAAATGCACTTGACTTGTACAGAGCCATAATTGCAAAGGGAAGACTAGTGGTGCAGATAAGAGGGAGACCCTGAAGAATGTAGTAGTGCCATGGATTGCGGCCATAGAACACAGCGAGGGATTTGGAGAGGTTGAAGTTGAGGAAGTTGTACGCAGGGAATGTCCAGAAGCCAAAGTATAGACGATCTGATGCGATGGAAATGACCAAGATTAGAGAGCCGCAGAGAATTGCCTCGCGAATCAATACAAACACAGTCGAAATTGTGAGCGGTGAAGAACCTTGTAGTGAGATTCGGGTGAGGGTGAAGAAGACAATAGTCGCCCAGATGAGGACGTTGGTCGGTCGAAGAACGACGGCCAATGCTGCCAGGCACAGAGACGCACGAAGCGACCAGAGACTCTTGAGAACAGGGGTGGGTTTGGGATTCTCCTTTGTTGTCTGTGCAGCACTGACAAGTTCCCAAGGCCAATAATACAACGCCATAACAGTGAGAGTCGTTTCAAGAGAGTTGGAAAAGGTACGTGTAGAGCAGTACCATTGCCAGGGGTTGAAGAGTTGAAGAAAGAGCTGGCCCATCAAGTCAGTCAATGGCCTGGAAACTTGGATATATAACTTACTGCAAAGAAGGAGACATTGCTGTTGGCTCCATAAATAGACACGGCGAGTTGCCAGGTGTACCAGTCACCAAGACCAGCAATTACGGCTTGAAGGGCTTTCGGGGCTGCGACGAGGATGGCAGCGCGGAGGATGCCTATAGGGAGGATGCGGCTGGAGATGAAGTCTGCGATGAGATAGACCCCGGCAAAGAGAGCTGGGTGAAGAGAGGTTCTGAGTTGATGTTTCCATTCCTAACAAATTCTGTTAGTGGCTATAATCGACTGTGAACTTGTAGTAGCTGGTATGGTGTAAGTGGTGTGTTGTCACCTCGCAACTGGTAAAACAACCACATATGAAGGAGGAAACACACATGGGTGTTTCTACGACAGGTAGATATAAACGAGAAGATAAAAAAAAAAAAAAAAAAAACAAACCCAAGTTAACCATGCACCGCTCCTGGAGCCAAAAGCCAAATCCCAAGCTGGCTCAAGAGATTGGAAGAACTCATCTGGTTGGAAAAAGGTAGCTATCCACCAAGCGTTGATGAGTCGAATGACAATGATATCACGCAGGAAAACAGATCGATTCCTCTTATTCCGAGCCTCGTCTAAGACTTTCCTTGAAACCGTCGCGGACGACATAATGTCCACTGAGTGATGGCCAAGTATAGTGCGTCGATAGGGGTTGGACTATTCTAACGAGACAGCTGTTTATTGTGAGAGTGTGGCTCAGGCGCTGATTGGGCTGCTGATTGGTTGGCAACGTTCTGTCATGTGGCCTTGAACCGACGTTGGCCACAAGCCACAGCTTAAATGGAACAGCGAATGGCGGTTCAGCGTGAAGCAGGAAACATGACAAGAAACAAGATAAGCGTCTGTATAACATTTGATTAGCTATTACGTAGGATAAGCATGAGTATTCGACTGTCTCTAGGGTTGGAGCTGATGTGATTTAGAGACGAACTGGAGGACCTGTACGGTGGTTAACACCTATTCTGCTTCGGTACAACAAGCGCCGAATAAAAACATATTTCTGCTACTGTGAATAAAATAATCTATCTCTCTAAGCTTATGACATATCAATCGTTTGTTACATCATGAAACGAAATGTTACATATGTAATTCTGGCGGCTCAGGCGGAGTTAAGACAGTTCCGCTGATAAATGGCGGAGGTGGCGGAACGGGCGGCATCTGGCGGTAAAGGATAAGGCCTAAGATTTTGCCGAATACACGCAAACTGGGAACACACTGGGAAATGGCATTGGTTAGTTCTCTATCTAATTACTCCATCGATATCAATTGACAGGTTGGGGGTCATATGAGGATGAGAAGTTGTTACTCAATAGCAAGCAAATAGTTTGGACTTGGTCGTGTGGCACTTTTGATGGCTGCAGTAAAATGAACTGAGACAAACTCTGTTTTCAGAGAGGAAATACTCTCTCTCTCTCTCTCTACGGTCAATACACAACAGGTATAGAGTATAGACATGACACAGATTATCATCTGGTATGATCACAGTAATAGAGAATTCTTCATTGGGTATCCAAGAAATAGGGTCGCTGGTCAAGTCTAGACCTGCATTGAACCCATGTCAGGTGGTTCTAGAGCCCCTCATTCCCCTCACCTCTCCCCAGATTATGTTGTCACTGAGTTCACAGAGCAGAGCCTCTTTTACTCATGATGGATGCACATCATGTCCAATGAAACGATGTCGGGCAATTTAAAATTGCGGCGTAGACCAAATAAAGTAATTCGACGTCTTCGGAATACCACGAAAAGGAGTGATCTAGATTTGGAGAAGCGAGACAAACAGATCCATCCATACATGTCTTGAATACGACCGTAAGCGATGCCCCTCTCCATCATGTCATGACAAGACAAGACAAAGACAAGATATTCACTGTATCAACTGAACACGGGCATCTCGGCCGGTGGCGGCAGGTCATCCGCCAAGTTCCGCCGGGCCTCTCATCCAATCAGCTTCGTCACAACCTCAACTTCGCAACACCACGCCCGCACACTCCCACGCTTGGTCGCTCCCACTTGCACTTAGGGGTATAGTGTCGACAAGCAACTCTAGAGGCAGACTTGGTTTTGCTGTAATAATTACCTAAGAAATCATATCTTGTCTCTTTCCTGTCCGCAACAAGCCTCCGCTTGCCGACAACCGTCAACCCGCTATCGGTCCTTAAAGAGCAGCCATGTTCTCCTCAAACTTCCAATCGTTCTTGTCTTCTCTCCATTCAATTCACCAACAAGAAGTAATTTGATTCGCGATATCCTCACTTTCTACTCTTGTTGCTTTACTTTACTTTACTTTACTTTACCAACTACAACACCGAATTGACGTCACATCCCATCACAATGTCTCCCCACGCTGAAAAGGCCGTCTCTCGGTTCCATGCAACCTCTACCGAGAAGGCCATCGCCATTGAAGAGGAGTACGCCGCTCACAACTACCACCCTCTCCCCGTAGTCTTCTCCCGCGCTGAGGGCATCAACGTCTGGGATCCTGAGGGCCGCCACTACTACGACTTCCTCTCTGCCTACAGCGCCGTCAACCAGGGCCACTGCCACCCCGAACTCGTCAAGACTCTTGCCGATCAGGCTGGTCGATTGACCCTCAGCTCCAGAGCTTTCTACAACGATGTCTTCCCCAAGTGGGCTGAGAAGGTCCGCAGCGTTTTCGGCTACGACATGGTTCTACCCATGTGCACTGGCGCTGAAGCTGTTGAGACTGCTATTAAGATTGCCCGCAAGTGGGCATACAAGGTCAAGGGTGTTCCTCAGGAGAAGGCTTGGATCTTTGGTGTTTCCGAGAACTTCCACGGTCGAACCGTAAGTTCGAATATTCCTAAAAGTAGAAGCAACGTTGCTAACATGCTCCAGATGACCGCCATTACTCTGTCAGTCGACCCCGAATCAAGAGAAAACTACGGCCCTTATGTCCCCAATGTTGGTGCTTTCAACCCCACCACTGGCAAGGCCATTCGATACAACAACATTGCCGATCTCGAGGAGGTTCTTGAGGCTCACGGCAAGGAGACTGCTGCTTTCATCTGCGAGCCCATCCAGGGTGAGGCTGGTGTTGTTGTCCCCGATGAGGATTACCTCGCCAAGGTCCAGGCTCTCTGCACCAAGCACAACGTTTTGTTCATCTGCGACGAGATCCAAACTGGTATCGGCCGAACTGGACGCATGCTCTGCTCCCAGTGGGCCAACATCAAGCCCGATCTTGTTACCCTCGGAAAGGCCATCTCTGGTGGTATGTACCCTGTGAGCTGCGTTCTCAGCAGCAAGGAGGTCATGCTGGTCGTCGAGCCCGGCACTCACGGTTCTACCTACGGTGGTAACCCCCTGGGCTGTGCCGTCTCAATCCGCGCTCTTGAGATTATGGAAGAGGAGGATCTTACTGCCAAGGCTGAGAAGCTCGGTAACATGTTCCGCGACGGTCTCAAGGCTCTCAACACCCCTATCCTCAAGGTGATCCGAGGAAAGGGTCTGCTCAATGCCGTTGTCATCGACGAGTCCGCCGCCAACGGCCGAACTGCCTGGGATCTGTGCCTGCTCCTCAAGAGCAAGGGTCTTCTTGCCAAGCCTACTCACGGCGACATCATCCGCTTTGCGCCTCCTCTGGTGATCAGTGAGGAGGAGCTCCGAAAGGGTCTCGAGATCATTTCTGAGGCTATCAAGGAGCTTCCCAATGTTGAGCGAGCCAAGGGCCACTAGACGCGGCCTAAACTTTAAGATATGGATATGATGGGAAAACAAGGGAAAACGGCGTTTGTTATTTATAAATAGGCACGGGTATTATGCTCGGAAACCATAGCGAGATGATTGATGTATGTTCGAACTGCATAACCAGAGAACAGCACTCTGGTCGGCGTTTGGGATTCCATGTCGGCTAGAAAGCCTTGTACAAGTTGAATACCCCAATTGAATAAAAATGCTGAAATGATCTATCTGTCACTCTGCTGTGCACGCCGTTATCTCCAGATAATTGACAATGAAAGACTTGCCTAGCGTAGCTTTAGGTGAGGAAGATATGATGCCCTCGTCATGGCCACAAACCTGTCATTGTAACATATTGCCATCATCTCAGACCGGCGGTTAGCGGTCTGCACAATAGCACTGATATTTCCCCAAAAGCGTTCCCTACGTGGCTCGGCACGGCAGATCGATCAGCCATAAGACCGCCCTTCTATCATGAGACAAGTGCACGCAGATACATGAACAATGTTACATAAGTTACCTGGCAAGTCATCTTAGTCATCTTGGAGGTTTATCCTCTCTCTTTCGCAATCGGCAAGGAAAACGACGTGTGGGTAACAGCTGACTGTGCCGACCAAGGTATTGTCTTGGTATGCTGCTCTAAGGTACGCCCCTGACTCGCTGTAGTCGATTTACCATGAGACGACGTAATTACGTTTCTACACAGGAATACTTCCATCACTTGCATTGTCGGATAAAAGGGACATTTTTGAAAGCTGAACATACGATAACACCTGTAGACCTGTAACAGTGAAACCCGCAATCGGATCCGTGTTTTCCGTCCGGTGGATCTTGAAACACGGCGTTACGGAGCCCCGAAGCACGGCGAAAGGGCCGGTATAAAGCCGCCGATTCGACGGATCCTTCGGCGGCATTTGGAGCGGTAACACACAACATCCAATTGAAATTGACGCATGAGTGGCTCAAAGTGCACTGTAACGCAGCAGCCTTTACGAATCATGCACTGTATTTGTTGAACGCGTGGCATGCGGTATTGGATGTGGGGATGGCTGGGAGGTCATGCTGGGTGCCTGTTTGAGGCCTGATACATGAGGCTTTGCCCGTATTGTTGGTTACTTGAAGGATACTACGGTAAGAGGTGGTGGGGGATGAGGCCATTCGTGATAGGCAGAGACAATCTTGCACATTATCTGGGCGATTGTATGTTGGCCCGATTGGCAGAGAAGACGTTGTGTTACGGGAGGATCATTGTCTCGTGAAACTCGCAGAATGCGACTCGATGTGAGCAAGTTACAGATTGAGCAAACCGCAGTAGAATCACATACATGAACAATGCGCAATGGAGAGAAGCACATGTATCGATCCCTAAGTGGCTGCTTTGAGTTTGAGGGATGAGAACAGTATCGTTGAGTAGATCCACGTGTTTGGAGTGTGGTTGGTTGACTGTTTAGCCAGGCACACAAGGTCAGAATGATCGTGGGGGTGAAGAGTAAAGGACTCCAATTCAAGGTCGTATTCTATCGATTCATGAGAACGCATTGGGGACTTTGGTGTGTGTTCCTAAATTCTCGGTATGCCAAACTGAGAAGGCAGAGAGGCACATGTCCAACACATCCATGATAAGAGAAATATCGGGGTTCAACATGAGAGATAAGAAGCAATGGATCGATCACTTCTCCAGGTTTTCACTAACTCGATTGAGATGCATCGGGAACGCCAAGAGATAGATAGTCGAAGCGTATCAGACAGGAAGCTCAAGTGTCCCAACTAACTAAACAGTTGAGGCCAGACTTGCCCATGTCGGCGTCACTATTCCTTACTTCTTTGTTAATAATATGGGAGTGTTTCAGCACATGATGCCTTTTTTCTTTTCCTTTATTTAAAGTTGACGAGGCAACATGCTCCCTTGTTCTAGCGGCTTTCAAGCAGCCAGTCGGTCAAGGAACAGGGGGATAGTTGCCGATCTAGGACGAGAAGATGACGATCTGGGTGTGCGTGATGACGGTATTTGTATTTGTATTGTTTTTTTGTGTTTAGTTAGCTGTCCTGAATTGACTCGACTGTACCTCTTTTGCTTAGGAATCATCGCGACTCGTGTTCAGTTGACGTGATAATGGGAGCGAGTGAGTGATGAGCACCGTGAGCGGGCACTTCTGTTCCTGACTTGTCCTGTCCATGTTACCATGTCTCACCAGTTCAATGCCATCATCAGTATCCGGAAACGTCACTCTCACCATGATCCAATTAGTTCAGAGGTTGCCCACCCTTTCTTAGACCCGAGTCCTACTGCTAACTCAAAAAGTCGGGGAAACCTAATGGGCCTCGTCTGCCTGGTTTCCAAAAAAGGAACACAACTTGCAGGGTACGGTACTGTACCTTTATGCGGCGCCTGCGGCATGGGCATGGGCATGATAATGATAACGCTCTTTGGTCGGGCGAATTGACACCTATTCGTGGGCCGCAGTACTATTGTGAGTTTGTCTTCGATACGGAGAAAGCCATGCTGCCGTGCATTATAGAGCAACGGAACGCCTCCTATTGCGAGCGAGTGAGCATCCGCTGACGCCATGCGCTTTGCGTGACCAGCATCGAATTACAGTATTAATAACAATTATTTCGCCATCTGAGCTCAGCCATGTATTCCACGAGCACGAGCTTGGCTCTAACGTAACCTTGCCCAAACAAGGGAGGTCAAGATTTATCTGCGACAATATCAAAAGTGTTTGGTTCTTTTGCCGGACCGGACCTTGTCCTATCTTCTTCTCCAGACTATCAGCGACGATCAGCCAATGTTTCTCACTGGGCTGGTCGCACCTCGTGGCAGGGAGCGCTATGGCGGGCCATGGCGTAGATGGAGAAACATGACCAGTCTTGATGGGGGCTGATAGCAGTTGAGGTGGTGAGAGCATGAGTACGGTACTTGGAGAGCACATGCATACCTTAACTGCGATCGGTGTTCAATGCTTTGGAGTCTCGCAAACTTGGCTGGCGTAAAACAAGCCAATTCAAGGTTGTTCAAGACTTGATATTGACATGTTTCATCCTCCACTTCCCAGGTCCAAGTTTCAGAGCATATGGAGCTCAATTCCTGGTAAAGCTTCCGGAGAAAGTGGACGCGTGAGAGACGCTCAGTGGGGCCGGGCGACCTCGGCATCCATAACCTTGTATCCGTCCGTGGGTACAGTATCTGTACCTGTACCTGTGTCTGTTCGTACCTCAAGCCAGCTCAAGGCTAACAACTAACAACAGTTGTTACAGCCTACGATGACGGGATGTTTTGACCAAATTGAGTTTGAGAAAAAGGAGGCTTTTGTCTTATTGTCCACAGATCAGATGCATCACATCATCGGGCTCAGGCAACAACACCTCCTCACGAGGCGCTCACAACGTTGACAGGAGTTGAAGGTGGTCGAACTTGGCCCGGAATAGCTTAGCTCAGCGTGTATTGCACTTTCAGTTTATCGTTATCATGCACCGCATGATTCCTCTTTGTTTTTTTTAGACTTGGGTGCTTGCTGGGGATGGAGAAAGGAGGCTGCGGCGGTTGTCGGTTGTTTTCCCTTTCTAATGTAAAGTGAGTGAGTGACTGACTCACTGACTCACTGATTCATCCTTTCACTCGTCGCTTGGCTCTTCCAGGTTTTGTCTCTTCTCATCCCGCTCTTGTCTTTGATCCCCTGGTCTTGTTTTGGACTTGGGTGTATCACGGGGTCACCCAAAGTGATCGATTAGCCTCTAGGTCATCCCCCGCAAACCCGACCCTTTTTGATCATTGTCTCTTAATTATTAATGTCTATTGGTATTATTATCTGCTGTCAGACAGCCAGAGTCACTTACTCACTGTTTCTGCGATCTCCAATGATCCCCCCTGCGTGAATGTGAGTGTGTCTCAGTCGTCCACACCCACTCGTGAGGCTGTCATTCTGAGCCGAGTTGAGAGGTACTTGCGATTTGAGGCTGATTCTCACACAGATCGCATGTACCCCCTGACACTCAACATCCCTGTCGATTGGAGATTCTCCAGGGCCCTCTGACGCCTGCGGCAGTTCACACACTAAACAGGTACTCAAGGGTTACCTTACTTTGAATGGATGGAAGCTTTGGAGCTTGGAGCTAAGCACCCTGGGCTGCCTGAGGTAACGCGCCCCCTACAGCCGGGCTAGTTACAGGCTACCGTCCTGGACAGTCACTGCACGTAGCCATTCCCCATTTTCCCCCTTCTAGAAAACCCGACCTTAACTGGGCTTGATTCGTACCAGTCATTCACTTCACCTCTCATCACATTCACTTTCTGCCTGGTTTTTCCACTTTGTTATCTCTACCATACTTTTCTTTTCTTTTCTTTTTTTTGCTCTTTTCTTCATATGGCAATTCATTTTGTTCAACTCAATTAACCTTCTGTACCCTGTGCTTTGTTGTTATTCTACAAACTTTGCTCGCACAGCATCTGTTCGACCACCGCGTAACTCCCTCGTGTACCTACAATACAATAGTCGGTACCAGAGTTGCGTCTAGGGTGTGTGTGTGTGTGACGCAACCCCGATCAGCCTGTCCCGACCTCTCTTGACTTGGAGCCTTGGACTGTCTCTGTATTCCCGTCTGTACCTACAGCACGGAAGACACTACACCCCATTCAGCAACGCGTACGAATCATCAACCTGCATAATTCTAGACTCTAGGCATTGCCAATGCATTGGAGGTGCACGATAACATCAAACCATCCCTTCCTTCCATTGAGTCACCGCTGTCGTCCGCCTCTCTAACCGCCCTATCCGCGTCCACGGTTTTGGGGGGCGATTATCTCCGATCACGCTCATCCTCTCTAAAAGCGAGTACGGACGGTCCTCGACTCAGGTCAACGGTTGGCGCTCGTATAACGTCTCAGATTGGATCGTTACCAAAGGCCCAAAGCTTCGCTTCAGTGCCGTGTTAGTCACCTGGCCTGGCCTTCAACATACCCCCCAGGCTTGCCAGGCTTATCGGTATCCATCCAGTCAGTGTAAGGATAGCGTCCAGTTAGTCCTAGGTACAGTACAGTACCCTACCCTACCTATTCCTATCCCGTCGCATTCTCTGTCCTCCACTACCCTTATCCTGCCCTGTCGCACCAGCATCAAGCACCCCAGCAAGCCCCATCTGGCAATAACTCTGGGTCTTCTCTTATGGGTGCTAGCTGTGCTTGTAGGCTGTAGCCTCTTAGGCAAGGCAAGGCAAGTGTAGAATCGCTGGATCATACCCGTGCAATCCAATCCCCGGCCGTGATCGCCATTGCTCGTGCCGTCACCATCGCTCGCTGTCACACGCATCCCCCGTAGCTTCTTGTTCGTCTTTCTCCCGTCCTTTCTGTTCCTCTTGTCCTCTCTTCTTCTTTTTCTCTTCATTGCGAACGAGTCCTCGGTCTCGAATCCCATCAGTTGTTTCGCCCATCCACATCCACTAACTCTTGTGTTTGGCTCGATATAGCAGTGCAGGCGCGCAACGAGTCAAGTACCGTCTATACTCTACGCACCCTTTCGGATACCTACCTACTACCTACTTACCTCTCAACCTTGCCTCTGAGCTAAGGTCAGGTAGTATTGTCTCGTCTCGTCTTATCCCATCCGTCTTCGGCTGTCCACCCGTAGGGGTCCTCAGTCCTCACCGACCACTAGCTACTTCACCAACCATCAGCGCAGGTTCTCGCCTCTGACCTTTGGTTTATCACCTTCCGCCTGGTTGATAATCATCCCCATCCTCCTCTGTCCCCTTCTCGCCTCTTCCATCACGCCCATCGGCGCTTGCGACAGCTTCCATCTATCGATTACATGACGACCTGCTCTGCGACACACACCTCCCCCGAATCTTTCAAGCCTTAGGGCTACAAAGCAGTCCGACTATCTTCCTGCCATCGATAATAACAACCAGGAAGCCATGGCGGCCCGGCAGGAGTCCTCGACCTCCTCGGGGTCCAGGAAGTCGGGCAGTCGTGCTGTAGTAGGACAGTTCAACATCGGCTCCGAGATTGGAAAGGGTAGTTTTGCTCAAGTGTATTTGGGTTGGCATAAGGTACGGCAAAGCTCCTATCCTTGCTTTGACTTGCTTCTCTGTCATCGTACCAACTTGCGTTGCTTGTTTGTTCCTGCTGCATCACTGGGGTGGCTTGTCAGACTCCTGCTTTTGGTACCACAAGTCTCAGAGCAATTCATAGTATACTTCATACTAAATAACCACTAACAATCTTGATAAAGGACACTAAGGCTGCCGTTGCCATCAAATCCGTCGAGCTCGAACGTCTGAACAAGAAGCTACGAGAGAACCTCTACAGCGAAATACAAATACTCAAGACATTACGCCACCCACACATCGTCGCCCTCCATGACTGTCTCGAGTCGACAAGCCACATCAATTTAATTATGGAATACTGCGAGCTTGGCGATCTATCCCTGTTCATCAAGAAACGAGAGAAGCTCGCCACACATCCTGCCACGCATGATATGGCCCGCAAGTATCCAAGTGCGCCGAACTCCGGTTTGCATGAGGTTGTCATTCGACATTTCTTGAAACAGCTGACTAGTGCCCTCGAGTTCCTACGCAGCAAGAACTACGTTCACCGAGATGTCAAGCCCCAAAATCTGCTACTACTACCCTCACGACCCTTTAGGGACCAAAGAAGTCGCCCTGTCATGCAAGCCAGCCAAGACTCGCTGATCCCTATCGCTGGATTAGCATCTTTACCTATGCTCAAGCTTGCCGACTTCGGCTTCGCACGTGTGCTTCCCTCCACTTCCCTGGCTGATACCCTTTGTGGATCCCCCCTGTACATGGCCCCAGAAATTCTCCGATACGAGCGATATGATGCGAAAGCCGATCTTTGGTCAGTGGGAACTGTGCTCTATGAAATGAGCACAGGTCGCCCTCCGTTCCGGGCTAGAAACCACGTCGAACTGTTGCGAAAGATTGAAGCGGCTGAGGATGTTATCAAGTTTCCTAGGGAGGTGACTATCAGTGCCGACCTGAAAGCTCTAATTCGAAGTCTACTCAAGAGGAGTCCTGTCGAGCGACTGAGCTTCGAGAACTTCTTCGCACACCAGGTCGTTACGAGCGAAATTCCTGGTTTAGTAGAGGATGATATTCCGAAGCCAGCCAGGCAAGAACCTCGAGAGGTGAGATCAGCCTTTCATGGGGGCTCGCCTTCGTTATCATCACGAAGTCCCCGACAAACCGGTTACGAATCGCCACGAGACGGCATTGCTTCAAGATCTCCCAGAGATCAGCACTCAAGGTCGCCACAAGCAGCAAGCCCGGGAGAAGGTCGGTATTCTCGGCAATCGCATGACAGTCAACGACCAACAGGAAATTCTCCTCGCGAGATCGGTGAGGGTCTTGGAATTCGCCGCCCAGTTGCACACCATGCAGCGACTGCTCCGGTTCAGCAACGTATCCAGGATAGAGGAAATGGTAGGGATAAGGTCTCACCTCCTACATCTCTTCTGAACCAGGCACGCAGGGACAGAGCCTTGAGCAATCCATCAATTACAGAAGAGGAGAAGGCGGCGCAAGATGTTGCCTTAGAGCGAGAATACGTAGTTGTTGAGAGACGGCATGTTGAGGTCAACGCTCTGGCCGATGAACTGGCAGCGAACGAGCGATTTGGTGACCCATCCTCTCAAAGGACAGGACCCATGACTCGACGATATACTCAACAGGGCGCACCCACTTCTACATCAGGAGCAATTGCCACTCCGTCTTCTCGCAACGCTTTGGTGACCCAGGGCCGCCATGACCGGAAATCATCGTACGAGAAGGCTCTCTCTGCTAGTCCCGGATCAGCCTCTAGTGCTATCTCTAAAGCGATCCAAGACGCCAGCCTGCGTCTTTTTGGCTTCAAGGTTCCCCCTCTGCGTGGTACACCAAAGGGCCCATCGCCTCCCCTGTACCAAGCTTTCCCGACATATCCAACTCCTCAGGCCCCAGTCGGACTTTTGGGCGACGGCAAGAACACTCACGGAACCGACGAAGATGGCCGAGCTGCGCAAGCCATAGAAGAGTTCGCAACACGCAGTGACTGTGTCTACGGTTTCGCCGAAGTCAAGTACAAGCAGCTTGTTCCTCTAGCACCGTCCGCTGATCATATTTTGGGCGGTCTTGAACCTGAACAATTGGAAAATGAGGAAGATGGATTGACAGTTGAGGCAATTGTTGCTCTCTCAGAGGAGGCTCTTGTTCTATATGTGAAGTCGCTCACTCTTCTCGCTAGGGCTATGGACATAGCTAGTGTCTGGTGGTCCAAGAAGAGCCGGGGAGAGACAGGCACCGGCCTATCGGCAGCTGCTGCCCAGAGCATTGTTCAGCGCATAAACGCAGTGGTTCAGTGGGTTCGACAGCGATTTAACGAGGTGCTGGAGAAGTCGGAAATCGTCCGTATGAAGCTCACGGAAGCTCAGAAGCAATTGCCTGAAGACCATCCCAGCCACCCATCTAACCACGGAACCGAATCCATTGCTTCCTCCGCGGGGGGTGCGACCAAGCAGGTTTATTTGACTCCTGGCATAAGTGCTGAGAAGCTCATGTATGATCGAGCACTCGAGATGAGCCGCGCTGCCGCAATTGACGAAGTTACGAATGAGAACCTCGCCGGATGCGAGATTTCGTACATCACGGCCATCCGAATGCTTGAGGCTGTGTTGGACAACGATGACGATTCAGGTTCGGATGCAAGAAGATTGTCGACGGGCAAAGAAGATGAGCGAGATGCTGTCAAGGAAACTAGCGGTGGTGAGCTTGACAGCGATGAGGAGGCCCATGTTCGAAAGAGTAAGTCATACATGAGTCTGTCATTCTGGACGAGGGCTAACAAGACATTAGTGATCAAGATGATCACAGGACGACTCGCAGCTGTGCGCAAGAAGCAACAAATGATTGCTGAAGCCAACAGCAAGACGTTACAGTCTTATCAGCAGTCAACACGTCGTCGAAGCGGTGATATCACACCACGCAGTGTTCCTTCGCACGCATCCTCCTGAGCTGTGGACGATGAAACTCGTAGCAAAGCTTCATGACTGATACAACGATACCTACCATACCATTCGGAGATCTTGAATGATCTCATGTCTTATCTCTATCATATTTGGATTCAAGGCGCTACGGAGCTCGGCATGCGGCTCACAGAAGCACGCCAGCAGACAGTCATTGAGTACAGGATCTATATGGAGCCGGCGTCCAGGGTTTTTGTCATTTGCGCATCGCCGGGAGAAGCATCTCATAAGTCGGCGTTTTTGGATTGCTATTAGCTATTACTTTCTTCTACCGTATTCTTTTGTTGCTATTTCCAGAGGACCACCTCTGCATTTTGGATTTGGGGCTCGCTTCGCCCAGACCTGGAGCTACAGCAGCTTTTCAGGTGGAAGATAAGAGGAGGTATTTGGGTTTATGTGTATCTGGACCGGCATAAGGGCCAGTCATTATAGGTTGAGAGTGGGAAGTTTTCAGACATGCCATGCTATTCGAGAGTGAAGAGATGTTGAAACCAGGGGAAAAGGGTGAAAATGAGAATCAATATACCCAGGTCTTCCACATTGAGCCCTGGATTTACACTTCTTTGTCCATCTTCTTAGTGAGGCTTATCTGCGGGAACTGGCAGCAGGCCGATTCGTTTCTTTTAGTGACCTTTGAATTGTTCGGTCCAATGGCTTTGTTCATTCAATGCCACGTAATGTTCTCACAAAGCCTCTGCTCATTCAGTGACAAGAAGCTGTAGTACAGCGCATCTTGTTCTTCGTTTTACCGCTGCACAGTTGTTGGCCGTCAAGGCTGGTATATATACAGAATGGGCGCACATAGAACAGCACGAACCATATTCTTTAACTTCAAATTTACTTAACATATTGAGACAGCCATGACCGGGAATTGCTATTCTCCCAACTCGGTTCTATCCGACATCATTCGGGAGCTCGACACTAATGCACCACCAGCTGCTCCACTTGACTTGCTATCAACCGTCTCATCCATTTTTCACCAACGATCAGAGAGGCTTCGGCGAGAAGCCCTTGCTCGTTCAGACGCAGAGATCGAGGCTGGATTCGTCGCTACTCGAGAAGCACGGATCAAGGAGAAGCTCGAAGAATTGGAGGAGGAGGAGGGGGAGGAGGAAGAGACATCAGAAGACGAGTGGGACGAAGATGAGTATGAAGATGAAATTCCTTCCAGGGAAGATGTCGAAGCTTTCATCAATGGCATGATTGATAAAGAAGCCACAGGCCCTGTTCTTAGGCGTGCAATAGGAGAGACAAGAGAGGACCATAGAAAGCGGATGGAAACTCTTGAGGACCGCATTCAGGGGTATCAACTCTCCAAGTTCGTGCTCGAAGACTTGCGGGGAGATCCTCCTAGGTACGTGGAAGGGTTCCCAGTGAACCTCATCAACGCCTTTTGCCACCTACGTCCTCACGTTCCCTTTATGAATACGGAGATGTTCGATTGTCTTCAGTGTCAAGTTAAAGGGAGACGGTGCTCACGAAACATGAACTATTCACCCGCCTGCGAGCGATGCAGACGCCATGGAGACCCCTGTTTAGTCAAGGACTTTACCCATCCTGTTGCAGTGTGTTGGTGGTTTGCTAGGGGTCAAGAAACCGGTGACATTGAACAGGTGGAATTAGAGTGGTTGGAGAGGCTGATGAATAAGGGTCAGGCTGAGGGCATCCAGGCCTTGCCAGTGTGGCCTGAGGTCGGTGGTAACTTAAGCAATAATAGTGGTGAAGAGAAGATGCCTAAAAAATGGCAAGACTTCTTGAAAGGATCCGCCAAAAGGAAAATAAGTACATGGTAAAGCGAAAAGGGGCAATCTGCATGCATTTATTATTTGTAAATATCCCCATCTATCCCATGTCAGCCTTTCCCCGTCATCAATCAAAACAGCCAGAGCCATCTGTGGTCATAGGCAAGTTCCCAGTCAGAATCCGCAATCCCATCCGCCCAAATCTATGAACCTCGTTTCCCTCGGTTGTGTAGTTGTTGCACTTGAGTGAGTTCGTGATTCTCAATGTTTCCTTTCCCATGGAATTCGCATAGAAGAAAGAAGTGAAGCCCCAAAGTAACTCCACAGACCTAAATATATCCCTTCATTTTCCACCATTTCCTGACCATCTTCAGCGGAATGTGAGCTGAGGTGGGTGCCGCATATTGGCCCCGACCGATCCCTTTAGCCTCACATCACGCTTGCTCTTCCGTTTCTTAGGGCTTGATGGCGGAACCAATGCACTGGTAGTGAGAGCATCTAGAGGAGTTCTCGGAACAGGAGAGATGCTGTCTGTGAGGAACTTTGACTTCGTCCTCTCGAGAGCCGAAAGAACGTTTTGCCTATAACGAGGATTGGTATTGGTAGGTGATCTTAAATGCCTCTCTAGCCCAGGGAGGGGAAGATTCGCAGTATCATGAGTCCTGGCTCTTGGGACTCTCTTGCGTTTTGATGGGAATTCAGTGTTCGCTGAACCGTTAGGCTTACGAAACCCTTGCCAAGGAGGTTGAGGCTTCTTTAGATTAGTCGCAGACTCTCTTAGAGTGCCGGATGGACGCGGTGGCACCGAGAAAGACGAGGTAGTCTTACGAGTGGCAGTTCCTGGGTCAGGTTCTGCGGCTATCTCCAGAACGCGGTCTCTAGACTTTGTGGTCGTAGTTTCAAAGCGTGTAGGTGTCGTCGTGAAGTATTGGCTGATTGATGAGCCTGGGCTTCTTGTAGGTGTTGGTGGGTTGCTCGGTGCAAGATCAGGTAACACCCAAGGCATCGGTTTGAGCTTATCTTGAGGTTTCCAAGAAGCCAGTGTTCTAGAGTCCATTCGTTTGAACAGTTCCCGATTCTTCTTCGGAGAACAAAGCCATGCATGCGTCTTCGCACCATAAGCATTGATTCTCTGTAATGGGTCAACTTTCAGACAGTTCCAGACGAATTCAATCCCTTCAAGAGAGGGTTTTGTCTGCAATCCATTGAACAGTCTAGTGAGATATTCGATTATGTCTCCTTGTCCCATCTTGTTGAGCTCTGTGTCGTGGTTATCAGATGCGAGGAGGAGCAGTGCAACAACACCTAAGGACCAGATGTCGACAGCCGCAGTGTGAGCTTGCCCACCGGCTGCAAACTCCCTATGAGTCTTATTAGCAAGTAGCTTGAGTCCAAAATAAGTGACGTACGGTGCTTGGTAACCTGGTGTCCCAGCATTTGTGATCATTCTGCTGCGTCGAGGCACGGCAGAATTGCCAAAGTCTGAAAGCATGACTCGATGGTACGCAATCTTAGGCGAGTACGCCAAGAGGATATTCTCTGGTTTGAGATCACGGTGAACAATGTCTTTCTCATGGAGATAGCCAAGACCACGGACAACTTGACGTATAATGATCCGTGAGTCGAGTTCCTTGACCGTGCCATGGCGTAGGATGAATGACATGAGATCACCACCCGATGCAAGTTCTGTAAAGGTGTAGCTAGGGCCATCAGTTCAAGTTTCCGTAAATATATGGATCTCACTTACAGTGAGTGTGGTGATGAGATAGCATCCACGTAAGGAAGAATGTTAGGCTATTTCAGGTTAGTAAGACTCGCGATACAAAGCGCGAGTCGACTTACATGTCGCAGCTGGCGCAAGATATCGGCTTCCTGAAACTTGCGGCGGATATCCTCTTGAGAATTCTTTCCTTGAATCTTGTCGAGATTGATCAACTTGCAAACTAACTGCTTCTTCGTCTGGACGTCGTTTGCCAGGCAGACGACTGCTTCCGCTCCTTGCCCGAGGCAATGGTTATTGACGTGATACTTGCTTGCGAACAACTAGGGCAGTTAGTTTCAGGCCCCAGTCGGTAATAGGGACAATTCGGGCCTACCTTGCATTCCTCCAGTTGTAAGGATGTTAACTCATGGCGAGGGGGTGGCTGATCTTGAATGACTGTAAACTTCTAGTATGGTCGAATTTCGATCACATCGCCGCTCTGTAGTAGGTAGCCAGGGCTTATATCCGGACCAGAACCAATGAGTTGGCCATTGACAAAGGTGCCATTTGAAGACTTTCGATCCCGCACATAGACATGGTTGATAGTTGGCTCATACACCACAACATAGACTTCGCAGTGGTTTCGAGAAACTGCAACGTTGAGGTCATTATCGACAGCCAACGTGCTGTATGTGTGAGCTTGTGTGACATGCATTTCATTTAGAGATTTGCTCACTTTGCACGAGGGTCTCGCCCAATCTTGAAGATTTCTCGCTCCCACACTGGAAACACTTCTGAGAAGCGGGTTAGAAAGAACCAGACGAGGTGGAGACCATACGAGATCTTGAGGGTAGGAAGAGCGTACGCTGAGATTCGTGTTCGCTTCTGGTGTCTACTAGATGAAGATATGCAGCTGGACTTTCTTGCGACGCGCGAGTCGTATCCTCGTCCATATTGAGGTTCACAGATTTTGAATCTGGTTCATCTGCTTGTACGTGTAAGTGCTTTCTTTGCTGGATTAGTTGGCTGAGTAAGATTGGTGTAGCAAGATCACGAATTCGTTGGTTTAGATGGCGATGGTGGTTAAGTAGAAGTTATTCAATTAGTGGCTAATTTTCTCGTCGGTTGCAATTCCTATTGTCGCAGTTAAACAATTGCAGCCGTTCCTTCCCTCCTTCCTTCCTTTCTGCTTCAGTCGTCGGCCTGGCACTGTATGCGCAGGACAGTGCCCCACTCAATTGGCACCCTTCTCGTCGCCCACCCAAGTTTTGGTGGGGGGTCTTCCAGGTACCATGAGAAGGAACGATGGGGTTCGGTCACGTGTTGTGATTGGGGCTGCATACACAAAATCGTAATTCTGCCCCCGAAGCTTCAGAAGTTTGTTCCTTATCCCAACACGATTCTCATCCACGAAAGAGTAAGTTTACGCGACCTGACCCTGGCCTATAGCTTGTAGCTTGCAGGCATTGAGCTTGGGCTCATGCCACCGCATGCTACTTGTCTTGTTGACGGCATTTCGCATGCGCACCACAGCTGCTAACGTCTTCCAACAGCATCGTCAATCAAGATGAGAGCCAAATGGAGGAAGAAGCGGGTTCGCCGCCTCAAGCGCAAGAGAAGAAAGATGAGGGCTCGATCGTAAGTTGCATCGCTGTCGCCGACATGTTGACAATAGCTAACCGTTTTCACAGCAAATAAACACCTCGCACCTCAACCTGACTTGACTCATCTTCCATGATGTTACGACTTCACACGCACAACGATACTCTGGCCGAAGCTGCGAACGCTACTCTGGCGCCTATGGGATGTCCCGCAACGTACTGAGCTGGGATTTGACTTCGGGAACTACGTCACGGTGGTGGAACCCCGCACTTGAGCGGCTGTTGGGCACTCAATGAACATTATGGGAATGGGGATTATGACAATTGGACGGTCGGGAACCAGGCGGTGTTAGGATCAAAGACCATCAGTCATGCTCGCAAAAGACGATGCAACGAGAACTTGATTGGCAGTTCTAAGACAAAGAAATACAGAGTATTCCTCTGACAGTTTGTGTGCTTCGTGATTGTGCCCTCGTGACACCAATTAGCTCTAGCTGGACGTTGACCAAGCTCAGTCGCGCGCTAGCTGTCGGCCAATTCTTGCAAGCCCTTCGGTCTCAGGCTAATTGCTCTATGTGTGATGTCGTGTTACCAGTTCTTTCAAATGCGATTGATTTCGCCGTTCCCGAATATTAAAATTGCCGATGTGTTGTGCGTGACGCTCTGTCGCATTCAGCTCCGAGGTGGTTCGACGTCACTAAACCTACAGAGCAGCGCTACCAACCTTGGTGGAGCTACTCGGTGGGTTGCGGAGATGGAATGTTGAAGATATGGAAATTTGGAGATACTGGAGCTCAGCGAAATGCATCAACCATCAATTGAATTGCATACGACAGTATATAAAATCGTCATTCTGAAACTCTTCCATACGGCTCTTATATATTAGTTCCTCAACCCAATTCTTCCACATATCTCGATGCAACTGCGAGGTACGTTCTCCCCTCTCACCGCCTTCCCTGTCTGGCCGGCTAAATGGCGGGCCCTCTCTTTCTGCCGCGGAAAGTCAAAAAATTTCTAAGACCTTGTCTGTATCAACAGTACCTCTACTCAAGATTACATACGAAATCGATAATCGGCCATCCAACATGGGGAGTGAAAAGCGCAAGAGAAGCGGAGATTCTACGAAGCCAAAGAAGAAGGTTGTTATTGATGCGCCTCCTTCATCAGCGACCGTCTCTTCCGTCCTCAGACCCAAGTTCTGCCCTCCCGTGATAGGTACCAACCACCACCTCTGCTTGGGTGCGATGCGACAGATATTGACTGATCTCGAATAGCAACGGCTGTTGGGTTCCAAGTACCAAAGAACATTCCCTTTCACTCTTATGCGCCCAAGAATGGAGCCAAGTCAAAAGGCAAGCAGCCTGAATCGGCTGCCGAAAAAGATTTCCTGCTGCACTCGAATGCGCATCGATCTATGGACTACACGGTCAAATCGGACGAGCCAAGAGGGAAAAAGCCAGCTTTAAATCACTTCCTCGGAATCTACGACCCCAAGACAGGAAAACTTGAGGTGGTCGAGGCAAAGAAGATGACAATGCGGGCTTCAGTACGAGCAAGGCAGGGCGCCGCTGCTACTTCTGGTCAGCGCGATAATAGCCAGGTACGCCTACATCCATCTACTCTAGAGGGGCAATATTCTAACGAAGTACAGACAATGCTACAGCTCAAGACCGACCTCGGCCAGACATTTGGTACCAAGAAGGCCAAGAAGGCCATCCAAGAGAACGTCTTGAACGCTATCGCACCGCAAAAGAAGGCTGGGGAAGAGCCTGCCAAGATTGATGCAGCAGCACGTGCTATGCTCAACTCTGTCGGAGAAGTCACATCGACCATGTCATCGAGAGAGGAGTTACAAGCGGTTGTGGATGCCGCCAAGCCTGTGCCCATTGCCAACATGGAAGCGACCGAGATCCAAGACGTTTACGATCCTAAGAAGATCATCGGAGCCGACATCCTCAAGCTGGTCCCCGTTCGAGAATGGCAAGAGAAGGTACAACACAAGGAGAGCATTCAGGTGCCGTCACGCTTTGTTGCCGCTCGGGTGAACCGCGTGGCAGGCAACGAGGAGGCGGTGGATCGACTGCGTGTACTACGTTACTTCTTCTTCGTGCTGCTTTTCTACCTCCACAGCAAGCCTGGCAAGGCCCGTGGCACCCGAACTATCGCACCTCGAGAGAAACTCAGGGAGTTCCTTGCTCCTGCACCCGAGGCTGTGGTTGAGAGCATTCGCCGCAAGTTCTCCGACCGTGGCGAGATGCGCAAGTTCCACGTTGATCTGCTGATAACACATTGCTGTGTTTTCGCAAGCATCATCGACAACTTCGAGGTTGACACACAGAACCTACGTGACGATCTAAAGATCGACCAGAAGACCATGAATGCCTATTTCCAGGAGATTGGCGGTCGTGTGAAGCATGTTACAAACAAGGATACGAAACAACAGGTTAGCGTAGCCCGTCTAACGCTGCCATTGAACTTCCCCAAGCAGAGGCAATTTGCCCCAAAACGCCGATAGGAATGGCGTTCAATGGAGGCGTCTGCCGATGTGAAGAAGAATGTTTAAGAGGAAGAGTGCGAGGAGGCAGTGTGAGCGGGTGGTTATTGTGATGATTGAAAAGAAATTGCATGCTGAATCTTTCGGCAAAGGAGTTTTGCGGATGGACCGGTGATGTCAATGTACCTTGGGCTTCAGTAATTCAGTGCCTACCAAGATAACGTAGCTCGAATGAATTATTCATACACGTTATATACTTCTTTAATCGAGACACTTGTGGTTGTTTCGTGATTGGTCGTGGATATTTCAGCATGCTCCTAGCTCACCTGAGTTGTAGACAGCAAATATAACGTATTTAGAGCTTAATGAATGCTGTGTAATAACTCCAACATTATGCAACCCAGTTATCAATCCTTCAACCATCTATTGCACAGTCAACGAAGCCAAGTATTCGTTCTACAGTGATCGATCTCCCTGCAGACTTGGCTCCGGCAACTTCTCCACCTCCCATGCCGAGGCATCTCGGTACGCCAACCGAGTCGGGAGACAAGATCCGGGGTAATCAACACCCATGTAAGTAAAATACCCTAGGTTGGAGAGAATAAGAAGTCAACCTCTCCTGGTTATCCTCTTTATCATCAATCTTACAAGTCTCTTCTCCTCCATTCATCTGGTCTTCTCATCTCGAATATCCTCCATCAGATCCTTTATACTACAGCTTTCACTATGGCAGAAGAGTCTACCCTTCAACTCGAATATCGTGGCCGCGTAGCCGTTTTGACCATTTGTAATGAACGAAAACTCAACGCCTTCAACTCAGTACAATACTATGATCTCGCTCAGAAGATGCGAGAGATTGCTACTCATGACGAGGTTTTCACTACAGTGATTTTGGCAAAGGGTCGATATTTTTCAGCGTGAGAACCCCATATAGAATCCTGTCCACCCATGCAGACCACTGTGTCTTGGAAATGCCGGACAACCAATATAAGCATGGACATAACTGACTGTTCGCAGAGGAGCTGACGTGGGAGTCTCTCGAGAGATAGCCGGAGACGGGAAAGCAGTCCATAAGCAAGTCTTACAGGGCTTTGTCGCTCAAAACCTGAACATCACCCATGCCTTTGCAACTCATCCCAAGGTTCTCGTCGTTGGCCTCAATGGTCCTGTTGTAGGCCTTACAGCTGCGCTCATTGCATTTGCTGACTTTATTTACTGTGCGCCGTCGACTTTCCTCCTCACACCTTTCTCATCCATTGGTCTTGTTGCTGAGGGTGGTGCATCACGAGCACTGGCACTGCGTCTCGGACCTGCACGAGCGAACGAAGCATTGTTCATGAGTCGCCGCATTGGATCTCAGGACCTTGAGCGCTGTGGATTTGTCAATGCCATCTTTGACGAGGGCGATGATGTCAAGTTCAGGGCTAGAGTGTTGCAAGAGGTTGACGAGAGGCTGGGAGACCATCTTATTGGGGATAGCTTGATCGGAATTAAGAGGCTGATCAGGAAGCCCGAGCTGGATATCCTGCATACACAGAATGTCCATGAGGTTTTTGCTGGGCTGGAGAGATTCATGACGGGTGTACCTCAGGAGGAGTTTGCAAAGCTTGCGAGCGGTGCGAAGCGACACAAGCTGTGATGATTCACAGCTATATCATCTATACCAGAGAAGAAAATATGAAGCAATAAGATTCTACTCGGACATGTGCTCTCACCTTACTATTCTGTGTCTTTTCTTCCCCCCCTCACTCACAAGGTACGCTGCTAAGCTAAGGTAAGGACTGACAATGCTGCACAATATCAGGACAACCACATAACATGTAACAAAAAGAGATTCTACAAGGACAAAAAAAAACATACAACACTGGGGATTCGCTGGTCGTCACCGACCCAACTACTAATCCAGCGCTTCGCAGCTTAACTAAGGGGGAGCGGACGGGACCCCGTGTTCTCTACGAGCTGTGGTCGTATGTGATAAGCGGACATGTCACAATGCCCTATGAATAAGGTACTAACACTCGTATACATACTATCTTTAGTGCGGAGAGCACAGTTTAATTGATACTCGCTTCAGCAGGAGTGTCACAATTGGTAGGTTGTTAATAGTCTTCTATTGTCAAGTGTTGCGTGTTCCCTATGCTAGCAGACCAAACAATAAACTGGCTCGTTGCCAGAAGTCGTTGGCTGACTTCAAGATTCGGTCCTTTGCTGCCTCGTCTAACTTGGAGTGTCGGTAAACATTGTCCTCGAGGTTCTGGAACGAGCTGCCTGCTGACTCTGTGTTGCCGATGCAACGCCGCAAGAGGGCAATATCAAAGAGCCACTGTGTGAAGACATCCGTCTTCTGCTCGGCACTGAGACCAGGTTTCTGCTCTTCGGAAGCATCTTCGGGCTTTGGTAACTCCTCCTCGGCACTGGCCTTCTTTTCATCGGTCTCCTCTGCATTCTCGTCCTCCGTATCATCATCGTCCTTCTCCTTTGCATCTACCTCGTTTGACTTCTTATCTTTGACGTCTTCCTTGTTGTCAACTGAGTTCTCCACCACTGCTGCCTCCCACATTTTGCATAGTTGCTCAGTCAGGTGCTTCTTCAACACAGATACAGCCGCCTTGGTCCAGAGATCGGCCCCCTCGTCCGACATAGACAGTGATAGTGATCGTAGGAACTGGAAAATCTCTGGCGAGGGCTGATTAGGTAGCGCTGGCTCTCCATCCCAAAGTGGTCGGCCCACCACAACTCGCTGTGAAAGTCCTTGCGTGGAGAACTCTTCCAGAGTAGGCTGTGAAACTGCCACAGCCACCTTCTCATGCATCGAAGGGACAGCCTTCAGGCCAAAGCTCTTGATGGAAGGCCGCTCTGGTAACTGGTGTCGGATATCTCGTAAAACACGGAGGAAGTACATGGCTACTTTACCGTTGCGCGATGACTCGGCCCGCTCATCCCAAAGACTTTGGATTTGATCTTCAAGCTCTTTGAAAGACTTATCAAGCGTGGCATCCAGCCTCTCTTGCAGCATCTGAGGATCGTCCTTGCTTAGGAGTTTCTGTCGAGCTTCGATCGTCTCCTCATCCTCGATCTCGTCGTAGTCATTATCCCAGCGTTGCCGTCTCAATTGTTCAACAACCTCCTTGACATCATCGATGACATGATACCATGATTTGTAAGAGTGCGCCGCTTTGGAAACAGCATCATTCCGTCCATAAAACCGAGACACGACCTCTTGCACAAATGGGGCAGCGCCACCCGCAAGAGCTTCATCGTAACCTTCTTCGTTCCAGATGCTCACATGTTCATCGGTGATACCATCTTTCCATCGTCCTAGGGATGCAGAGACCTCTGACCCAACTAAGCGGAGCTTGCTGACCTTAGTATCGAGGACTTCGAGCATGCGGGAGTTGATGGCTTCGCGGAGAGAATCCTGCATTTCTGATGGATCGATACCTCGAGCCTTCCCACCGTCTCTAATCCAAAGCTCCAAAACATTTGTTCGAAGCTCCATAATGGACTTGAATTCGGACATTGTGTTCAGCGTTTTCTTCAGTCCGTCGAGGAGAACCTCCGATCCCTTCTCGGACCATGCAGCTAGCATCTCACGAGCCTGACTTCCATCCAGGTCGTCATGCCGGACGAAAGGTGTGAAGTATTGGATTTCTTCGTCACACCACCGTTCATAGATGTCTAATCTTAGCCCTTCAAGCTGCTTGAGGCCGGGGTCAGCTAGGAGACGGTGGCTCTTAAGACCCGAGAGCGCCAATGACAATCTGCCTGGCACTAAAGCTTGCACATCAAGAAGAGTTCTCGAATAGAGCCTCAAACTTTGAACAACGTCATCAGCACTCCTCTTCCGATTATTCTCTTCCGCCTCAAATGCTAGTCCCATAGCCTCTGCTCTCACATGGAGAAAATGGCGGAGAACGTCTCTTGCTCCAGAGCTTGTTGCTAAGCTGTATGCACATAGTGCCTTTTGCACGTCTTCCCTCTCCGTCTCATCGCCAGCTCTCTCAAAGACCTTCTCGACGTTCCTGAGCAACCTTCGTCGTAGCTTGCTAACGGATGCTCTCGCGGTTTCGATGGCTTGGCGACTGCTAGTATCAGTCGCATCGTCCGAGAGACTCTTTATCAAAAGTCGACTCAGAACCAGGACCTTTGTAGAAAGTACCAATCTATCTCCCTTCTTGACATTGTCGCCCAGTCCACCACTGCCCTTAAGTATTCGCCCAACAACTAGGACACAGGCGTCGAGGAGCCTTAACCGTGCTGCGATAGAGGTAGCGTATTTGTTCTCCTTCGCAACAAAATTTGCGAGACCCGTAGCCTTGGCGCTGATCACAGCTCTACCGCATCGGCCACCCATCTTGCCTAGAAGCTCCTGAACGACATCGTTGTCATCGCGCATGTGCACAATAGTGTCCGCTGTACCGAGCAGATCGCGATATGAGCTTCCGACCTGAGTGCGCAGGCGGGTAGACTTTTCTTCGATTGCGACATGGAGGCTTTTGTGAATAGCTCGGATCTGTGGGAGGGTGTTATTCGGAGAGAAGATCTGGGCGGATGAGGTGAGCTTGGAAGTGTCGACATCGGCCATTGTTGCGCGAGAGCTATAGATCGTATAGTATTAGTGTTACCTATTGATAGGCATCTGTTCAAAAATTTGTCGCACCCAGGTTCGTACGGTCGTTGAAATTTGAGGAGAGGCGTTGGAAAGTTGTAGGTTTGCTTAAGGGAAGCTGTTCAAGCAACGTGGAGGTTGGCCCCGCCATACAAGGGTCGACCCGCCATTAAATAGGTGATAATCAGGGGACTTAAATGTACATTGCGGCAGTCAAGTAAATGAATATTCACAAAATTGGATGAATTCTTTTATGACGCTATTAACCAAGTCCTTAATGAATTTAAATCTATAGTCTTGTGCTCTTGACAACAGCTGTGTTGATACCTGACAGCTCTCCTTGGTATCCTCCCTTGGGCTCGCCGCCTTGCCAAACAGGCTTCATGCTCTTCAACTTCTTTTGCTTCGCCTCGTACTGCTTGCGCTTCTTGACTCTGGGGTTCCTAACGTCCTTGCTTCGCTTGGGCGCTAGACCCTTGTTCTTCTCGATAGCATATGTGATCTTACGCTTGCCATCCTCACCAAGCTCCTCCTTCTCGACAACTCGATCTGCCTTGCTGGCAGCAGCGTATGCTGCGTAGCGGGCGGCCTTGTCCTCCTTGTTCTTCTTTGACTTTTGTGCCACCATATCGTAGTACTCATCCTCATTGTCACGGACAGTCTTGGCCGTTGTGGTGTCCTCATCGTCACTGTTATCGTCAAGGTCTGCTCCAAGCTTGGAGTTCTTCTGTCCACGTCGCTCAGCCTCAGCGTTGAGACGCGCCGCACGGTCTCGAAGTCTTTCACGGTGAGGAATATCCATATCACCACCGGCATCCCTTCCAGCGCCAGCACGCTTGTTCGCCTTCTGTACGATTTGAGATGTGTAGAACTTGAGACTCTTCTTGCGGGCGGCCTTCTCAGCTGCGGTTCGCTCATCAAGAACGTCCTCTTCACCAAAGTCGGAATTGTCATCGTCTTGTTCGATAGCAACAGCCTTCTTGGACTTCTTGGATTTCTTGCCGGGAAGAGGTAGATCATATAGATCAGCAACAGCTGCTTCTCCAGCCTTGACCTTCTCCAGCTTTCGCTCCAGTTTCTCAGCAGCAGCCTTTTCTTGCTTCGACGACTTCTTGCTCTTCTTTGTTCTCTTCACCTCAGCCTCCAGATTCTCAACACCCTGCATCAATGCATCATCGTCGATATCTGAAATAGCGTCGCCATCGAAACTCTTGGTTGACTTGAGATCCTTGACCTTTTGCCATGTCTCTCGACAATTCATCAAGGTCTCCATGACCTCGTGGTCCCGTAGCTCGGTAGGATCAATAGTTTTCTGCACCTTTGCGTTATCTCTTGCTGGAGATGTCAGGATGGCAAAATAGCTCGCGAGAGCAGCAACGTAACAGCCGGCCACCCAGTACTTGACGGCTTCTAGTGATTGGCCCGAGAGACCCTGGGCTGACTTTTGCAAATCCACCAAAGTAGGTTGCAGGTTCTGGAATTCCTTGACAAGGGGCTCGAATTCGGGATAACGGTTCTTGAGAATTGTATATCGCTCTTCGGGGCTCATGTCGTCGGTGATCTCAACTTCCTTCAGGACTTCTGTGATCGTCTCTTCGCCCTCACCATGTTCTTGGCCCTCGGCTAGCCACTCGTCACCATCAAAAATGAAATCCTCCTCAGCCATCTTGGAAAGCTTCTTCTGCTGAAGACGCTTGGCTTCCACTTCTTCTTCGAGAGCATCGGCCTCGGTCTCGATATTGTCGGCATTGTAGTAGTCGTTTCTTGAGGATCCCCACCAACCGGAATCGCCCTCCTCCTCTTCCTGGCCAGCTTCGTCATCTGAGACTGCATCTTTGGATGCTGAGCCCTTGTTTTTACGCGGTTGATCATCCCGGTCGTCCTCCTCTTCTGAGTGGGAGTCCTCGTATCCAAGAACCTCTTCATCGGACAGCTCGATATCGTCATCTTCTTTCCTTCGACGTTTCGAATCTGGCGCTTCGTCGAGCAGTATTTGGTCTCGGTTCATGAAGTACTCGTCTTCTGAGTCGGCAACATCCTCATAGGTAGTGATAGGTCCAAGGCGGGCTTCCGAAGGATCAAGTTCTTTGGGGCCTAATAGCGCATTACTGCGCCCTGATGCCTTTCTCTTTTTAGCCATTTTCGCGGGCTGTGGGGAATTCGAATGGGTAGAAAGAAGGGACTTCTAAAGTTTTGCGTAGCCAAAGTTGCGAAAATAGCCCGTCGCAGTCGTAACTTTTTCTGAATTTTTAGCCGATAAGAGATAAGAGTAGCCCACCACCAGCCACACCCACGCCACAATTCTATCAGCCATATCCGGAAATAAAATGATCGGCTGTATAGATCAATCTGGCGCTTGGGCTGACAATAAAGTTGACATGATGGGAACCAATTGCAACACATGGCCAGTCTCAGCTTACATGATTCAGAACACACATGATCATCGGCCGCGTATGTAGTCTCAGACAGTCCAGATCTAAACAAATGCCTCGTTTGAGGGGTTGATCAAGCATTGTCTTTGCTGTGTAGCTTCATCACCAAGATGCCTTGTAAATTGTCGGCCAAAGCCCGAATGATTCGTGGGATTCAGCATCCCACTTCCAAGATCGTCTCCCTGATATAAGCCCTTGTCAGAACCACTTCGTCAAACGCGTAGCACATTACTTCCGCTACGGTACATGCTTCGAGTAACACCGAGTTCGGGTCTGTATACAATATGTATGTATCATCGTCCCTTCATTTTATAGTAGATGGCATAGAAGCACTTCGATATCAGAATCACAAGCAAATGAATCTTCCATTTAACCGTTCCATGCGCAACAAGCGCTTAACGCTAGCCGCCTACGGCAGAAAGTGGACGTAGCTTGAGTCAGCTACCTAATCCTTTGGTGGGGACTCCCTACAGCACAATGACGAAATGCCGGAGGACTTCCCTCGGGTAGTGACAGGTACTTTTGAGTCTGGGCATAACGCGTAGACCGCTCATGTACCTCCAGAATGCATGTTGTACTCTGGTGGCTGACCCCCTGTATTCTTTATTGCGTTTCATCATGTCTGTGATACGTCCCTTGTCCCTCTCGAGTCCGCTCGCCTGGGAACTTTCGGTAGAGAAGAGTTTATTGTATTGTGAAGAAAGAGAAAAGAATACTCTAGAAATAACAGTAAATAGAATGTTGACTTGGACGGGTAGGTGAGTTTGATTCAACGTTAACGTTGACGTTGACCACGATTCGGCGCATTTGTTACCGAATGTGGCAGGTTGACGGTTGAAGAGACCAATAACAATAAGAAAACAACCTTAAGTTAGCACCCCTCGCTCTCTCCAAACCTTGATCTAGCTCCGGTTATCGATGAGAATCTTCCTTTCTCTTCTCCATCTCTCGATTCTCCGTGTCGTCGTCGTCAGGCGGCCTCTATTTGTACCTGATCACCCCCCGCCATCTTGATTTAAAGTCCAGTCACGCTTGGCGCGCCTCCACACTCCCGCCAACGAGGGTCACCTGGACCCTGAGAAGGTGACGGTGTGACAACCAACGAACCATCAAAGTTCTAGGACGAAGCACGGGCACGGGCGTCGCGATATACAGTACTCGGACCAGATCGTCCTTGTGTCCCAGTCTCTGTTTCACTTGCAGCTGATCTTTATCTTCCCTTTATCTCCGGAGCAGGCGCCTTGCTTTAAACTCGTATCGCCCTTGGAGCTTGCCTGTCACTCCACTCCCTGCTCCTTCAACTTCATTTCCACCATAGTTTCATTCCATCATGGCGGGACAAGAAGCAGAAGGCTCCGAGCCGCCCTCACCACGGACTACGCGAAGACGGAATCCTTTACAGCGGAATGCTTCAACAGGAGAACTGGACGAGCGAACCCCCTTGCTCACAGCTTCAAGGTCGCGCATTCGTATCAGTGAGCAAAGCTCGACTCGTCAGCAAAAAGGATCCTTATCGCGGGACCAAAGCTACATAGGTGCGCTCTTCAAGAGTATATTAATTCTGACTCTAGCTAATCATGTTTTGTGTCTCAGGTGCCTATCATGGCTCTCGAAATCATAGCCGACATCCCTCGTGGAGCTCAAGACTGGTTAACGCCCTGTCCGACCGCCATGAGTCCTCTATGGCCGAATCGAAAGGCACAATTTTCCCTGATGAACGCATGTGGTACGATCAATTCACCAGTACCGACTGGGTGCATGACGCAATCGCCGATTCCTACAGGGTCAAGGAGCTACGGAGTCGTAAGGACTTCTGGGGCAGGGTTCGCATCATCTTTGATGGCGCCCAGGGCTGGATTCTGAGTGCTCTCTGTGGCTTTCTCGTTGCATTGATGGCATACACAGTAGATGTTGCCGAATCTACTGTCTTTGATTTCAAGGAAGGCTACTGCAGCAAAGCTTGGTACCTCAGCAGAAAGGTCAGTAATTCATGATGCGCACCTTCTTCAGCTTGTCCTTAGAACGAAGGTAGGCTAATATTGACCTTAGAGATGCTGCGCCGAGGAAGCCTGTGAGGACTGGGTAAGGTGGGCACATGTTGTGAACAGTCCTTCCGGAGACATCTGGAGAAGCTTCGCGATTTACATGGCCTTTGTTCTCGCCCTTGCTCTCATTGCCTGTTGGATGGCGCTGTGGACAAAAACAGTTGTCCCATCTGCTTATCAACTGACGACTCTAGACGAGAACCTGGCTGTTGATGAACCCACACAGACATATGACGACTTGAACCCAAGTGAATCTTCGACACCTCAACCGCAACCCGATCCAAAGCCAGAGAATCCCCCTATGGTCTACTATTCTGCAGCTGGCAGTGGAGTTGCCGAGGTTCGCGTTATTCTGAGTGGCTTCGTTTTGCACGGTTTCCTGGGTGCCAGGACCTTGATTATCAAAATGGTAGCACTGATTCTAAGTGTCGCTTCCGGTATGAGTCTCGGAAAAGAGGGCCCGTACGTTCACATGGCTGCCTGCGTTGGCAATATCTTGTGTCGATTATTTTCCAAGTACGATCGAAACGACGGAAAGCGAAGAGAGGTTATTTCAGCAGCCGCAGCTGCAGGAGTCGCCGTTGCATTTGGTGCGCCACTAGGCGGAGTACTGTTCGGCCTTGAAGAAGTTTCATACTTCTTCCCTGCGAAAACGCTGTTCCGAACCTTCTTCTGCTGTATCGTCGCCGCGCTGTCCCTCAAATTCCTCAACCCCTACGGTACACACAAGATCGTTCTCTTTGAAGTGAGATATCTGGTCGACTGGGAGTATTTCGAGCTTGGAAGCTTCATATTTGTGGGCATCATTGGCGGTGCACTGGGAGCGCTCTTTATCAAAGCCTCCAAATACTGGGCTCAATCCTTCAGAAGGATCCAGCTGATCAAAAAGCACCCTCTGCTGGAGGTATTCCTTGTAGCACTGGTAACGGGATTGATGAGCTATTGGAATGCTCTGACAAAGCTTCCCGTTGCTGAGCTGCTTCTGAATGTCGCATCGCCGTGCGAGGGTTCCAGTACTGACTGGGAAGAACGAGCATTGTGCCCTGGGGCTATTGATGAGATCCCCCCTATTCTGTTTGAACTGTTTGTTGCTCTCTTGATCAAGGGCTTCCTCACCGTTATCACTTTCGGCATTGTAAGTTTGATTCGGAACGAGCTGTGGCATAAACTAACACACCCAACAGAAAGTTCCTGCTGGAATTTATGTACCATCTATGGTTGTCGGAGGTTTGATGGGCCGGATAGTCGGCCATATGGTGCAGTGGGCCGTGCTACGTGTTCCGGATTGGGCTATCTGGGGAGACTGTGCGTTCAGCAGAGACGGTTCGTGCATCCAACCTGGTGTGTATGGTCTCATCGCAGCCGGTGCCACCATGTGTGGTGTGACAAGATTGTCTGTCACACTCGCAGTTATCTTATTCGAGCTCACGGGTAGCCTTGATTATGTCTTGCCCTTCTCTCTCGCGATCCTCGTGTCCAAATGGACAGCTGATGCTATCGAGCCCAACAGCATCTATGTAGGTCTTTCTTTTTTTGGCCAACGTACCGAGCAGCGACTGACTTGTACAGGATCTTCTCACCAGCATGAATTCATATCCATTCTTGGACAATAAGCATAAGCCGATCTTTACGGAAGACCTAGCTGACATTGTGCCACGGATTCGCAAAGAACGAATTATTGACATTACGAACTCACCGGTTGTACCTGCTACCAGCTTGAGAATCAAACTCGAGCTTCTGCACAGGGCTGGCGAACTCGATGGAGGACTGCCAATTGTGCGACATGGTATTTTGGTTGGGCTGATTCCTGCACCTGATCTTGGATATGCTCTTGATCAGTTAGAAGACGAAGCAACGAATCTTTGCCTCATGGATCACGTTCCTAGCATTGACGAAGATGAGGGAGAACATGACCCCACAGACTTTACACCTTACATAGATCCTGTGAGCATTCCGCGATATGTGCTACCTCGCACACCACTGACGAGTAATAGGCACCCGTTGCGCTGGATATCAGATCACCAATGGACTTGGTTTATGAGCTTTTCGCGAAGCTCGGACTCAGGTACATCTGTGTGCTGAAAGACGGCAAATATGCTGGAATGGTAAGCATTTGCTGGCTGTTGCTTGAAATTGATGTTCTGTTTATGATGCTAACCTAGCTACCAGACCCACAAGAAGACCTTTGTCAGATATATGCGGGAGCATGAAAAAGACATTTAACTTGCAAGCGATTCAGGAGTTTTGGGCATTGTGGGCGTTGTTTCTGTGATACAGGCATGGCATTGGCATTGCATTTCTGGTAGCGAGTTCTTTTGGGCATCAGAATCGGACGCATCAGCATGATGGTTAACGCAGTTGATAAGGATGGAAGAGCCGCGTCTTCTCTAACTTATAGATTGGCATTGTGGCAGCATGAGACTTTTATGGCCACGTGGAGAATCGAGGCAACTTGTTACTCTTTGAATTGACTAGAAAGATCGGCTAACGTGTAAAATATTGTCTTCAACTCATGTGATTGTTATCTTGTTCCAATGTTTATAGATAGACGACTGTCTAGGCCATCGATAGAGCCTCCAGTCTCCCTTAACCTGCCCAAAAGGGTAGGCTTCTGGATGCCAAACGCACTAAAAGCAACGCCTGGCAGCCGAGAACTCGGACGGCTCCGAGACCGGAACCGGCCCGGTGTGTGGAACGGGAACGACGGCTACCATGTCTGGGGGTGAATCTATGCTGTATGGGAGATATGCTGCTTGTTAAATAGCAAATAAATCCCCACTCGGTAGAAAGATCACCAAACAAAGTAAGCAATCATGTCTCAAGGTGAGTTGGGTGAGGAATAGTGGTCGGAAATTCTGACTAGATTGGTGTAAGTACTGTAGCTAGAAGGCGTATCAGGATCTGAGCGCCGTTTTATACCAAGTACCCCAAGATATGGAGATACCTACCCCGCGCCTTGACAAGTTTGGTGGATTTGGAGAGCGGGCCATGGAATCAGGAAGGTCAACCCGTGAAAGGGTGAATTGATTCTGTTATCAAACAGTACCTGGATTGCGACAGTGCCGTGGAGGATATGTAAATACGCAGTGGGTGGCAACCGGTCACGGGGCGTTCTTGAGTGTGAGATAGGCTGCAATAATGGTTGGACAATGCATCCATGGATGTTATCGGTACGTATTTGTGTAGTATCTGACCCCTGCACAGTAGACATGTCGGTACTGCAGTCTGTTATCGAGATCTGGGTCTGGGTTCATCGTGGGTAAGGTGAAGGCGGAGGTGAGGCACGGGCCTCGATACCAAGACACGGCGAGATTGAATTGGAAGAGCAAATGGTCTCGTAGACGATGTTGAGATCAACAGTATTATCAAAATAAATCAATTGTGTCTTGCAATTTGATATGGAGGCTAGTCATGACAAGAACCCAATGTCACAAAAGATAACTGATAGCGGAGAGAATCAGAGGAGCTAAGAGATGCTGTAGGCGAGCTGGGGCGCTACAGCTTCTTACCTATTACGGCAAGTTTTCAACACGTTTAACTTCACCCCTCCCTCTTTCCTGTTTCCCTCCGCTGTCTCTCACCAACTTCCGCGCTCCGCTTGGTCAATTTCTTGAGAGCGAATGCGGGGAAAAGAAACATTTTTAGTTTTCAGTTGTAAGCTTTGGGCTGGACTGGGACATCATGACTACCTACCCCCGGTGTTGGGCAGGTGAGGTGAGAGCCGGGTCCGAGTAAGGACCCTTCCTTTCTGGGTTCTGGAGAAGTGATACATTATAAAAGGGCTGACGACAACCTTCCTTCCTTCTCTCCCCTCCTCTTCCATATCTCCCATCTGTGTGACATTCTCATACCTTCAAAGCTTCTATCTTAACAAGAGTGAGTTGCCCCTCTCAATTTGGCTTCTATCATGGTTGCATCTCGTGACCCTGTTCGCTTATCATGACGACACGCTTTCATTTATGCTAACGTTCTTTCCTCACTTAGCAGGCAAACCACAACTCCAATTCATACCTCACGGTCGAAGCGCTTTACAAGACATTCACACTCTTCATCAATTGCAACTCTTAGTCATGTCGGCTTTCCGCGCTGGCATGGCCGCCCGGCCTGCTGTTCAAGCTGCCCGAGCTGCAGCTTGCCGCTCTTTCGCTACTTTGCGCAGCATGCGAATGGCTGCTGCTTCTGAGAAGGCCTTCTTCGCTGGCGAGCCAGAGGCCCCTACGGTCAAGACAGCTATTCCTGGCCCTAAGACCAAGAGTCACATGGATGAGCTCACCAAGGTCTTTGATACTCGTAGCGCAAACATGCTTGTCGACTACACCAAGAGCAAGGGCAACTACATCGCCGACCCCGATGGCAACGTGCTTCTCGATGTGTAAGAGTCAATTGAAAGCCAGCTTCATCACGTAACACTAACGAATAAAATAGCTTTGCTCAGATTGCTTCAATTGCAGTCGGTTATAACAACCCTGCCCTTCTCAAGGCCGCCTCCAGCCCTGAGATGGTGAACGCCATTGTCAACCGACCTGCCCTCGGAGCCTTCCCCTCTCACGACTGGGCCGATCTTCTCAAGTCCAGTCTTCTCACTGTTGCTCCCAAGGGTCTGGATAATGTCTTTACCGCCATGGCTGGCTCGGATGCGAACGAGACTGCCTACAAGGCCGCCTTTATGTGGCGCCGACAGCAGGAGCGTGGTGGCCCTGAGGTTGATTTCAGCACTAAGGAACTTGACAGTGCTATGAATAATCATGCCCCCGGAAGCCCTGATCTCTCTATTCTTTCTTTCAAGACCGGCTTCCACGGTCGTCTCTTTGGATCGCTTTCTACTACCCGCTCCAAGGCTATCCACAAGGTTGACATCCCTGCTTTCGACTGGCCTCAAGCGACTTTCCCCAAGCTCAAATATCCTCTCGAGGAGAACGTGGAGGAGAACAAGAAGATTGAGCAGGCTAGTCTTGATGAAGTAGAGCACCTTATTAAGAGCTGGCACCTGCCTCCTTGCGCCGTTGTCGTCGAACCAGTCCAGAGTGAAGGCGGTGACAACCACGCTTCGCCTGACTTCTTCCGCAAGCTGCGAGCCCTGACAAAGAAACATAACATTCTACTTATTGTCGACGAAGTCCAGACTGGTATCGGCGCTACTGGCAAGTTCTGGGCTCATGAGCACTGGAACCTCGAGACACCCCCTGATATCGTGACCTTCTCCAAGAAGGCTCAAGCTGCCGGTTTCTACTATGGCGACCCGGCTATCCGCCCCAACAAGCCTTACAGACAGTTCAACACATGGATGGGTGACCCTGCTCGCGCCATCCTGTTCAAGGCCATTGTCGACGAAATCAACAAGAACGACCTCGTCAACCACACCGCACGAGTTGGTGATCGCCTCTTCAAGGACCTCGAGTCTCTTAGCAAGAAGTACCCCGGTCAGATCGAGAACCTCCGTGGCAAGGGTCAAGGTACATTCATTGCCTTCGACAGCCCCAAGCGTGACCAGTTCCTAGCGGAGGCCAAGAAACTGGGTGTGAACATCGGTGGCAGTGGCGCCAGCGCCGTTCGTCTACGGCCTATGCTCATTTTCCAGCAGAAGCACGCTGATATCCTTGTGGACACAATTGAGAAGATTGTTAAGCAGTAAAAGGGGGAGTACAGGAGGACCATCAAAATAGCTATTTAAGGACAGTGGAGTTTGGGATTATCTGAATAAATCAGAAAATGTTTTTAGCGAAGACCTAGGAGATCCAGATATTTCTTTTATCTCGAGGCCAAAATCTGGAATGGACTAGGCACACTTGATTGGGTGTTATGAAGCCAAGGATAATGAGGGTTAATGCAATCAACATCAGCGTCTTGCTTTCTTCATACACTTCCTTGCACCTGCTTGAGCATGATACTTTTTGTCGTGACATGCTTCCCTCTTCAATAAGCAGACAGATGTCTACTTTCCTAAGGGAGGCAATAACTTAGGACCTCAATCCTAAATGATAAAAGTACTTAGGTAAGTTATCATAATCCAAGAGGCCTCTTTAATGAGTTTGTTTTCGCATCCTTTGTTAAAGGTCACAAGTTCTTTTTGCTCTCTGAGGCTGTCATATGTCAAGTAGGTATGCAAATTGTATCCAATTGCGCTTAGGCAAGGAATGCAAGTTTATGTCTCACTTGATACAATTGTTATTAGTTCATAAACTCTGTCTATTGGTGCCTGTATACGGTCCTGAAGATGTCCTGAAGTTCACGCCTATTAGTCTCCCTGCTTTACAGGTTACGTGAGAGTCAAACCAGCTGCTCTCTTATCATTGGCCTTTGTCTATGCCGTCCTCATCAACCTTAGACCATCATTAACATCCATGCCTAGCATTATCGTATCAACTATCCCACGAGTAGTCGATGAAGCCCCCTTGTTCTCCCTCGTTTGCTCATTCAGAAATGTTTGTGTCATCTCCCTAAGTCTTTCTCTGACGTCGATTCGTGGTCTCCTTATCCGATTTTGGTTTTGTTTCTTGCATCTGATCTGATGCTCTGCTTTGCATTATGCGACTTTGGTCGTCAGTTCCCATCGGCTGCAATGAGCTTGATCGATTGTTTGGAGAACCTTCTTGCTTTTGCACGCGCGGTACCGCTTCACTAAGGGATCTCGGGCGGTTAGACATCTGTTCTCCATGCTATCAGAGTATTAGCTGACGCCCAACAGACGAAATGCGATTACCTACCCGTATGTTGTCTAAAATTCCTGCTGCTTGCTTTGGCTGAAGCATCCCAGAGGACGGTGTGACAGAAGGCCGATAAGTATCCAAATTCCCGTGCGTGTTTTGAAACTCCACAGGTGCGCGGCTTAGACCTCTGTATGTATTATCCAATGATCCCGGGGGCCGTGGCGGAAGAACAGCTTGAGGGGCCGGAGCAATAGTACGAAAGACCGAGTGAGAATTCTGTAGAATTTGTGCAGATGGCTTTGGAGCGATAAGTCGAGGATTGAAAGGTCGCTGGCTAGTCACGTCCCGACCTGCATATGCCGGACGGCCCTTTTTCTTCTTGGGAGGCTGTTCGGGTTGCTGATGTTGCTGCAAATGGGGCCCAGGAGTCATAGCGGGTTGGCGTTGGAAGTTTGCCGGTGAGTTCTGCGCCGGAGAAGGTTGAGACAGAAGAGAAAGAGCTTGATCACTGGGAAGTTGGCCGTCGATGTTGTTTTGAGTGCTCGATTCTTCTTCGCTAGCTTTCCGCTTTGTCCCACGCTGTCCTATGTACATGTTCTGAGCTGTCTCCATACACTGAGCCATGTTGCGGCCTATAAAGGATGTTTAGTTTGGGGGATCGGAGGTAGAGGCTATTCTACTTACCATTCGGGAGTTGCATTTGCATCCAGTTTGGCTCAATATGGCGAACTAGATTCTCCAAATGTTGGACATCTAATTGACTGTGTTTGATTATTTCGGCAAGGAGATGCCGCTGGAGTTTGGTCAGTTGAAGAACTTCAGGAGGCTAGTATGGCAAGATATACCTTCTCCTGATCATTAAATGGCTCCATGCTGAGATCTTTTCTTGGAAACTACCTTGGTGAGAATGAGGTTTGGAATAGGCCCAAAAGTAGATATTGATGTGAATTCTCATAAAGTCTCAACCACGAGAAGAAGTGAAAGTCCATCGAGGACTAGATCCTCTTTCTGCGAAAGTCTTTACAAAGCGAATGTCGTCTCTGGGCGTTTCCGTCGATAGACTCATTGGAGGTTGATGGCAAGGCGCGAAAGGATCGAAGAGTTTGTGGAATCTTGTGATATATTGCATTTAAGGGCCACGATATAGCCTATCCATGGACCCAGCCAACTGGCTTGGAGACGTCGGGTACGACGAAAGGAAGCGACTCGCTCAAGATGCTGCGGTACATGTGATAGCGGATGGATGAAGAAGCGAGGATTGCTACTTCTAGCCAGACGCGGGAACACAAGGTCTGGACTGAGATTCTCTCTGTGCTGGAACCTGTAAAAAACGAAGAGAGTCCTTGATAATTCCTCGGTAAAGTTGCAGGTTTTGAGAGGATATTGCCTGGTGTAGTGAGATTGCCTTATGGGGTGCGTTTTCGACCGGTTCTTAAGTCCCAAGTCTATTCTTAAGCGGAGCGGGACTTGGTTTCGCTAACTTGTGAAGTAATAAAGGTGAATCTTGGGGAGATTCCCTTGACAAGGGATGCTCGTTTGTGTAGATACCAGATCACACTGGCGATGTTAATATAACAAGAACCGCAGTGATGAATATAGGTAGTAGGTAGGTAGGTTTTGGTGACAATGCTGGTGCAAGTAGACTAACGGGTGAGAGACAGATAATGACAGACTCAGTGTCAGTGTCAGACCCTGGATGCCTCCTATAAGGCAGACAGAGGGTGCACAGAGACAACGACTACCTAATTCGGATCGAAGCCGCCAAATAGATTAATCGGGTTGCCCAATATTCAAGTACCGCCTCAGCCCGTTTGTAAACTGCTGCACATGATATGGTAGATAGCACGGGAGTGGCCGAGAAAGCGATGCACAAGATCCAATGCGATCCAGCACCTTTCATCTCATTATCCCCTGATGAGATGAGATGCAATGCGATGTAATGAGATTGTGCATGCGCAGTGCATGTACATGTGCGTGTGTTGCGTGGTACAGCTTAAGCCGATTCCTGGATCTGGAAATCCTCCTATCCATGTTTGCGAGTGAGGCGCTGATCTGATATGATTATGACTATGACTACCACCAATCTTGGATGGCAAATCAAGCTGACAACCAAAAGGCTTATTGATTTGGGTGATTGCGTCGAGAGGCCTCTGAATGTCTCACTTGGAGAGCTCCAATTTGCCCATAGTCCCTGTTTCTTTAATGACTGTGACCCTGCCATGATGCACCACTGCAGCACTCACTCCTCGGACAAAAAATAGGTGCATCAGGACGGGTCTAAAGAGAACTCAAAGGACCAATCCCACTAGAACCTGGAGGCGCCTGACTCGGAGTAGGGGGCTTATCGAAGGGGGCCTCTGTAGACGGTAGACACATACTCCATGTCCCGTGCTCACAGGCTCAGCCCATCGATACACACCAACATGGATTTGGCGATGTTCCATTGGCTTCTCGCGTATGCGGCTGGTGCCGTATTTGTCCTTGTTCCATCCATGCCCATGATGGATGTGGCCACCAACCAACGATGAGCTCAGCCTGGTTTTAGAGTGTAATGTACTGTAGTATCCTGTGCAAGGCAAAGTCAGCGACTATTAATCAAGAGTTGCCAAGCTATCTACCGTCAGGGTTGGGCAAGGGGCTGTTGGTGCAACTCTCTGGAACCTGAAGAGATGGGCTGAGGCCTATTGGCCAGTTGGCGACGGGTCCGTGCTTTCAGGCCATTATTCTCAAGAGTTTGTTGTCTCTTTGTTGCTGTTGAAGAGAAGAATGACTGGTCATTGATTTGGTGGTCGACTCGTCGTATTTCGCCAGCGTAGCACTGGCCAACTGTTCGTCAAGACTCCAGGCCGGTACGTAGACTCTCAGCAATCTGATGTAAGTCCAAAGACTGCATCACTTCAACTTTCAAGTGACAGTTCATCATTGCATAAAAAAAGAATAGGCAGGGCGTTAATCAACCGCGTTAGACAAGAGAGCACATCTCCCTTTTATAACCAGGCCCAGCCACGGCGTTGATCTTCTAGACAGGCATTAATGCACAATGAGCTGGCAACGTCTGACTGGGCCCTATTCGAAATAGCTAAGAAAGAGAGCCATGATTATTGTTCAGGCTATGATACCAAGCGATCAATTGCATCATAGGAAGCAAAATTCATAAAACCAACAATTAATTAACTCGTGAAGTTAACTGATCTCGTCGATTGGCATTGATAAGGCCTGGATACAATATCACGGACTACTCCATCTTACGCCCATGGAATAGCCCACCGGATGGTTCCGACGAGCAGATTCAAGATCGAAGCCTCCACGATATAATATCTTCTCCCTCTCTCAAATCTTCAGTTCTAATCCGTCAATGTTATACTCCAATTCCATCATGCAACGCATTGTCTCGAGTTCCATGCACGTGATACAATCTCTTACAACAGCAGCCGGCCGACAATTTCGTCATCGTTCGTTCTTGATTAACCTGAAAGCTTCAATGTCCTCGGTATCAAGAGCTCGCGTAGCTGTGCTTTACCAAAGTCTCGACCCTCCCGTTATTGATGGGATTCAGAAACCAAAGAAGCCCGGAGGTTCGTAGATTTATCCTTTCTTTGCCCAATTCACTGTGTTTGCTTAACTGTGTTCGCAGGTTACATGGACTCCGGCGCCGATATCGCCTACAACTTGAGCCTATCACCGAACGTCGATGTTATCTGCCCTCACAATGATCCCAACCCAAGTGAACAAGCTGGATGGTCGTTTCCCGATACCGAGGATGGTATTCTAGAAGCTGTCAAGAAGGGCGCAAGCCATATATGGGCCAACACGATCCTCTTCTCTTCACATCCTCTTCAAGTATCGGCTCATCTCGCTGAGCATCAAGACCATGTTAAAGTTGTGGGGCAAGGCCCGTTGATTGCTGAACGATATGACGACAAAGAATTTGTTAACAATCTACTGCGGAAACTTGGCGGGTTTACTATGCCACGAGCATGGACCATAAATGAGAGCCAAGGTACTCAAGGGATTCTCGAGAAGCTTAACCTCCCTTTCCCGATTGTCGCAAAGCCTATACGTGGCCGTGGCAGCCATGGCGTTCGTGTCTGTCGCAGCTTGAAGGAACTCATTGAACATGCACATGCCTTATTTAAAGAGTCACCCTCTATCATGTTGGAAGAATATCTTGCCGGCGAAGAGGCGACTGTTACGGTTATGCCGCCTATCTCTAGAGGAGGTAGATACTGGGCATTGCCTGTTGTGACGCGTTTCAACCACATCGATGGCGTTGCTCCCTACAATGGCGCCGTCGCAGTCACAGCAAACTCAAGGGCGATAACCGCCGCGGAGGGGACCCAGGCAGCATACAAACAGGTAGCAGAGGAATGCGAAAAGGTGGCACAAGAGTTGGCAGTGACAGCGCCGATTCGAATTGATGTCCGCAGATTCAAGAACTCGGCCGACTCCAAGTTTGTCTTATTTGACGTGAACATGAAACCGGTTTGTTCTGTCCTTCCCGAAGCGCTCGAAGTATGGCTAATGACTTTTGTTTGCAGAATATGACGGGTCCTGGTCGGCCTGGGCGCGAGGATCAAGCAAGTCTCACCTTGTTGGCTGCAGAGGCCCTGGGTTGGGACTACCAAGAGCTGCTGAGGCGCATTTTGGGTACCTCGTCCACGTTGAGGACGCTCAGAGACCTAAAGCCTCGAGAATCGGTGTGAATTGATATGAAATGATATAGTCACTGATAGTAGTAGGTTAAAGGTTGTTCGCAGTGGCTTACTACTGAGCTGCACGCAACTGGAGGAATAGCAATTATGGCGCGCGTAGTTGCCTCGGTCGGGCCTTTTGCGTCGGGCACTCGGGGCCATAAAATTCCGACAAAAGATGCTGCTTGCTATTTGCTTTGCCTTGGGTTTGTCCTGGCTCGGAATGAGTGTTCTCGACTCGAATTGGCTTTGTCCCTCCCGTCGTCTTTTGTAATCGTCAATGCACGGTCTCAATGTGCCCTGGCTTCTTTGTCTCGCCCCGTCGCTTTTTCCCGTGACCGCTTAACGTTAAGCCCGGATTTGGCCTACATACATCAAGTCACCTCTCTCAGGCCTCTTCTCGCCTTGCCTCGCCTCTTCACTTTCTGCTTCGTCCCCCGTAAGGTCCCTTGCCTTGCAGTAGATGCGCCTGGGATATACCCGCTCCACCAACTCCGCGTTCACACTCCACCCTTTTTGCTGTCTTGGGACGAGTCATTCTTCGCGTTCGCATTGACCTCTCGACACGTCCTGCTCCTTCGCGACAGCCCAGTACCTTCGATAAATCCCGAGACCACGCTCCAAACCTGGCCTTTGTGCTATTGCTCCTGATGTACTAATGGAGGATGACGAGTATACGACCAGCAAAATGGAGGAAATTAAGCTTGAGGAGGGCACAAACGGCGCGCAGGTGAAGCAGGAGGAGAGGACTCCCATGTCTGTCACGAATGGCGGCCAGGAAGAATCCCGATCGCCGAGCGCTTCTCATGATGGCGTCAAGTCGCGCAGTGGAAGCGCAGACACACCGAGCTCAAACAGGCCCTCAAAGCTCTCTCGGAAGGCTTCTCAGAAGTTGGCAGCCAGCCGCGAACCCGTCCTTTTCGACCACCTCCCCGATATGACCGCCGAATCTTGTAATTTCTTTCAGCTCATTCCCGATTGCCTATACGGCTCAAAGCACCTTGGATCTACAGATAACGACGCCTTGGACTGCGAGTGTCGGGAAGAATGGCGTACGTTGCCCACACTGAGCCCTTGTGATCTGGTGCTATGCTAACTTTTCTCTACAGACGATGGCGAAAATATTGCATGTGGCGAGGACTCGGACTGCATTAATCGAGCGACAAAAATGGAATGTAGCGCTGAGGCTGGAAATTGTGCAGGGGGCTGCCAGAATCAGCGGTTCCAGCGCAAGCAGTACGCCAACGTTTCTGTCATCAAGACCGAAAAAAAGGGCTTTGGCCTCCGCGCTGACTCTGATCTACAAGCCAATGACTTCGTCTTTGAGTACATTGGCGAAGTTATCAATGAGCCTACCTTTCGCCGTCGAATGATGCAGTACGACGAAGAGGGTATCAAGCATTTTTACTTCATGTCGCTAAACAAGAGCGAGTTTGTGGACGCAACAAAAAAGGGCAACTATGGTCGCTTCTGCAATCACTCTTGCAACCCCAACTGCTATGTTGATAAGTGGGTGGTTGGCGACAAACTCCGAATGGGCATTTTTGCCTCGCGCAAGATCCAATCCGGAGAAGAGTTGGTGTTTAACTACAATGTTGACCGATATGGTGCTGACCCCCAACCCTGCTACTGCGGGGAAGCCAATTGCGTGGGATTCATTGGAGGCAAAACACAAACTGAGCGAGCAACCAAATTGCCTGTTGCGACTGTCGAGGCTTTAGGTATCGATGGAGGTGACGGTTGGGATACTTCCGTGGCAAAGAAGCCTCGAAAGAAGAAGCCAGATGAGGACGATGAGGAATATGTCAACAGTATACCTTCGCGCAGTCTCAACGAAGACGACGCGCGAAAGGTCATGGCTGCTCTTATGCAATGCAAAGAGAAATGGATTGCGGTGAAATTACTGGACCGTATCCTGCGGTGCGACGAGGAGCGCGTCATCCACTGTGTTATGCGTATGCACGCTTACCAAATTCTCAAAACAACACTCAACACCTTTATCGAGGACCACAACGTTGTCCTTCAGGTTTTGGATATCCTCGACAAGTTCCCACGCTTGACAAGGAACAAGATCCAGGACTCCAAGATCGAGGCCACGATCGAGGGTCTGACACGATCCGAGCACGAAGACGTGGCTTCCAAGTCCAAATACCTTCTCGACGAGTGGAGTAAGTTAGAGGTGGCGTACCGAATCAGACGACGCAAGTTCGACCCCAACGCACCAGCTGCAAACTCATTTGAGGAACGACGCGGTGCAGGTCGAGACGAGGAGGTAGCGCAATCTTCAAAGACAGCGTCACCACAGACCATTGACGCACCGAAGGGTCCTCGAAACAGCATGCCGCAAAGGAATGTTGCTTTTTTTCAGAACGGAGGGCGCCCTCGTAGGCCCCCATTCAATGGTGGACTTCCTCAAGGATGGTTCACCGCCAAGGATGCTGCAGGAAACACTTATTTCTATAACAAGCAGGGCGCCACAACGTGGCAGCGACCTACCCAACCTGTAGCGGAACCTGCTGTCAAGGCACCGTCCAAAGCTATGAAGGAGCAATTGGCGATCCAAAGTATTATCAACCAGGTCACTGAGAGGGGAACACCTAAACATACTTCAGTTTCGACCCCCAAGACGGCGGATACGCCACCCAAGGAGGTGAAGGAGGAGAAATGGCGATCTCTTCCAGTCGAAAAACAAATGAAGATATACGAAAACACGGTTGGTTGCATTCGAATTCTGCTAAGGACTTTACTCACAGGTTGCTAGGTGTTTCCCCACATCAAACATGTCCTCGACAAATTCCATCACAAACTTCCTAAGGAGGAGCTGAAGCGCTTTGGTAAAGAGATAGCTAAGAAGCTTGTCTCGTCCGACTATAAGAACAACCGGGTCGGCGACCCCAATGCACCACTAAGTGAAAAGCAAGCGAGGAAAATGAAGCAGTACGTCAAAGACTTCTTGGACCGTGCTGTTAAGAAATTCGGTGATCAGCAGAAACCAAGGGCGGGCGAAAACGCAGATACCCAGATGAAAGGTGACCAAGGCCCCAGTGCTGCAGGAAGCAGTACTGGCTCCGTCGCTGGTGGGCTTGAGGGTACATCTTTAGTTAAGGTTAATGGGACTCCAGCTGATGGGCTTGACGCTGCCACGGCATCGGATAATGAGGGCAGTGGTTCTCTGGGAAGCCCTGAACGTAAGAGGAAGAGGGAGTCGGAAGTAGAAGGCCCGCTATCGATATCTCCATCTGATAGGCCAAACATGAAGAGGTTAAGAGAGGATGAGTTGGATGCGCCCAGCCCTCCTCCTCCTCCAC